ACAATGAGGTTACACTCACGGCTCATCTGCTTCACGTACGCGCGCAGGCGGGTTTCGGTGACCCTAGGGCCGTGCAGCCAGATGTACCGTCGGGGGACCTCGGCCTCGTTGCACCAATCCTTTTTCTTGTTGGCGCGGATGTAGTGGCCGATCTCGTCGACGTGCCTAAGTCGGTGCTCATGGGGTAGCTTGTCGTGTATCAGCTTCAGCATCCTAGCCGCCCACTTCTTGTAGTGGTAGATGAACGAGGTGTACAAGGTTTGTAGGTGGCGTAGGGCGTCCATGACGAGCACGTCGATGCTGGAGTACACCATGTCGTCCACTACGAAGTCTGTCGACTTCCACTGTTCGCGTGGCACCGCCATGTTCTGCTCGTCCTCGTCCTCGTCCTGTTCGAGCATGTCGTGTATGTATTCATACTCCCGCCTAAGGCGTTCTTCCAAGGTGCGCGGATTCGTGCTACGCGGAGGACGCTCGTCGAATTCGTTGTCGCTCTCTTCCTCGTCGTCGTCGTCATCACCTTGGTTTTCCGCGCCTGCCGGCACCGACGAAGGTCCAGGCTGCCCATCCGGCCTCGGGGTCGACTTCTTCGTAAACTCCCCTATCGGCGGTTTCGGTATGTCCTTGGTGTACTCCCCTTCGGGAATCTGAGCCAGTTTGTCAAGATCGTATAGCAACTTCAGCGTCTCTTCGGCGGCAGAGGACGGATTGTGGTCGGTTGGGGCACCGACATCGCACATGTCGACGTCGGCCATGGCCGCTCGTATGTTGCTCTACCTTCGGCCGTATGCGAGGTAAAGGTTGGACCACCAGAGACGGTATTGAATCACGGGTGCGGTGTACGCCCTATGCGTCGCGCGGTCGTCTTCGTCGAATTCTCTCTCGAGTCATTCCAGCTGCGCTTTGATGTCGGCGTCTACAGAATCGGCAGGGGGTGGGATGGGTTGCGGCTGTTGGGCACTAGGCCGTCCTCTGGCCATGCGTCGCCGACTCAGTTAGGTTCTGTAAACCCGCCTTGGCTGGTCGGTAAAGCTGTTGATTCTATGCCGACTTTACGATATGAATCCCTAAAACCTCCACGGCGACGTCGACGACCGAATGAGCCTAACTAAACACCGACCTGCTTCGTCTCAGCCGGGTCGACGCGAGTTGTACCGACGAAATCGTATGGTCGGCGCCGAGTAACATGTACGCGTGAAGATGTTGTGGGTCGCGTAAAAAAACGAAGTGCCACAGAGCGCATGCAAAACGAGGGAATGAACAAAAACAGACTGGCAGAATGGGGACCTTGCGCCCGGTCAAGGAGGGGTATGGTTGCGAGCGACTCCGCACCTGACGCGCTCCACGCAACCCTCTTTGCGGGCGCCGCTATGTCCATGTCTGACGTGCCAACGTCTGTGCATGTCTAGAGTCACGCCGCTCTGCACTCATTGACCTCCCCGTCGGGGCCATTCCACGGTGGATTGCGCGCGCGCCACGTGGTCTCGTCCAATCACTTGTTCAACTCTCCTGAAATGCCGTATCGGCCTGCTTTCCCGCGCATCCGTTATCGACATGTGCACTACAGCGTGTCATCCCGTTGATCGACGCCGACATTCCCTGGGTGTTGGATCTGTGGGCGACACCGACATTCCTTAACAAGGCGGGAAATTGATTCCCGCGATATCTGGATCCGTACTTGCTCGACACCTGTACGTACACTACCTAGTCCGGGTTCGCCGCGTGGACGTCGCCGACTTTTTATAATGGGCGCGGGATTTTCCCGCGCAGAAAAAATGACCCGTGGTGTGACGCGTGGCCGCGACGTGGCCGTCGTGGCACACCGCGATTATAAGGGACGGTAGTGATCGTCCCTGCTCGGCCGCGTGGCAGAAATCGCGGCTCGACGTGTCGAGCTGCGATTTCTTGTCCGCTGAGATATCCTTCTCGGGTTTCTCTCAGCGAAACCCGAGGTTGTCAGATTGTCGACATTCCCGAGGCCTCCGGTGGCCGGGAGGTCCCGGAGCTCGCCCCAGTTTGCCACCCTAGGTCGTCAGGAGTTCGTCAGTCCCGAGGCCCCCCCTTGTCCTATCGCAACCGCGAAATTGGGCGGGGGTTTCTGTCGGCTGAGGTATATCATCCCGAAAATTTCGCCAGGCTCACGGACGCGAAAGTGGCCCGCTCACTGTACAAGAAACCGACCAACAGTACATTGGCCAGTCAGTTTCGGCCAAATGCACGACCAATGCGCGCGCGGTCAATCTAATTCCAAACCAATCAGCGCTCGAGCAAATAACTTCGCGATCATATACTCGCGATCATATACTTGATCGCGAAGTTATTTGCTCGATCGCTGATTGGTTTGGAATTAGATTGACCGCGCGCGCATTGGTCGTGCATTTGGCCGAAACTGACTGGCCAATGTACTGTTGGTTGGTTTCTTGTACAGTGGGCGGGCCAATTTCGCGTCCGTGAGCCTGGCGAAATTTTCGGGTGGGGAACAGAACGCTACACTACCTCGGGAAACCACTCGCACGAATGAGGAATTTCGGGGCTACAAAGCCCCGTAGGGTAATGCGCCGGTGAAAAAAAAGCCAGCAAAAATCCCCAGGCGTGGCCACTCGAGTAATTATCACCAAATTGGGTGGCCACTCGAGTAATTCGAGGCCCCCCGAGCAAGGATGAATCACCGAATTGGCCACTGGAGAAATTCTCTCCACAGGGAGCCTTCGCCAACAAACTGCATCCATCCCATCCATGCCATGGGGCCCAACCAATCACCGTGTGCGCGTACGTCCTGCGTGACTCCTCCTCTCCCATCCGTATCGCATGGCTTTGGGACGAAACCCTAGCTCCTGCCACCCTCTTGCGCCAAATTTTCCGAAGTCCTCCAGGGTTCCGAAGCAGAGTGGCAGACTCGGATGAGGTAGAGAGCAGGTTGCAGTCACGGTCCAGCTTCTGACAAAGCCAAGAACATGCACTCGGTTCGGCTCGACTTGATGGCTTCAAGGCTCGGTTGTTTTCGTCGCGAAAAGGGTCTTGCTCCCTGCTGCACCAGCACCACAACCACACATATCTCGCGCCAAAATCACCCTCTTGCCCCCCGATGACTCAAAACACAAGCTGTTTTGCGCCAAAAAATGACTAATCAAGCCAGCTCCACCAAGCTGAGTGCTAGGCCCGGCAAGTGATATACTGACGCCCAGCCGTTCCGAACCAGCAGGGCGACGGCTTTCTGCGCTGGTTACAGACATCGCAAACGGAGTCTGTGAGAAAGTCTGCCATGAGATGATGTAAAAAACCCTCATCGTGCTGTCTTTGCTCAGTTCGCCATTACCATGCCACGTTTTCCGTCTTCTGGAGTTTCTTCTCTCCGCTTTCCCTTCCCTCCTCCCCTTCCCTCTTCCCCGTTTCTCCTCCCCATCATCCCCTATGGCGGCTGTTTTCCCTCCCCTAGAGCGTCCCCCATCATCCACTCCCCACGAGACCAGCCCCTCCCCGTCCCTCGTCAAGCAAGTAGTTTCCTATCGTTCCGAACCGCTAACAGAAACCAAGTCCAGCAAAAAGCATGGCGCCTTAGCTCGTTCCACCCAAGCTCGCAGTCAACCAAGCACCGTCCGTAAATTAGTTTCTCCACCTAACTTCCCGAAACTCGGCCAAGCGACGCCGCGCGGCATTCCCAGGATATCCGTAGCTGACTTAGTGTTGGAAGATGGCCCGCCCACATCGTCCTACACTAAAGCCGCCGAGACGTTATACCTTTCCTTAGCTCGCCACGGCGCGGCGGTTATCGAGCCGGCACGCGAGGATGTAGCGCTGCTGTGTAGAGCGTTAGAGTCGACGCGTCTGTACTTTCGGAAACGGGCCGAGTCGGAGTCGTCGACGCTGAAACCGTCGGAATGGAGCGACCGTGGCGGTTACTTCACCGCTCCGTCCAAGGACCTCTATTTCTACAAGGCTGGAAGGTGCGGAACATAAAGCTGTGTTTTAATCGCCATTTAGTTCTGAAGTTATGTTTTGTAATGCAATGGGTTGATTGAGGATATTGGGTTTCACTGCCTTTTTTTATTTAGTTTTTTTCCTTTTTCTTTATGTGTGTTTGGCAGGTCGATGAGCGAGGGGCTCAACGATTTTTGTCCTCCTGGTTTTCCTGAAGCCTTCAGATACAGTGGACGCGTTTCACGGCTTGCCATGTCCGCCATCGCTCGGCACCTGAAGCTTCGTGGCGAGTAAGTCACCGGACCCTTTAAATATTTGTATTTTGTGCCTTCAACGTGGTAGTACTTATGTCGTGTTTGTTTCGTTATTTTGTTTGACTGTTTATTTAGTTGTTTTTCTTCTTCTTCTTTGTCTTCGGCGTTTTTACAGCTTCTTTTCAGGGTTGCTCGACGACTGCCCGTTGCCGGTCGGCGAAGTATCGTCGTCCGTTTTAGCCGCGACGTGCCAAAGGAGCGATCCTATCTCCGACCATTTCAAACCCGACGACGCGCATGGAAGCGGCTCCGAGGCATCGGAAACCGAGAAGGGCCTTCTGATGCTCGTCACGGCAGATTTCCCGGGCCTTCAGGTAACCCGTTTGTTTACGAAACTTTTCGTTTTCGTCACTGTTTCATTGTCGGAGGCTGTTAACATGTAACAATCTTCGTTCGTCGCGCAACTGTGCAATTCCGAGGGCGTCTGGTCGCCGGCGGACCAGGGCGTGCCGCCGGGAAGCCTGCTGCTGCTGGCCGGCCGTTGCCTCCATCGCGCCACGGCGGGCCTCTGCCCCGCCTCCACCTACCGCGTGCTCCCGCCCGCCTCCTCGGGAACCACCAGGTGAGACGCGAAATCGACATTCATGTTATATTTTTTTCCCGAAGGTTATTTTGTATTTCGTGCCTTATTGTTAAACGATTTTTGTGTGGCTGTTTGTTACTCTTTCGCAGCTGTTCGTTGTCGTTTCGCCTGATGCCTCGCTCTTCAGCGCCGATTGACTGCTCTTCGCTGCTTCACGCGGGTCACGTCACGCAGTCCCCTCAAGCATGCGAGCCGTCGTTCACGCTGGCCCGTTTCTCGATTCGCTGAGCTCGTATGCTCACGATCCTGCGAGCGATTTGAAGGAGTCGAGCATGGTGCGCCTCTGCGTTTATATATTGCATTGTCTTTCTATTTTTGTGTCACTCTGCTAACCTTTGCGTTTATTCTTTGGACGTTCAGGCTGTTGCGTGCAAGCTGGAAAAGGCTTCGCTTTCATCAATGGTTGTAGATCCTGCATCGTAAGTGCGGATCGTACCTTTTTCGCGCATGTTTTTTTTTTCATGTTGGTTTGTCTCACGGTCATAACCTATGCATTTCATTTTACTGTTTTCCAGAGGGTCTCTTCTCGAGGATGCAATGATTGCTCCGTGTGGCCATTCATTTGGTGGAGCGACACTCTCTAGAGTCATTGACTCTGTAAGTGCTCGTGATCAAGCTTCAGTCAAGTATTCCCCCTTTCCCTTTTCTTTTTTCTTTCCTCCCCCCCCCCCCCCCCCCCCCCCCAATTTATGGGCATCAGCCCATTCCTCATGCACGCGTTTCTAGATGTTATCTAAGGTGTTCCACGTTCTCCGATCCATGTGCAGATGCTATGTCCTTATTGCATGGCCTCGGTTGACATCATGACTCTGATTCCCAACCTTGGTAATATGTCGTGCTTCATTATCGCACCCATCCGCATCTCTCGCTTTCAGTGTTTAGAATCCAACATTCTTGTCAAGGCAACGGAAGTTAATGCCAATCCGTATGTTTTGTTGCAGCCATGAGGTCAGTCGCGTCCTGCTTCCGCCCGGGCTTGTCGCATGGAGGCGGCGTGAAGGTCCCGAAGAGAAAGCGGGTGAAGGAGTTTGGAGAAGGGAAAGACCCGTCAGAAGCTGTCAAACGCAGACCGAAGGTGATTCATGTGTGGTGTGAGTCTTGACTCATGACATTTTTGCGTCTTCAGATTTTTTTTTTATTGAAGTCATGAATGCTGATTCGCCTTCTTCTTTGGTTTCATGAGCAGACTGAAGATGCGATGCTTGCCAGCTCATTTGAAGGAGACGCATTTGGCCGTCCAAAAGGAGTACAGTTCCCTTTTTCTGTCAATGACAAAGTTCTGATCAAGGTAACCATTGGTTTGCTTTTGATTCTTCCTGAAATTTAACGTTTCTGGTTATTAACGACTTATTCAATGTTGCAGGGAAACAAGCGCACTCCTGAGAAGTTTTTCGGGAGGGAGGCAATTATCACGTCTCAGTGCTTGAATGGCTGGTATGCTCTTGTTTTTTTCCCGGTACTACGCAAATTCTGTGTCATGCATGTAACTGATTTGGCTTTGCCCTGGATTTGCAGGTACTTGGTTCGCATGCTTGACACTGGGGAAGTGTTCGCCTGCAGTACCGCTCTCTTCAGAAAAGTGGTGAGTCCCATGTGTGTGTCACACGGCATTATTGATGTTATTGAATTGCTGTTCATTTTGTTGTTTTCCTGTCACCTTATACATGTTTTTACCTTTGGACAGATGGAACACCTTTGGAGACTGGTGACGCTCGTCTCTCTAGCAGTCCGGATGCCCAGATGGAGAGGAAGGCTGGAGCAGACTCCACAGCAAGGTGGTGGGAGGCGAAGCCTGGGGTTGGAGAAATGTCGTCATTGCTGCAAGAAGATGACAAGGATGAGAACTTTGGGCGACCGCTTTCGCTGACACTAGGGGAGGAGTCAAACCCACAAACCAGTCCCAATCCGTCCTCTTTTCATAAACAGCCCCACCTTCCGTCGGGACCCATACGGTAAGTGAAACCGTCTCCATCAATAAGCTTAGGTCCATGCACCCTTACAGTCGAGAGGGCCTGTTATAGGGTCCATCCACAACGGTACTGTATGTTGCATTTGGGTATTTTTGGCAGTTTTACTTTCCTTCTCCCTTCCTTTCTCCATTTCCTTTCTCCTTCATTTATGTCTTTCTTTCCCTCTTTTCCTCTTTCTGTCTAGGATCATGAGAGAACAAGACTGCCTTAGATGCATAATCATTATTTTGTAACTTCAACGTAAGATTATAAGTGTACTGTATCGAATGGCTCATCGGAACTCGTGAATGGCTGTAGTGCTGGTGTGGTGCATGTCGTCCACACAAGTTCGGCAGGAAAGGCTGCGCCAGCGTAACTTTCGCCACAAAACCACGATCGCGAAACCCCCTTTGGTTTCGCCAAATGTTCCTCGACTTGCCGAACCTTGCATTCAGACGCCGCGTGTAGCTTTCGGCTGACGAGTTTCGTTCCGAGCCAGCTTGGCGAAAGCTATCACTCCTGGTTACAGCTCCTCGCAAACGGAGAAACGGCATCTTTAACTGTTGCGTTGGTGGAAACCCCTCGTTTTCAGCGTCGCCTATTTCCTTCGCTTCACTGCTGCAGTCCGCTCTGTTTCGCGTTTTCCGCTTTCCCATCTCCCGTTCTTTCCACATCCATGCTTTCATTCATCATCATCCATTCCACCATAATTTTCATCCATTAGGGCGGGTCCAGCGCGTACGTTTACAGGTACTATACAGTTCATTTGTCGAGGTTTAAAAAGATAACAGGCGGTGCACAGTGGTTTTGAAATTGCACCGTTTTGAACCGTGACGAAATACAGATTACCGCACTAGATGAACTGTAATGTACGGAAAATGTACGCGCTGGACCCGCCCTTAGGGTTTCGTCAAGCAGTACAGCAGCAGCATCTGTTCCGTTCCGTGGGCCATCCATCATCTGAACTGAAGCACCATCCCTCGCTCCCCTCCCCCATCCTCCCTCATGGCTTCCGCCATCCCTTCCATGACTGAGCAGCATCCCCCAACCTCCTCCGCAATCCATGACACTCCCCTAGCCATTTTACCGCCTCCAGCAAAGCAAATGGTGATCAAGGAATGCCAGCCTAAGAGTGCAAGGAAACGTAGCTCTCACGGCCGTAATTCGCAAGTTCGAGCTCAGGCTAATGCCGTAGGACCACCCCCTGCTGAGACATTTCAGACCGCCGCATTCGCGACGCCGCGTGCCGTTCCGCGGATATCCGTAGACGATCTTTTATTAGAAGACGGTCCGCCGTCGTCGTCGTTTACCCGCGCTGCCGAGACGTTGTATCTCTCGCTCGCGCAGAACGGAGCGGTGATTTTGGAACCCGCGCGACACGATGCAGCGTCGTTGTGTAGAACGTTGGAATCCGCGCGGCTTTACTTTCGCCGACGAGCAGATTTGTCGTCGTCGTCGCCGTCATTCCCGGAACAGCCTGCGTGGAATGACGGCGGCGGATACTTCCAGGCACCTTCCAAGGACTTGTACTTTTACAAGGCCGGCAGGTCGTTGAACGAAGCAATCAGCGACTCGTGCCCGCCGGGGTTTGCGGAAGCGTTCAAGTTCCTGGGGAAGGTCTCGCGGTCCGCCATGTCAGCTCTCGCTCGCCATCTGAAAGTCCGCTGCGAGTACGTCGTCCTATTCCCGCATCGAGACGTTTCTTGAGACGTTCAGCTAGTGGTCGCTGATGCGTCTCAGCAGTCGTCGTGTGGAGGTTCGTTTCGAGAATGTCGTCTCGTCTCGCTCCGAGAATGTCTTCTCGTCTTCTCGCCGTCGAGTGTGTTTCTCGTGTTTTCGCCTGACCCGGTTCACCAGTTTACAGCAGAACAATTCTGTTGTCGCGCGTGTTTTCCGTCGGATTTTTTGTTAATTGCCATTGTCCTCCTCGCAACTTCCCGCAGTTTCTTCTCGAGTCTGCTCGACGACCGTCCGTTGCCGATCGGCGAGGTGTCCTCCTCCGTGCTCGCCGCATCATGCCAGCGCATCCAATCTCCTCAAGACGGTTCCGCCAGAATAACACCAGACGCCACTGAAACCGAAAAGGGCCTTCTCATGCTCGTCACAGCCGATTTTCCAGGCCTCCAGGTATCGTAGACATCATTAAACCTTCAGGGTTCAGCCAATCTGCCAGGCCTGTTAGAGTGCAGATTTTCAACTTTTGCCGCTGTCGTTTCAGGCATACATTGCTGCGAGCCCTGCTGCTGGCAGGCGTGCGAAATTCGAGGATGTGGTAACAAACACTTGCCATTTTTCGCGCAGGTGTGCAATTCCGAGGGCGTCTGGTCGCCGGCGGACCAGGGCGTGCCGCCGGGAAGCCTGCTGCTGCTGGCCGGCCGTTGCCTCCATCGCACCACGGCCGGCCTCTGCCCCGCCTCCACCTACCGCGTGCTGCCGCCCGCCTCCTCGGGAACCACCAGGTAACTTGCATAATCAACAATATACGATCAACAATTTGAAAGAGTTTCCTGTTATGCTTTTCCTATGCATCTGTGCTCCCGCCCGCTTCGTCGGAAGCAGCATCTGGCGCGCTCTCGTTCCGCCTCATGCCCCGCCCGGCCGCCGCACGCACATTGGCTCCGTGCTCGCACGCACATTGGCTCCGTGCTCGCACGCACATTGGCTCCGTCGTCCCCATCCCCTCCCCTCCTTTTCCGTCTGTGTCTGATTCCAACCATTCGTGCCGTCGCCTGTTGCAGGTGCGCGCTCTCGTTCTGCCTCATGCCGCGCCCATCCGCGTGATTGACTGCGCCGTGCTGGCCCCATTCCGCCACGCACACTCCTTTTTTTCATTCCCGCCTCTTTTCCAACCCTGTCCGTTGTGCCGTCATCCGCTGCAGGTGCGCGCTCTCGTTCCGCCTCATGCCGCGCCCATCCGCGGTGATCGACTGCGCCGTGCTGGCGCACGCGGGCCACGCCGTGCCCGCGGCCATGCGCGAGAGTGTGTGCGCGGGGGCCTTCATGGACGCGCTGGCCCCGTCCGCCTCCGCCGCTGACCTGGGAGGCGCTGACAGAGAATCCAGCCTGGTAAGTCCCTAGCCCTTGTAACTGGCTGCGGCGCCGTGCCCGCGGCCATGCGCGAGAGTGTGTGCGCGGGGGCCTTTATGGACGCGCTGGCCCCGTCCGCCTCCCCCGCCGACCTGGGAGGCGCCGACAGAGAATCCAGCCTGGCGAGTCCCCTGTCCTGATTATTACTCTCTGCGCTGTGCCGCACATTCTGCTGGTGCCCTTTGAGGTGCCAATTGTTGCTCTTTGCCCGCGACTTGGTGTAGATGATGTTGGGTATGTATGATGTATCAGGTTCGTCAAAAGTTTTTCATCATTGCCTGTGCGCATTTGTCACCAGGCGGTCTCGTGCAAGCTGGAGAAGTCTTCTCTTGCGTCCATGGTCTCCGACCCTGTCTCGTACGTTGGGGGGGGGGGTTGGTCGGCGGGTGTTCTGATGGTTTTGGAGGGTTCTAGTGGTCTGCCCATGCGTGCCTTGTACCAGGCTGTCTCGTGCAAGCTGGAAAAGTCTTCTCTTGCGTCCATGGTCTCCGACCCTGTCTCGTACGTTGGGGGGAGAGACGCGAGCGAGGGAAGCAGCAGGAGAGAACATGAAAGAGGGAGGGATGAGGCAAGAGAGACCAGGGGCTCAATGGGCTAAAGGCCGGGATGCGAGGGGGAGGAGGAGTGAAATGAGTTTGGGAAGTAGGAGGCGGAGGTGCTGAGGGAGATAGGGAAGTTGAGAGGTAGACGTAGGGAGGAAGGGAGGTAGATGTAGGGAGATGGATGCAGGGAGAGGGATGTAGGGAGGTAGAGAGGGTTGGAGTGATGCAGATAGGGAGGGAATGACGCACTGAACTGCATGCTGCTCGTGTGTGCTGCAGGGGCCCGCTGCTAGAGGATGGGATGGTGGCCCAGTGTGGGCACTCCTTTGAGGTGACTTTCGAGTCGACTCAAAAGTGGCCCAGTGTGGGCACTCCTTTGACGGAGAGTGTTGAAATGAAGTGCTGACTTGTGTGCTGCTGTCATGTCATGTACCATTGTCGTGTGCTGCTACTGTGTGCTGTTGTGTGTGCTGCGCTGCAGGGGGTCGCTGCTAGAGGATGCGATGGTGGCCCAGTGTGGGCATTCCTTCGGCGGAGCAACACTCGCAAGAGTCATGGACTCGGTAAGCAGCTCCTGCCTTCCCTCATTCCTGTTTGTGCGTCTCAAGATTGAGTTCTGAGACGTTCCAAACTGGACTCGCTAAGGAGTTCCTTCCCTCATGTTTGATTGTGGCTTGCTATTCTGTTCCGTGCTGCAGCCACCTTGCATAGCTATGGTGCTCTACCTGCCACTTTTGCACATGGTTTGCCTCATCACATGCCCTGCCTCACATGCCCTGCCTCACATGCCCTTCCTCACATGCCCTTCCTCACATGCCCTACCTCACATGCCCTGCCTCACAATGCTCCATGGCTCCTGCCTGCCGCTCTTGTGCTGTGCAGATGGTGTGTCCATACTGCATGGCGCCTGTTGACGTCATGGCGCTCATTCCCAACCTCGGTAAGCGGTCTGCCTGGGCTCTGCACCTGCAACCGCTCCTCTTCTCATTATTCCTCTCTGTAGTCCTCACTTCAAAACCCCTCTCATCATCATAGCCCCTTGATTCCGTGATCTTGCCTCTCATGCTCTTGTCTCTCTTGCTCTCGCATCAAAGCTAGTGCGGAAACGCTTGTACTCCGAGTTGTGCTCTCCACATCGCATGTGCGATGGATACACATGTGGTAACACATGTATCCATCGCGCGTGCGCCGTGTGTATCCACCACCATGTGCCGTGGCACCTGCTTGCAGCTGTGAGGCCATGGGGTCGTGCTTTGGAAAGGGCCTGCCGCACCACACACTCTTTTAGTCACATTCTCTCACATTCTCTCACATTCCCTCACACTCTCTCACACTCTCTCGCACATTCTCTCACATTTTCTCACATTCTCTCACACTCTCTCTCACATTCTCTCACATTCCCTCACATTTTCTCACACTCTCTCTCACATTCTCTCACATTCTCTCACACTCTCTCTCACATTCTCACATTCCCTCACATTCTCTCACACTCTCTCTCACATTCTCTCACATTCCCTCACATTCTCCCATTCCCCCACCTCACCTCCGTGTGCCATGGCGCCTGCTTGCTTGCAGCTGTGAGGTCCGTGGCATCATGTTTTGGAAAAGGCCTGCCGCACCACACAGGGGTGGGGGCTGGGCCGAGCGCAAAGCCGCACAAGAGGAAGCGTGACAAGGAGCACACTGGGGAGGGCAAGCTGTTGCCAGATGGCTCCATGCCCCAACCAATCAAGCGCCGCCCCAAGGTGGACCGTTCTCCCCCCTCCCTAACCCCAGTTTTTTTTTTTTTTTTTTTTTTTTTTTTCCCAGCATTGTTGCCCTCCTTGGAGGTACAGCATGACTAAGGTGGTGATGCTGTGCGCTGTGGTGCTGTGTGTGCGTGAGCAGCCTGAGGACTCGGGCCTTCTTGGATCCCCTGATGCTGAAGGGGGAGGCCGCCTGAGAGGCGTCCAGTTCCCATTCTCTGTGAACGAAAAGGTCCTCATAAAGGTGAGGGCCCGTTGACCCGCTTGTTGACCTCCTTTTCTCCCACTCTCTCCCGGTTTTTGTTTGTTAGTTGTTATTATTGATATTATTACTACGGTACTATCAATATTATCAATATTTTGTCACTGCCGAACACTGCAAACGCCGTGCTAATGGCACTCTATGATTGTTTTGCAGGGAAATAAACGAACGCCTGAGAAGTTCTTTGGCAAGGAGGCTGTGATCACCTCGCAGTGCCTCAACGGCTGGTGGGTGCTGCTTGTATGATTTGCACCACCTGCTTTCATGCTTCATATTCGAGGCATTTAAAAAAATGTGTTTTTGCATTCATGTTTGTGCTACCTCTATAATCCGTGAGCTGACAGGGTGTCTCTCGGTCTCTCGTGTCTCTCTGTCTCGCTGTGCCACCAGGTATCTCGTGCGAGTGCAGGACTCGGGGGAAAGCGTCCGTCTGCAGTATCGCTCTCTCCAGAAGTGTGGTCAGTGCTTCACTGCACGAATTCATGATCAATTTAGAGATGTCTCAACATCACTTTCTCCTGCTCTTTTTGTTTGTTTTTGTTTTGTTTCCTGGGACGAGCTTGTCACTTGAATTGCTTCTGTTTTGTGTGTGTGTGTGTGTGTGTGTGTGTGTGTGTGTTTTTTTTTTTTTTTTTTTTTTCTGTGTATGTTTGAAGCGTCTAGAATCAGTATTCGATTATGGTATTTTGTTTTGTTTCACAACTAGCCAACCCAACATCCTTGTCCCTTTTTCTTCTTCTTTTGGCTCCTCTTCACTCGTATTTTCAGATGGATCGCCGGTGGAAGGCAAGTATGAGGCTCACCATGCCAGCACAGCAGAAGCACAGGCGGAGGAAGCAGGAGCAGGCGGGGACGACAACAGCTGGTGGGGCGAGGGGGGTGAGAAGCGCATGATGGGTGAACCATCCGCCTCTCAGCCAATGATGGGCGAGATGTCAGCCTCTCAGCCAATGATGGGCGAGATGTCAGCCTCTCAACCAATGATGGGTGAGATGTCAGCGCTGCTTCAAGCAGACGATGACTCAGACCACCCACCGGCCTTTTCAGACGACACTCTCCTCCCCCACAACCCATCCAACAGCATGTCCATATCCCCATCCCTGCTCGGCCAGTCTTTTGACAACTCCCAAAAGCCTTCCAGCAGCAGCACTCCCCTCTCCCCATCTCTGCTGGGACAGTCCCTCATGCTATCTCCCCCATCCAGCAGCCACCTGGCAATGCTGGTCACCGCTTATGGAAGGTCGTGCAGCCATGCTGACCTCACCGCCGCCGCCCAGCAGTCATGCAGCAATGATGAGCCCGCCGCCGCCCATGGGCGGGCGGCCTTCCAGTGTGGCGGAATCGAGCTGTTTCGATGCGGCTCAGAACCAGCAGGATGGTCACCGGGCAGTGCCGATGCTGAGTGGGGAGGCAGGGGGTGGGCTTTCTGGGAGTGGGGAGGCAGGAAGGGGTGGGAATGAAGCGCTGGTAGGTTCGGGGTTGGGGGTGTTGCCTGGGCATCAGCATGAGCAGCAGCAGGGGGGGTCTCTTCTGGCCCAGGGGACGCATGCACTGATTGCTGCAGCTGCAGCTGTGGAAGCAGAGTGCAGGGGGGAAGCGACTGGTGGGGATGGTGATGGTGCTGGTTCTGGTGGCGGTAAGGCTCCCCTTGTTACCAGTGGAGGGCAATACAGGGGCACACAGGGCAGCAAACATGGGGCCGGGGCGGGTCGGTCGGGCAGTGTGGCTGATAGACGTCTGTCGGACCAGCAAGGGCCGCTGCCTCTGTGGATGTCACCTGACACTGCCACCACGATTTTGCACCAAGCGATATCCGATGCTGGCAATGCTGGCAGTGTGGAGCGTGGTGGTGGGGAGTTGGGAGCGGTGAACAATCAGGCTGGCTAGTGTCCATCTAGGTGTGTTTTTTTGGGGAGCTGTGACCAACCGCACTGCTCCTGTGGATGTCACCCGACACTGCCACCACGATTCTGCACCAAGCTATTTCAGATGCTCGTGGTGCGGGGAATGTGGAGCGTGGTGGTGGGGAGTTGGGAGCGGTGAACAATCAGGCTGGTTAGTGTACATCTTGGTGTGCATTTCTTTAAGTTTGAATGCCAGTGGGTGGTGTACAGGTTTCATTTTTATTCCTGAGTAATAATGGCAGGCATGAGATGCAGCCACTGGGGCTGCCATTGTGTCTGGTATAGGCTGTGCCTTGGATGGGTGTGGGGGTGCCCTGTTCCTGTATGAATGCCAATTCCCTTTTATGTTGTGTAATAATTGTTCTGCATCCACCTGCTTGCGAGCATGTAGGTACTGTCAGACCTGGATATACCCCCAGGTGGGGGTATAAAAAAACCAGGAAAAATGGTGGGTGGGCTTATAAGCCCACTGGTACGATTATAAGAGCATGGGTGTAACATAGGCCTGGGGGTGTATCTGCTGGCTGCAACATGGTGAGTTGGGATGCCGCCCAACCACTCACCCATCAGTTGAATAGATGTGATGTAAATAAGGCATAATGTGAAGTTTATGTGAAGCTGTATTGAGTCATACTATGCGATGCGACCTAGATTCTGCCTCGAAAAGTCAAGAGATCCCGGGCAGCAGCTCACGGATTTCAGAGGCGCCGGCCAAAATATTGGGCCAATGTCGCTGCGCTCTCACGCACTGTTGTCGCTGCGCTCGCGTCTCTCCACCCATATGATTGGTTGACTGGAGGACTTCGGTCCGAGGTGAAGATTTTCGTGAGTCCAGGGTCCAAGGTCATTGGACATGGATCATTGTTCATGGATCACATCACATGCATCCATTGTCGTACCTTTTTGCCATGTCATGTCATGTCACCCATCCCCTCCCCTGGTTTGTGGGTGGGTTGCATTGAACTTCCATCGCCGTCGCCTCGCAATCCCCATCCCATCCATACCATTCCCGATGACCTCGGTTTTGCCGAGTGCTCCCTACACCCTGCAGTACACCCTGTTTCGCGCCACACTGACATTCGCTGTATTGACATACCGCTTATTCTGACATCAACGCGTCCAAAACGGTCCCAGAACATAGCATATAAGCACAATTAGCCGCAATCAACCGTACGCAATAGCATTGTTTCTTACATAAACCGTTGTGTATCGTTCTCCTGGACTGCATTTGCCCGCCACCTACCTGGGGTTCGGTTGCAAGCACCAGCCCGCAAAATCCAAGCACACGTTCGCACTGTAGCCGGGGCTCCCGATTGTCAGAACGTTGAGAAACAGGGTGTATGTGGTCGGTGTTCATCTCGATTCTCGATGTTGAGAGAGCGAAACTCGTCGTCGCTTGTTCACTCGCGACCGTCTCGCCAGCACAATTTGTGTGCTGCACCAAATGCTGCGGATGATGGTGCCGAATGTGTGGGATCAAAGCTGAGGAGGGAGTTTCAGCTATGGCTCCGTAGCATACCTCCGGCCACAGCAGGTTGCCGCAGGAACAGACGTTCAGAAAGAGATTAGCTTGATCCGCACGTACATAAATCCCCGTTTCCCCGTTTCCCCGTCTCTTATCTCGCGTGTAATCCCGCCAAAAGCCGAGCAATTTTTTAGATTCAGATTCCAGAACGAAACCACCAACCCACGACAGCGAGTCTTCCGTTCCCCAATGCCTATGTGCCACGTAGCTCGTGTTCGTCAGCCATCATTTGAGAAAGACCGGCTTCGGGTCAAGCGCCTTGGTCGCCGTCGATCCAGGGCTGCGAACATGTCGTTGACGGTCACGATGCCAGGTTAATCGCCGTCGATATTTCATGAATAGAAGGTGCACCCGTCGGGCATCCCAGCTTTCATGGCGTTGCCCGAACTTTCTCGCGCATTCCTGGTCTTTCTCGCCTCGCCTTTCTTTCTCGCTCTCCTCTCGCGCTTCTCTCGCGCTTCTCCCATTTTTCTCCCGCTTATCCCTTCCCGCCATCGTTCGCCACGGTGTTGTCTTCAGATCATCTCCCTCATTGCCCCATCGCCTGATTCCTCTCGTCACTCGATCCTCCACTCTCCCCTCCTCTCACTTACCTCTTCCCGCCATCGTTCGCCACGGTGTTGCTTCAGATCATCTCCCTCATTGCCCCATCGGCCCTTTCCTCTCGTCACTCGGTCCTCTACTCTCCCCTCTTCTCACTTACCTCTTCCCGCCGTCGTTCGCCACGGTGTTGTCTTCAGAGATCATGTCCCCCATTGCCCCATCGCCTCATTCCTCTCCTCACTCCGTCCGACGGACGCTACTCTCCCCTCTACTCTCCCCTCTCGCCGCTCTCTCGCACTTATTATCCCGCCGCTATAGTTCATGGTTGAAAGAATAGAAAAATCAGTCGGTTTTACGTTATTCCTTCCTGCCTCTACCCTTGTTCCCCCTCTACCAGGCAGCAGTGGCGGAGCGAGCGGAGCTCGAGCGCGGAAACTCCTCAGCGGGATAGCCATTGGTTTCATATCCACCTTTTCTGCCTCTCGGCTTGTTCCCCCTCTACCAGGTAGCGGTGGCGGAGCGGGCGGAGCTCGAGCGCGGAATCTCCTCAGTGGGATAGCCGTTGGTTTCAAGATCCTCCTGTTTTGTGCGTTCCCCCGGTTCCCCCTCTACCAGACAGCGGTGGCGGAGCGGGCGGAGCTTGAGCGCGGAAACTCCTCAGTGGGATAGCCGTTGGTTCCAGATCCACCTTTTTTGCCTTCCCCCCGTTCCCCCTCTACCAGGCAGTGGTGGCGGAACGGGCGGAGCTTGAGCGCGGAAACGCGGCCACTGCTGCCGCTGCCCTACCACAGCCGCCGTCACTGACATTTGAGTCGACTCACAAGTCACCTAGAAGCACCACCCCTTCCGACGCCTTCTCTCCACAAGCTGCCGCTTCCTACCACGAGATCTTGACTTCTGAGGCGCCTCAAAAGCCGCCGTCACTGACGATTGAGTCGACTCACAAGTCACCTAGTAACGCCAATCGTTCCGACGCTTTCTCTCTGCAAACGACACGCTTTCTTGCACTGAATCCTGGGACATTACCACAAACAATAGCTGTCGTCTGAAGCCGGTCTAAACCATTGTCAAGCCCATCTAAGTTATCTATACACAAAGGCCTGTCCTCGTTCGCGTAAGCGAATCACGGCTTCTATCTCTCGCTCGCCCAAGCGAGCGAATCAGGGCTCATTACCAGCCCTTATTCGCAGTTTGTCTGCAGCTGGCTCAGCCCTGACGATTCTCTTGGCGTTTGAAAAAACGCATGTGCCGAAGCACATCGGGGCTTATTCACTGCTACCCCTCGCTTGCACTGTGTTAGCAGCTGGCTTAGACTTAGCTGTCTTCTTCTGAGGCGCTTCAGAAAACGTGGAGGCAAATCAGAGCCTACGAGCCCTCCTAGCGTGCTGGATAGACCAGCCTATCTCTGAGGACCCTCAGAAATAAGTTACAGACCGTCCGCCTAAGATACAGACCCCCCCGCTAAGTTACATACCCCCTGCTAAGTTACAGACCCCCCGCTAAGTTACAGACCCCCCGCTAAGTTACAGACTACAGACCAAGGCCGGGCGAATCAGGGCCTACTAGCGACTCTCCGCCAGGTGTCCATTCCGTGTCGCCACTCCCCGCGCCCTGCCATCGCTACAGACTGCCCGCCCTTCGTCCCTTCCCTCACCTCGCCGCGTGGCGTCGACTCTCAGTCGGGAGTACATTCACTGGCGCTACATCTCGTCTCGCTGCTCCTGTTGCTTCCTGTGGGGTGAAACGGGCGGAGTGACAGCTGGTAGCGGGGCTGTCTAGAGTTGCCTTCTTGTTAACCCGAACCGTCCGATGGATTCGCCTGTAGTTGCGCCTGCAGAGGAGGATCGATCGGCTGTAGCAACAGCGGAGGAACCCTCGGCTGTAGCTGCGCCTGCAGAGTCCCCGGTTGTAACAGCACTTGAGAAACCGTCGGTTGTAGCAGCAGCGTCTGCCAATGTGTCTGAGAAGGTATCAGAGGCCTGCCATGTCGTCGTGAACATGGACTTCGTCACACCCCCGGTTGTAGCCTCACCTGGTGAGAGCTCGGCTGTAGCAGCGGCTGAAAAGGGCAGAGCAGAGCGCGAGGAGGAAAACGAGGATGGCAGCAAGGGGCGTGGCATGGGAGAAGGAGCCCATGCCGGTCCGTCAGTAGCCAAGCAGAAGTTTGATAGAAGCGGAGGAGATCTGGTGAGGGTGAGAGGCCAAGAGAGGCGGGCTCTTGAGTCTCGGATCTTGGAGCTAGAAGGGGAGAAGAGGCGACTGGAGGGCGAGAAGGAGGAGATGGAGAGGAGTGTGGGAGAGGAGGTGCGGCGGAGGAGGGAGGTGGAGGAGGAGGTGGAGGACCTTAGGTCCGGCATGCGCCTTGCCGAGGCTAAGCTTTGGCAATGGATGGAGGCTCGGAAGGGGGTTAGCTTGGGAGGAGGAGGAGGAGGAGGAGGAAGTGGTGGGGAATGCAGAGGATTGGATGGTGCGGCAAGGGCTGCGAGTGCTGCTGCTGGTGATGCAGGTGCTGCTGCTACTACTGCTTCTCCTCACGCCGCCGCTCATGCCACTCCTGCTGCTGACGTGTCCATCACTGCTGACGTGGCGAGCGCTGACGTGGTAGGCTACATGGAGGACCTCCTCCTCCACCAGTCCTGCATGCTGGCTCGCGAGCGGGCGCGGCGAGCAGAAGCTTCCAGGAAACGAGAAGAAGCAGAGGGGCGGCGGGAAGAGGCCGAGCGGGCCTTGAGGGAGTTTCAGCGGCAGGTGGGAGTTTCGGAGCTGGCTTTGCAGGTTAAGGCGGAAAATCAGTGGGAGGATCAGCTTTTGAGGGAGATTTGCTCAGTGGAGAGAGATGCAGAGGCGTTGAGGGGAGTGGTGGAGGAGAAAGACGGGGAATTGGAGAGGCTGAGGGTGGAGGTTTCTAGGAAAGTGGAGCTTTTGAGGCGCGTGCATGGGCGAGCGATGAGGATGAGAGCGGATGCGAAGGGGACGATCCGACGGCTGAGATTGGAGCTGGAGACGGCGCGGGGGTTGCTGGAGAGGCGGGAGGAGAGGGTGAGGGAGAAGGGGAGGGCATTGAGGGGAGAGATTAGTGTGTTGGTAAAGGAGCTTGAGGAGATTAGGGGCGGTAATGAGGTGGTGGTGGGTGTGTTAGAGGAGGCGAGGAAGGAGGTGGTGGAGGAGAGAAGGGAGATTGAGAAGGGGAGGAGGGAAGTGGAGGAGGCTGTGAGGGAGGTGCGGAAACGGGAGAAAGGGAAGGTGAAGGAGGAGGAGGGGGAGGAGGGGGAGAAGGAGGGATCTGCTAATAGGGAAGGAAAGGAAGGTAGTGAGGAAGAGGGAGGTGCGGCTAATGGCAGTAGTGGTATGAGCAATCTGCTGCTGATCCAGGAGGATATGAGGAGGCGAGAGGAGGAGTTGCAGCGAGAGGCGGAGCAGGTGAGAGAGTGGCTGCACGCGGAGAGGCAGCAGCGCGCCCTCCTGGAGCAGCAGCTGGCGGCACTGGAAGAGCAGATAGAGCGGTTGAAGGAGGCGCAGAGTGGTGCTGAGGCGACTCAAGAAAAGCAGCTGGCGGATTTGGAAGGGCAGATTGAGGGGTTGAAAGCGGCGCGGAAGGGTGTGGTTGAGCAGATGGAGAGGGAGAGGCGAGAGTGGGTGGAGGAGAGGAAGAGGGAGAGGGTGGGGAGAGAGGAGGAGAGGGAGCGGGCGGAGAGGGAGATGAAAGAGAGAGTGGAGGAGGAGGGGAGGAGGAGGGAGGTGGAGGTGGAAGTGAGAGAGCTGAAGGAGAGAATTGGTGGGGAGGAGGAAAGGAGGAGGAAGGCGGAGGAGGAGAGAGAGGGAGTGAGGGAGAGAGTGAGGGAGTTGGAAGCAGAGTTGGTGGGAGTGAGGGAGAGTCTTCAGAAAGTAGAGGAGGAGAGGAGAGGGGCGGAGGAGGGGAGGGTGAGAGAGGGGGAGGAGTGGAAGAGAGAGAAGGAGGAGGTAGAGAAGGAGGTGGAGGAGGAGAGGAGGACGAGAGGGGATGCGGAGGAGGAGGTGGTGAGGCTGAAGGAGCGTGAAGTGGCTCTGTTGACCGCGTTGACTGAGGAGACTGGGAAGGTGGGGGCGCTGGAGGCTGCTTTGGTGGAGCACGAGGGGAGGATATCCTCGATAGAAGCAGAGGTTCGCTACAAGGAGGTACGTGCTTGTGAGTTGGAAGCGAGGGTTAGGGAGCTGGAGGGGAAGATTGAGGAAGGTAGGGTTGAGTTTGAGAAGGAAAGGAGGAGGATGGAAGCGGAGAGGAGAGAGGAGAATGAGGTGAAGGAGAGGGAGAGGGAGGAAGAGAGGAAGGAGAGGGAGGCAGAGGAGAGGAGGCGAGCTGCAGAGGTGGCAGAGCGAGAGGCGGAACGAGAGGCAGAGATGAAAGTGAAAGAAGAGGCGATTCAAAGGCTGGGAGCAGTAGTTATTGAGCTTAGAGAGAAGACTGGTGAGCTAGAGAAGCAGCGAGGAGAGAAAGAGGAAACGGTGAAGGGATTAGAGGAGGAAGTGAGAGAGCTTGGGGATATGGTTGCAGTGCTGCAGGCTGGATTAGCTGCGAAACGAGCGGAGCTAGCAGCCAAGGCGGCTGAAACGGAGAGGATGGGTCAGCTGGAAGAGCAAGTGAGGGACGGGGAGGAGCGAGTGAGGGAGAGAGAGGAGGAGGTGAGGAGGCTTGAGGGGAGAGTGAGGGAGGTGGAGGGGGAGATGGAGGATTTGTCTGTGCAGGTGAGTGCGTTGAGAGGGGAGGTGGAGGCGAAGGAGGGGGAGAGGGAGGAGGTTGAGAGGAAGGGGAGGAAGAGGGAAGGGAGGGTGAGGGAATTGGAGGAGGAGGTTGGGAGGAGGGAGAAGAGGGAGAGGGAGATGGAGGAGGAATTGGGTGTGAGGGAGAGGAGGATTGGGGAGCTTCAGGGGTTGGTGAGGGAGAGGGAGAGTGAGGTGGAAAGGAAGGAGGGGGAGAAGGAGGAGTTGGAGAGGGAAATGGAAGGATTGAAGGGAGAGAGGGAGGAATGGCAGAGGGAGAAAGAGGAACTGGAGAGGCAGATTGAGGCGTTGCGGAGGGATAAGGAGGAGTTGAATGGGGAATTGGGACGGTTGAAGTGCGAATTAGAAGGTGTGAAGGGCGAGAGAGAGAAGTGGGAGAAGGAGAAAGAGGTTCTGGAGAGGCAAATTGAGACGTTGCAAAGGGAGAAGGAGGAGTTGAAGGGGAACTTGGAACGGTTGAAGGGAGCATTGGAAGGTGTGATGGGCGAGAAGGAGGAATCGGAAAGGCAGACTGAGGCAGTGCGGAGGGAGAAGGAGGAAGTGAAGAGGGAAATTGAGCGACTGAAGGGAGAATTGGAAGGTCTGAAGGCTGGAAGGGAGGAATGGGAGAGGGAGAAGGCGGAGAGGGAGGGAAGGCTGCAAACGAGCCGAGCTGAGGTGAGGGAAGCGAAGAAGAAGCGGCAGATGCTGGAGGAAAGGGTTCAGTTGCTGCAAGAGAGGGTAGTGCAGGTGGAAGGGGAGAGGGAAGAGACGGCAGGGCTGCTTGAAACGTCAGTGGGGGAACTGGAGGAGAAGAAAGAGATGGCTGGGCAGTTGGGGAAAAGAGTCAACGAACTGGAAGAGCGGGTGAAATCGCTTCAAGACAGGGTCGTGCAGGTGGAAGGGGAGAGGGACGAGACGGTAGGTGAGCTGGAGAAGATGGTCTGTGAACTGAAGGAGAAGAAAGAGATAGTAGGGCAGCTGGAGACGACAGTGAGTGAACTGGAAGTGCGGGCGCAGACGCTTGAAGACAGGGCACGGCAGGTGGAAGGGGAGAGGGCGGAAACGGTGGAGCATCTGAAGAAGGCTGTGAGTGAAGTGGAGGAGAGGAAAGAGAAAGTTTGTCAGCTAGAGAAGGCAGTATCTGAGCTGGAGGAGAGGGTGCAGTCTGTGCAGGAGGAGAGGAAGGAAATCGTGGGGCAGCTGGAGAAGACGGTATGTGAATTGCAGGAGAAGAAAGAGAGTGTCTGTGAGCTGGAGAAGACAGTTTCTGAGCTGGAGGAGAAGGTGCAGTCTGTGCAAGAGGAGAGGAAGGAGGTGGTCTACCAGCTGGGTAATACGACATTTGAACTGGAGGCGAGGAAAGAGAGAGTGTGCGAGCTGGAGAAGAGAGTTTGCGAGCTTCAGGAGAGGGTGCAGACTGTGCAAGAGGACAGGAAGGAAACGGTATGTGAGCTGGAGAAGAGGGTTCGCGAGGTGCAGGAGAGGAAGGATGCGGTAAGTCAGCTGGAGAAGACAGTTTCTGAGCTGCAGGAGAGGTTGCAGTCTGTGCAAGAGGAGAGGAAGGAGACGGTGGGGCAGCTGGAGGTGAGGGCACGCGAGGTGCAGGAGAAAGAAGAGAGAATGTGTGAGCTGGAGAAGAAAGTTTCTGAGCTGGAGGGGAGGGTGCAGTCTGTGCAAGAGGAGAGGAAGGAGGTGGTCTACCAGCTGGGGAATACGAAATTTGAACTGGAGGCGAGGAAAGAGAGAGTGTGCGAGCTGGATAAGAGGGTTTGCGAGCTTCAGGAGAGGGTGCAGTTCCTGCAAGAGGAGAGGAAGGAGACGGTGGGGCAGCTGGAGGAGAAGAACGAGAGAATGTGTGAGCTGGAGAAGAGGGTTTGTGAGCTGGAGGAGTCGATAGGCGAGATGGAGGAGACGCGGTTGAGGGCTTTTGAGATGTCTCAAAAGTCGTCTACTTACACGAGGGAGCTGGAGGAGAGGGTTTCTGAGCTGGAGGAGAGGATAGGCGTGATGGAGGAGACGCGATTGAGGGTGGAAGCAGAGATGAAGGAGAGGGAGGGTGTTGTGCAGGCGAGAGTGGCTGAGTTGGAGAAGGGGGAGGTTGTTTTGCAGGCGAGGATGGCAGAATTGGAGGAAAAAGGGACTGTTTTACAGGCGAGAGCGGTTGAGTTGGAGAGGGAGGTGGAGGAGAAGGATGCTGCTTTGCAGGCAACGGTAGCAGAACTGAAGGAGAAGGGGGAGATTTCGCAGGCGAGAGTGGTTGAGTTGGAAGGGAAGGAGGTTACTTCACAGGCAATGATACTACAACTGGAGGACAAGGAGAGTGCTTTACAGTCGAGGGTGGTAGAGCTGGTAGGAAAGGAGGCTGCTTCACAGGCGACGGTAGCAGAACTGAAGGAGAAAGGGGAGATTTTGCAGGCGAGAGTGGTTGAGTTGGAGAGGGAGGTGGAGGAGAAGAAGGGTGTTTTGCAGGCGAGAGTTGCGGTACTGGAGAATGAGGAGACTGTTTTGGCAGCGATATTGGAAGAGCTGGAGAAGCAGGGGGGCGTTTTACAGGCGAGAGTTGTTGAGCTGGAAAGGGAAGTGGTTGCTTCACAGGCGACGGTAGCAGAACTGACGGAGAAAGGGGATATTTTGCAGGCGAGGGTGGTTGAGTTGGAAAGGGAGGTGGAGGAGGGAAGGGAGGAGGTGGAGAGTGTGAAGCGAGAGAGGGAGGAGGCGAGGGAGAGAGTGTGGGTGGTGGAGAAGGAGAGGGAGTTAGGGGAGGAGGTGATGGTGGGGTGGAAGAAGGAGGTGGAGGAGAAAGAAGGGGTGGTGGTGGGGTTGAGGGGCGAGTTGACGGAGAAGGAAGATTCTTTGAAGGAGTTGGAAGGGGTGGTGATGGGTGTGAGGGGAGAGCTGAAGGAGAAGGAAGGGGAGGTGGTGCGTTTAACAGCAGGTGTGAAGGAGAAGGAAGAGGCTTTGAAGGAATTGGAAGGGGTGGTGGTGGGTTTGAGGGGGGAGTTGGAGGAGAAGGAAGGGGTGCTGGTGGGGCTGAGGGAAGAACTGAAGGTGAAAGAAGGGGCTGTTACAGCCCTGGAGACAGATTTGAAGGAGTTGGAAGCGGTGGTGGTGGGTCTTAGGAGCGAGTTGAAGGAGAAGGAAGGCGAGGTGGCACGTTTGGCAGGAGATGTGAAGGAGAAGGAAGAGGCTTTGAAGGAGTTGGAAAGGGTGGTGGTGGGTTTGAGGGGTGAACTGGAGGTGAAAGAAAGCGAGGTGGCGCGTTTGACAGAAGACCTAAAGGAGCAGGGAGAGACTTTGAAAGGATTGCAGGGAGAACTGGAAGTGAAAGGAAGTGAGGTGGTGCGTTTGACAGGAGAGGTGAACAAGAAAGAAGAGGCTTTGAAGCAGCTTCAGGGAGAATTGGATTCGAAAGAAGAGGCTTTGAAGGAGTGGCAGAGAAAGGTGAAAACACTGGAGGAGGGCGCAGATGCGGTGGTTATGGGGTTGAAAGGTGAAGTAGAGGAGTTGAGAGCGGTGGCTGTGGCGTTGAGGAGTGAGGCAGGTGAGAAGGAAGCAGCAGCGGCGAGGCTGATGGGAAGCCTGAGGAAGGAAATGGAGGAGAGGAAAGAGGTAGCAGCGAGCTTGGTAAGAAGGTTAAGGGAGGATGTGGAGGAGAGGGAAGGGGTTGTGAAGCAATTGCAGGCTGAGTTGAAGGAGAAGGAATGTGAGGTGGTGGTTTTGACAAGCGAGTTGAAAGAGAAGGAACGTGAGATGGCGGATTTGCAAAGAGAGGTTGAGGAGGAGAGGAAGGGCGCGCAGGTGGCATTGGAACAGAAGGAGGGTGAGTTGAGGGAAATGGAGAGAAATCTAGAGGACAAGGAGAAGCAAATCGTGATATTGACTGAGGAAGTGAGCAGTAGGCAGCAAGAGATAAAAATGTTGAAGGGAGATATGGAGGTGTTGAGAGAGGAAAGTGCAGTGATGCAAGAGAAGGCTGGTGAGGCGCTGAGAGAGGCGAGGGAGCAGGTGACAGCGCTGGAAGCACAGATGAGCGGAAAGCAGCAGGAGATTAGAGTGTTGAAGGGAGATATGGAGATGTTGAGAGAGGAAAGTGCAGTGCTGCAAGAGAAGGCTGGTGAGAGTCTGAGAGAAGCGAGGGAGCAGGTGATAGCGCTGGAGGCACAGGTTGAGGAAGGGAGAAGGCAGTTGGAGGAGAGTGTTGAGGAGGGTCGAAAGGCGAGAGAACAGGTGGCAGCGCTACAGGCACAGGTAGAGGAGGGGAGGAGGCAGCTGGAGGAGAAGAGGCAGCAGTTGGAGGAGGCGCTAGAGGAGGGTCGAAAGGCAAGGGAGCAGGTGGGAGCGCTACAGACACAGGTGGAGGAGGGGAGGCGACAGTTGGAGGAGAAGAGGCAGCTGTTGGAAGAGAGGCAGCAGCAGTTAGGGGAGACTCTTTGGGAGCTTCGAAAGGAGAGGGAGGAGATTCAGGTGGTTCGATCACAGGCTGAGGAGCAGAAGGGAGTTGTGCGGGAGAAAGAGGCAATGGTGTTGGTGCGGGATGCCAAGATTCTCGTGCTGGAGTCGGCAGTGGAAGGGAAGGGCAGGCAGGTGTATGCGCTGCAGGGCGAGGTGGCAGAGAAAGAGGGACATATTTCCTCTTTACAAGCAGAGAGAGAAGAGAGCGTGGGGCAAATGGGGGTGCGGGATGCAAAGATTCTGGTGCTGGAGTCGGCTGTGGAAGGGAAGGGCCGGCAGGTGTATGCTCTGCAGGGGGAGGTGGCAGAGAGGGTGAGGCAAGTTAGTGGGCTGCAGGCGAGAGTGGATGAGAAGGAAGGACAAATATCCTCGTTACAAGCTGAGTTGGAAGATGGGGTGAGGCAAATGGAGGTGTTGCGGGCATGTGTGCAGGAGAAGGAGGAGCAGGTGTCCTCGTTACATGCTCAACTAGAAGAGAGGGTTAAGCAAATGGGGGTGCTGCAGGCGAGTTTGCAGGGGAAGGAGGAGCAAGTATCCTCGTTACAAGCTGAGTTGGAAGAGAGGGTGAGGGAAGGGAGTGGGCTACAAGCAAGGGTAGATGAGAAGGAGGGGCAGGTATCCGCGTTACAAGCAGAGGTGGAAGAGAGGGTCAGGGAAGTGAGTGGGCTGCAGGCGAGTGTGCAGGAGAAGAGGGTGGAGATATCCTCGTTACAAGCTGAGTTGAAAGATGGGGTGAGGCAAATGGGAGTGTTACAGGCGAGTGTGCAGGAAAGGGGGGAGCAGGTATCCTCGTTACAAGCCCAACTAGAAGAGAGGGTTAAGCAGATGGGGGTGCTGCAGGCGAGTGCAGGTGAGAAGGAGGAGCAGGTATCCTCGTTACAGGCTGAGTTGGAAGAGAAGGTGAGGCAAATGGGGACACTACAGGCAAGTGTGCAGGAGAAGGAGGAGCAAGCATCCTCGTTACAAGCAGGACTAGGAGAGAAAGAGCGGCAGACGAAAGTGCTGGAGAAGCAAGTGGAAGAGAGTGTGATGCAAGCTGCTGCGTTACAAGCAGGAGTAGAAGAGAGGGAGGAGCAGATATCCTCGTTACAAGCAGGAGTAGAGGATAGGGAAAGGCAGATGTCCGCGTTGCAAGCAGAGGTTGAAGAAAGGGAAAAGCAACTATTTGCGTTACAAGCAGGAGTTGAGGAGAGGGAAAAGCAGATATCCGCGTTACAAGCAGGAATGGAAGAGAAGGAGCAGCAGGTATTGGCTCTCGTGCAAGAGAAGAAGCAGCAGATAGTGGCGCTGCAGAGAGAGAGGGCTGAGAGGGAGCTTGCTGCAAGAATCGAGGAAATGTCTCGGCTGCAGAAGGAAAAGGAAGAGCTGTTGAGAGCGGTTGAAGAGCTGGAGGTGAGGGTGAGGGATAGGGAGGAGGAGCAGCAGCAGGTGCTGGCATTGCAGGCGTGTGTGCGAGAGAAGGAGCAGCAAATAGTGGTGCTGCGGAGGGAGAAGGAGGAGACGTTGAGAGCGGTTGCAGAGCTGGAGGTGAGGGTGAAGGAGATGGAGCAGAAGGAGCAGCAGGTGTTGGCACTGCAGGCGTGTGTGCAAGAGAAGGAGGAGCATATCGTGGTGTTGCAGAGAGAGAGGGCGGAGTGGGAGGAGAGAGTGGGAACGGTGCAATGTGAGGCGCAGGGGAAGGTGAGGGAGATGGAGGAGAAGGAGCAGCAGGTGTTGGCGCTCCAGAGAGAGATGGCGGGGTGGAAGGAGAGAGTGGGAGTGGTGCAATGTGAGGTGGAGGAGAAAGTGAGGGAGATGGAGGGGCTAGTTGCTGAGGTGGAACGACTGGCTGGTGAGGTGGAATGGCTCTATGCTGAGCTGGAAAAGGAGCGCAAGCCGAAGCGTGTCTTGGATGCTGAGCTGGCACGTGTGGTTAAAGCGAAGGAGGGTTTAGAAAAGGAGGTGATGGATTTGAAAAAGAGAGTCAAGGAAATTGAGAGGGAGAGTGAAAAGGCGAGAAAAGAGGGAGAGAGGGAGAGGAAGAGGTTAGGCAAGGAATGTGAGAGTGAGCGTGTGAAAAACGTGAAAGCGAGTGAGGAGCTGAGTAAAAGAGTGCAGGAGCTTTCTGCTTTCAAGACAGAGAGGGAAAGGCTTGTGAGAGAGTGTAAGGAATTTAAGGAAGAAGCGAGGAAGCTTCGAGAGCAAGTGCAGGTGCTTACTGCTGAAGGGGAGGTGTTATCTGAGAGGGTTGGGGTTGCAGAGAGGAGGGTGGAGGAGGAGAGGGGGAGGAGGGAGGAGGTGGAGAGGGAGAGGGAGAGTGTGAGGGAGGAGCTGGAAGAGGGTTTGAGGGGAGTGAGGGAGATGGGGGGGAGAGTAGAGGAGATGGAAGGGGAAGTGAGTGTGTTACAGAGACAGATGGAAAAGGCAGAGGAGAGGAGAGAGGAGGCTGAGAGGGAGAGGGGTAATGTAGAGAGGGATATGGAGATGTTAGTCAAACGGTTGAGAGAGGAGGAGAGGAGTGTGAGGGAGGGAGAGGAGGAGGTGGAGCGAGTGAAAAGGGAGTGGGTGGAGAGTGAAGGGGAGAGGATGAGGCTGATGAGGGAGGTGGGTGGACTGGAGGAAAGAGTGAGGGAGCGAGAGGAGGAGTTGGAAGGGGTGAGGAGGGAGAGGGATGGGTGGAGAAGGGTGGTGGTTAGACTGAAAGAGAATCTAGTAAGGGAAGGAGCAGGGCAAGGAGAAAGGGTGCAAGTGGTTAAGGAGGGGGTGGGGAAAGAGGAGGGGCAAGGCGAAGCAGTGAGGAGGCAGATGGAAGAGGGGATTTGGGCGCTTGTCCGAGCTAATGCTGACGCTGCCAGAGCTTATGCTGACGCTGCGAGGGCTAATGCTGATGCAGCGAGGGCTGATGCTGACGCTGCGAGGGCGGAGGCTGATGCGGCAAGAGCTGATGCTGACGTGGTCAACAGAAGGCTTCAGGAGGTTGTAGCAGAAGCTGAAGCTGCACGCAAGGCGGCTGTAGCAGCTGAAGCTGCAAGGATGGCGTCTGTAGCAGAGGCTGTAGCAGAAACTGTCGCTGCACGGAAGCAGGTTATAGCTCTGGGGGAGGAGGTGGAGAGAGTGAGGGAGGGAGCGAGGGAGCGAGTGAGGGAGTTGGAGGTAGAGATTGAGAGAGTGAGTGAGAGGCTTGGGAAGGCTGAGAAGGAGGTGAGGGAGAAGGAGGGGGAGGTGGAGAGACAAAGGGAGGAGCTAAGAGTAAAAGAGGAGGAGCTGGAAGTGAGGTGCAAAGAGGTACAAGAGAAGGGCAAAGAGGTAGAGGAACAGATGGGTGTTGTGGAAGAAACGAAGATGATTGTATTGAGGAAAGAGGAGGAGTTAGAAATGAGGGGCAAGGAGGTTGAAGAGAGGAGCAACGAGGTTGAGAGACTGATGGGGCTTGTGGAAGAAACGAAGATGCTTGTAACGAGGAAAGAGGCGGAGTTGGGAGTGAGGGGCAAAGAGGTGAATGAATTGACAGGGCTTGTGGACGAAGCGAAGATGCTTGTAGCGAGGACAGAGGAGGAGGGCAGGATGGCACGGATAGTGCTGGAAGGAACAGTTGTTAGCTTAAAAGAGGAGGTAGAGAGGGTTGCAGGAGAGGGGTTGGAAGCGGTGGAGAGGGTTAGAGAGGAGGGTAGGGAGGAAGTAGAGAGGGTTAGGGAGGAGGGTAGGGAGGAGATTGAGAGGGTTAGGGAGGAGGGTAACGAGGAGGTTGAGAGAGTGAGGCAGCAGGCTTGGAAACAGGTGTCGGAGGCTTGGCAAAAGGCTCGGGAGGAGGTGGAACTGGTTAGGGAGCAGCTGGAGCAGGTTCGGGAGCAGCTGCGGAGGGAGGTGGTATCCAGACAGGTGGAGACTGAGCAGAGGGTTGTGGCAGAGGGGAGGTTGCGGGAGATTGAGGAGAGAGTGAGGGAGATGGAGAGGGAGAGGAGGGAGGTGGAAGGGGAGGTTGAGAGGGAGAGGAGGGAGTGGGAGGAGAAGGAGAGGGAGATGAGAGAAGAGTGGGAGGAGAAGAGGTGTGGGATGGAAGTGCTGGTGAGGCAGGTTGAGGAGATGTGGAGGGGGAGGGTGGAGGAAGGGGAGAGGGAGAGGGAAAGGGAGAGGGAGAGGAGGGAGGCGGAGTGGGTGGAGGAGAGGGGGATGTTGGTTGAGGAAGTGGAGAGGGAGAAGGAGAGAGTAAGGGAGGAGGGGGAGGAGAGTGAGAGAGTGAGGAAAGAGGTGGAACAAGAGAGGGAGAGAGCTCTGGCAGATGTGGACAGGGAGTGGGAGGAAGTGAGGGAGCAGAGGGAGAGAGCGAGGGAGGAGGTGGAGAGAGTGCAGAAGGAGAGGGAGAAACTGAGGAAGGAGGTGGAGCGGGAGAAGGAGGAAGTGAGAAATCAACTGGAAATGGATAGGAAGAGGTTAATGGATGATTTGGAGGAAAGAGAGAGGAAGTTGAAAGAGGCAGAGGGGAAGTGGAAGGAGGGGAGGATGGAGGAAGAGAAGGCGGAGGAAACAGTAGGGGAGGAGGTGGGGACGAATGGGGGGAAAGAGGAGGGGAAGAAGGGCGAGAAGAGAGAAGATGAAGAGGTGACGCAGCAAGGAGGTGACGAGGAGGGAAGAGGAGAGGTGGCAGCGAGAGAAGCGGCACAGAGGGACTGGAGGGAGCGAGAGAGGGAATGGCAAGCGAGGGAAGAGGAGTGGGGGAGGAGGACCTTGGAGTGGACAGGGCAAGTGAAGGCGCTGGGTGCTCAGTGGAAGGGGCTTGTGCAGCGAGAGCGGCGAGCGAGAGTGCGCGAGCAGCGGGCCAGAGAGGAGGAGAGGAGAGCGAGAGAGGAGGAGAGGAAGGCTAGGGAGGAGGAGAGGAGGCAAGGGAGTGAAGGGTGTGTGATAGGAAAGGAGCAGGTGAAGGAGCTGGGGGCGCATATCACCAGCATGGAGTCCGTCTGTGGAAGGTTCCAGGTACGTTCCCTCTGTCCTCACTCCATGCCATCCATGCCATCCCCATCCCTTGCCCTTGTTTCCTTTGCTCCCTGCTTGCCCGTATGCGATCTTCCATCCTCTCCCACCACTAAACCTCTTTCCCCACTTTCCCTCTCCCTCCCCTACAGCTCCCTATTCCAGTGTGCCCTTTCGGCCAAGGCCCAGCAGGTGCAGGAGGAGCGGAGGCGGGTGGAGGTGATGGTTCTGCCGGCGCAAATGGCATCTTCCATCCTCTCTCCTTGCCCGTGCCCTCCCCATCCTTGCTCTGCTCCCCTCTCTCCCCGTTCCAGCATGCCCTGGCAGCCGAGGCCCAGCAGGTGCAGGAGGAGAGGCAGTGGGAGGACGGGATGGTTCCATCCCGACCCCCCTCTTCCCCCGCCCCCATCTTCTCCACACCTCTTTAACTTTGTTTCCCTCCCTTCTTTCCCCTTGTTTCCCTTTTTTTCCCCTCTTTCCCGCCTCTTCCCCTGCTCTTTCCCTCTCTCCCTGTTTCAGAAAGCCCTGGCGGCCAAGGCCAAACAAGTGGAGGAGGAGCGGAGGCGGGTGGAGGGGATGGTGCTGCAGGTGGAGCAAGAGAGGGCTGCGCGGGATGCTGCACTGAAGACGCTTATAACAGGGATGGAGAAGCGCGATGTTGCGTGAGTGTAGAGGCCCCTGGTTCTCTCGCATTCGCCTCTTCTTCCTGTCTCCTCATTCCCATCCTTTCATTCCCGTCCGTCCTCCCTTTTTCCTTCGCTTCGCACCATGTCTCCCTGCCATTCTTATCACCCCGCCCTGTGCCAAGCTACCCCTTTTTATGAGCCTCTGAAACTGCTTTTCCAATGTTTAGAAGGTAATCAGCAGCACAAGTTATTGTATAAGCGCCTCAGACCCTTGAAACGGCTTCTTCTTCTCTTCGTCCCTCTCGCTCTGCCAGGCTGAGTGAGCCGTATGCATCAGTGGATGCAGCAGCAGCGCAGGCCTTTGCATGGCACGACTCTCAGTTGGAGGCCTTGACCCGCCGCGCTGCTCACATGCTGCATGCCGGCTCCACTTCTGCTGCAGCGATGCCAACAGCAGCAGCACGTGCAACAACACCAGGAGCTCCTGCAGGAGCAGGAGCGACAGGTTCAATAGCAGCAAGAGCAGTATCAGTGGGGGCAGCACCAGCAGCAGCAACAACCGGGGCAGCACAAGCAGCGCTGCCTAACTCTCCTCCACCGGTCTCTTCCTCCCCTTTCTCTCCTCCAACTTCCTCTCTCTCCTCCTCCCTTTCCTCCTCCCTCTCCCACTCCCTCTCCGCCTGGTCTCTCTCCCACCCTCCCTCCGCCTCCGCCTCCTCTCAGTGCCTCTCTGCCTCCACCCCCTCGCTATACATGGATGGGGGCCACGGTCAGAAAAGGTCTTCGGAACCATGTGCTACAGGGGCAGTTAATGGGGCTGGTGGTGCAGGTGCAGGGGCAGGTGGTGGGGCAGGTGGCGAGGCAGGCACGAGTCATCAAACAGCAGCTCAATCAGAGAGCAGTGGAAGCAGCCCTGAGCAGAGGCGTCCAATGAGCCGAATCAGCCCGGGCAAGCACGCGAGCCCAAGGCCGGAGCACAGGGGGGGACACGTCATTCCCCATGACGCCACCCTGTGAGAACCACTCTAATCCAATCATGCATGCTCCAGGCACCACCAGCATGCTTGTCACAGCATGCTTGCCCGTTGCTGACCCTCAATGTTACGTACATGTTGTAACATATGTACGTGTTGTAACAAATGTACATGATGTATTTTACCTCTCAATGCCCTCCTTCCTGCCCCCTCTCCCGTCTCCCCACTCTTTACCTCCCCCTTTCCTTCTCCCCTCCCTCCAGCCCCACGGCCCTGTGGGATTTCTTTGCAGGCACGTTCGCAGGCCCACCGCTGCTTAAAGGAACATTCTGCACCTTCCAAAACTCCTCTTCCTTCCTTCCCTCTCTCCGTTCTCTCTCCCTCCTCCCCCCCCAGCGCAGCCCCACGGCCCTGTGGGATTTCTTTGCAGGCACATCAGCAGGCCCACTGCTGCTGTGCTGAATGGGGGGGTGTCCCCTCACCCCCTTTTCTCCCCTTACCCTCCCTTTCCTCTCCACTTCCCTTCCCACTCCCCCGTCTCCATCCTCCCCCCCTCCCCCAGCCCCATGGACCTGTGTGAGTCCTTGCAGGGACGTCGCCTCACCCCCTTTCTCCCCTTACCCTCCCCTTACCCTCCCCTCCCTTCCCCCATTCCTTGCCTTACCCCCATCTCCACCCTCCTCCCCTCCAGCCCCACGGGCCTGTGGGATTTCTTTGCAGGCACGTCAGCAGGCCCACCGCTGCCGCTGTCAGTGGTGGCTGACTGGGGTGTGGCGGGAAGACGGCAGCACAAGTGGATGGTGGATGGCGTGTGGATGGAGGTGTCGAGAAAGGTAAGCAGCATGTGTGCTGTGACGTCTCAGCACCAGTAATTGTGGCGGATGCTGGGTGGTGGGGATAGTGGGTAGGTGTGCTTGTGGTGCTTTCTGTGAGTGGGGGGGGAGGAAGGCACAAGTGGGTGGTGTATGGTGTATCGTGGATGGTTGGTGAGACAATATTGCACTTACTTCCACACTTTCCTGTCTAAGCTGCCCCTACTTCCCCCGCGTTCCTTTATGCCCCCCCTTTCTTTCCACTCTGCATCCCATACCACATGCACCATGTGCCATCCCTTACCAATGATGCCACCGAATCCGTCCGTCCCATGCCACCCATGCCGCCCTGCCACCTACCTTACCGCCCGTGCCATCAGGAGTACGAGAGCATGCGTCAGACCCTGGCAGAGCAGCAGATTCAGCTGGCAACACTGGAGCAGGTGAGTGGGGGCTCGGATTGTTGTGGGTTCTGAGGGGTTATGGGGGGTTCTGGGGGGTTCTGGGGGGGTCTGAGGTGTTCTGAAGGGTTTGGGGGGTTTCTGGGGGGTTCTGGGGGAAGTGTGGGATGATACCACCACATGCCGCTCATGCCATCAGGAGTAGGAGGGCATGTGTCAGACCACGGCAGGGCAGCAGAACCAGCTGGCAACACCGGAGCAGGTCAGCGGGGGGGCGGGTTGAGGCACGTGAAAAAGTGTTTAAGTTTTGGGGGGTTACATTGTGTGGTTGGGAAGTATAAGAGGTGTGAGCAGGTGTGAGGAAGCATTTTTCTGCAAATTATTTGATGCTGTTACTGATATGTGTTGTGTTGTTTTCCGTTTTTGTTCTTCACCTTGTGTGCTGCCTGCCTGCACGTGCCTTCCGTTAATCATACAGTTAAGGGCTGATAAGGTCTGGATGGAGGCTGCGTTGGCACAGTTCATTGAGCTCAAGCGGAAATACGAGACGGAAAACGAAAGTCTTCTGTCAAAGGTGAGATGAGTAGGAGCCTTCAGTATGCACTAACCTCATGTTTCCCTCCCTCCATTTGTATCCAGATTTTATCCTCCACTTTCTTGTGATCTAACATTTTTAGTTTGTTTTTTACAAATGTTTCTGCAGATCTCCAGTTATGAGTAAGGCGCTTCAAGAACTGAAGTGTTAGTCTTCCTCTATTGGTGTACCAAATGTACTCAACTCGTTTATCTGTAATTATGTTGGTGTTTTAGAGCCATCCAGATTAAGCTGGGTGCGTCAGAACGCCACGCCAGAAATAAGAATTCTAGCGTCAGCAACTCATCCAGCTGTGCCATCTTCTTGTGCCATCCGAGTCAGCGTCACGTGTCCTATCCCCCTTTCCTTTGTACCTCATCCGTTTTCATTCATTTGTGACGGGCAGCTGCCAGCACATGCAGAAGTTACAAACGTCATGGGCTCATGCCCAACTGACCCAACCATTGCGAAGCGTTTTATTATGGGCAGATTTCGGTTCTTTGGGTGCGGACTCTGACACCCAGTTCTGGGCAGCCTCTGCACTTCTGGCAGCAATCGAACACGCGAGTAAACAACGGTCACCACAAGGAATGCTGGTTTTGAGCATTCGGGCACAATACGAAATTTTGCATAACACCGCACGGGATGTTTCCCATCACTAAGGCTGACGAAATATATCGGCGACATGGACGCGACCTCGTGGCATTCTGTTTCGCGAAATTAAATGGCGGCCCTCTACAGCATTGCAGGGGAAGGAGTTCGCACGCAGGTTACCACCTTATCATGCGCCCCCCACAAAGAGGAATAACCCATGCAGCTCCATGAGATTTTGCTTTGCACCCATTTGGATGAAGACCAAGAAAATGTGCATGGTGGAATTTGCTCGATGCGGCGCGTGAGCCAGGCAAGACCAAGATACAATGACTGGCATGCTCAAGAATCTGAGTTTCTTGTTGCTGTTTCGGACTTGAATGCTGTGTGAGTCTTTCTTTCTGCTCCATTTTCGACTCTCCGCGATTCGTTCCTTGATTTCGTTCGAGTGTTGTAGCCGCTATTGTGAGAGCGCATAGTATAGTAAAGCGGGAGCTTTATATTGGAGCGCCTTTTCAGATTGAGGTCTTGACGTAGTGTCTGGACTTGAGGTCAGATTCCGACTCGCGTTCTGCATCGTTTCAACGTCGGAGCGTCATCGCTGTTTGACTGCTTTGACTGGTTTGACCGTCATGGCTCGCGTACTGAAGCTGTCCGAAGTGAAGGAGCTTGTCCTCGGTAAGAGGACGCTCGTTACAGTGGATGCGAACGACTCGTTAACAACAGCCCTGAAGCTGTTTCAGGAGCACCACGTGACGTCGATGCCCGTGCGCAACCTTCGCCTCTCTGCACCGCACCAAACCGAGAAGCCGTCGCTCAAGAAGCCCCAAGCGTTGCAGTCCATCATGGTGCATCCGTCGCCCATGCGATTCGTCGGCATGGTGAGTCGTCGCTTGTCGCACGTCGCCCATGCGATTCGTCGGCATGGTGAGTCGTCGCTTGTCGCACGTCGCCCATGCGATTCGTCGGCACGGTGAGTCGCCGTTGCTTGTCGCCCATGCGATTCGTCGGCATGGTGAGTCGTCGTTCGTCGCCCATGCGATTCGTCAGCATGGTGGGTCGTCGCTTCTTCGTTTCTGCGCGTGCCTGTTTTTTTTTTACTCACCGGTTCCCAACGTGATGCCCCTGTTCTTTCCGCTCCGCCTGTTCTTTTTGCCCATGCTCGTTCCGACCCCGTTCCTTCCGCCCCTGTTCCTTCGGCCCCGTTCTTCCGCCCCTGCTCTTTCCGTCCCCATTCCTTCCGCCGCTGTTTTTCTTCCGCCCCTGCTCTTTCCGCCGCCGTTCCTCCCGCATGTCTCCGCTCGCAGCTGTCGGTGGTGGACGTGGCGATCTTCCTCGCGGAGTGGGATGGTAACAAGGGCGCGCGTGGCGACGACGGCGAAATGGTGGCGAAGACCCTGTGCGACGTGAAGGTCGCTGACGTCATGGGCAAGTCCGAGGAGACACGTCAGATGGTCGTCGTGGATCCTCATGCCAGGTAGGCACAGCGAGGGGAGGGGGAAATGGAGAGGGGGAGGGGAGATAGGCGCGGAGAGAGAGGGGGAGGAAGGGAGAGATATGTTTAGGCGCCTCACAAGTCCGAGGAGACACGTCAGATGGTCGTCGTGGATCCTCATGCCAGGTAGGCACGACGAGAGGGGAAGGGAAGGGAGGGGGGGAGGAAGGGGGGAGGGGGAGGGAAAGGAGGGAGGGGGGGAGGGAGGTAGCGGAGGGATGGAGGGATGGAGGGAGGGAACGGAAGGAGCGAAGGAAGGAAGGGAGGGGAAGACCGAGGGAGTGAGAAAGGGAGAAAAGGGAAAGGCTTTGAGAGTTGAACAAATTTCAGATAGAGTATGCACTTGTCCGCCCTATTTCCTCTCCTCCCTCTCGCCTTCTTTCCATGCACTCTCCTTCCCTTTTCTCCCTGTCCTCTTTTTTCCACAACCCGCATCGCCTTGCACTTACATCAGGTTTGCTGCTACTCCACTATGAACATGACCGGAACATAGGTGTCCCTCCTCCCCCAAGGATCCTTGCACTAACCGGAACATAGGTGTCCCTCCTCCCCCAAGGATCCTTGCACTAACCGGAACATAGGTGTCCCTCCTCCCCCTTTCCCGTTTTCCCCCAAACCCCGGCCACCCCTTCCCAGTGTGTGGCAGGCGATGCTGCTGCTGGGAGCAGGGGGCTTACTCTGCGGCCTCGTGCCCAACATCCGCCGTGCCAACATGACCTGATCCACTTGCAGCACTTGAACGCCTTGCACGCACTTATTGAGGCTTCCCCTACTTCCCCCCCCTCCTAATCCCAGTGTGTGGCAGGCGATGCTGTTACGAGGAGCAGGGGGTTTCCATCGCGGCCTCGTGCCCAACATCTGCCCCGGCGAGCACGACCTGCTCCCTCTCACCGACGCCCCCCCCAAGCCCGCCACCCTGGCGGAGAGGCGTGCAGAGAAGGAGGAGAAGGGGGAGGAGGGAGAAGGAGCGGCGGTGGTGCCGGCGCCGCCGATGCCTCTGGCGGTGCACAGCGAGGTGACTGGTGGCGTGGTGGGCGAGGAGTACCGCGTTCTGTCTCAGATGGACGTCGCTACGTTCCTGCTGTCACACGAGGGCTTGATGGGACTGGCTCTGGCTAAGAAGTGAGTGGGTAGGAGAGGGGAGAGGGGCGAGAGGAAAGTTGGGTGGTACTTTCTTTGTTCAGGTGACTGGAAAGGTGGTGTCTAGGGGTGTGGGGGGGGGGGAGTCTCGTGTGCTGTCTCCGATGGACGTCGCTACGTTCCTGCTGTCGCATGAAGGGCTCATGGGGCTGGCACTGGCTAAGAAGTGAGTGGGAGAAGGAAGAACCGTGGAAGAGGGGCGAGGTGAGTGGGTGGTGATTTATTCTGGTGACGGGAGGCGTGGTGGGCGAGGAGAGGAGTATCGCGTGCTGTCCCAGATGGACGTCGCTACGTTCCTGCTGTCTCACGAGGGGCTCATGGGACTGGCTCTAGCCAAGAGGTGGGCCGTGGTGTGACTGGTGGCGTGGTGTGACGGGGGGCGTGGTGGGCGAGGAGTATCGTGTGCTGTCCCAGATGGACGTCGCTACGTTCCTGCTGTCTCACGAGGGGCTCATGGGACTGGCTCTAGCCAAGAGGTGGGCCGTGGTGTGACTGGTGGCGTGGTGTGACGGGGGGCGTGGTGGGCGAGGAGTATCGTGTGCTGTCCCAGATGGACGTCGCTACTTTCCTGCTCTCTCATGAAGGGTTGAAGGGGCTGGCTCTGGCTAAGAGGTGAGTGGGTAGGAGAGGGGAGAGGGACGAGGGAGAGTTGGATGGTGATTTGTTGAGGTGATAGGAAGGGTGGTGAGATGGGCGAGGAGTATCGTCTGCTTCTCAGATGGACATCGCTGCATTCCTGCTGTCTCATGAACGGTTGATGGGACTGGCGCTCGTAAAGAGGTGAGACACTAGGAGGGAGATTAGGGTGTTGGGGGACGTGGTGGGCGAGGAGTATCGTGTGCTGTCTCAGATGGACGTTGCTGCCTTCCTGCTGTCTCATGAACGGTTGATGGGACTGGCGCTCGTAAAGAGGTGAGACACTAGGAGGGAGATTAGGGTGTTGGGGGACGTGGTGGGCGAGGAGTATCGTGTGCTGTCTCAGATGGACGTTGCTGCCTTCCTGCTGTCTCATGAACGGTTGATGGGACTGGCGCTCGTAAAGAGGTGAGACACTAGGAGGGAGATTAGGGTGTTGGGGGACGTGGTGGGCGAGGAGTATCGTGTGCTGTCTCAGATGGACGTTGCTGCCTTCCTGCTGTCTCATGAACGGTTGATGGGACTGGCGCTCGTAAAGAGGTGAGACACTAGGAGGGAGATTAGGGTGTTGGCGGACGTGGTGGGCGAGGAGTATCGTGTGCTGTCTCAGATGGACGTTGCTGCATTCCTGCTGTCTCATGAACGGTTGATGGGACTGGCGCTCGTAAAGAGGTGAGACACTAGGAGGGAGATTAGGGTGTTGGGGGACGTGGTGGGCGAGGAGTATCGTCTGCTGTCTCAGATGGACGTTGCTGCCTTCCTGCTGTCTCATGAACGGTTGATGGGACTGGCGCTCGTAAAGAGGTGAGACACTAGGAGGGAGATTAGGGTGTTGGGGGACGTGGTGGGCGAGGAGTATCGTGTGCTGTCTCAGATGGACGTTGCTGCCTTCCTGCTGTCTCATGAAGGGCTGAAAGGGACTGGCTCTGGCTAAGAGGTGAGTGGGACGAGGAGGAATAGGGGAAGAGTTTAGGAAGGAGGGGGCGATGTGTGTGCTCTCGTTTGAATCGACTCATGAAAGGTTGCTTCTGAGAATTCTCAAAAGCGACTCAGAATCGACGCAAGAATGCCCTCCCTCACATTCCCTGCTGCTGCTCCCAGAGTGGACGACTTGGGTCTCATGTGGCCACTGGCCATTATTTGAGTCAAGAATCTAACGCCATTATTCGACTCAAAAGGCTCCTCCTGTTCTCTTCGTTTGCTCCCAGGGTGGACGATCTGGGTCTGGTGTGGCCGCTGGTGATGACCATAACGCCCTCTGATGCTCTGCTTGTAGTGAGTCGATTTTTGAGTCGACTCAAAAATCGACTCACTACACCTGGCGGTGACCACAACGCCCTCTGATGCTCTGCTCTGCTGCATGCCAAGTCACTCTTTTTTTAGGCGCCGCACCATAAAACCGCCCTCACACCCCTCCTCCCATCCCCTTCGTTTGCTTCCAGGGTGGACGATCTGGGTCTGGTGTGGCCGCTGATGGTGACCATAACGCCCGCTGACACTCTGCTGCATGCCCTCTGACACTCTTCTTCAGTCAACTCAAGTATCCTCTCCCATTACCTCCTTGTGCTTCCAGGGTGGACGATCTGGGACTGGTGTGGCCGCTGGTCGTGACCATAACGCCCGCTGACACTCTGCTGCATGCCTTCCGCCTTTTCAGGCGCCATCAGGTCCGTTTTTTGAGATGGGTGAAAAAGCATTGTGTGAGCGTATTCTTAGGAATCATAATCATAGCACAAGAAAAACAGCAAAACCTTTACCTTTTCTCTCCCTTGCCTCCCTGCAACCCCACTGGAGGTGGCAGGCTGCGCGTCTGTCTGAGAAACCTTCAGCACATGCAGTGGTGGCTGCGCATGTGTGTCGTAACGCCATGCAAGTTTCCACGCGTGTGGGGAGTCTCTGATAGCTACTCTCTCCGTCTCTGACGTGCGCTGCTTGTGGAGAGTTCTCCTCTATGGCGCCATCTTATTTTGAGACGTCTCAAAACTCAAAACTTTCGAGGAGACGTCCCAACATTCCGCCTCTGATGTGCGCTGCTTGTGGAGAGTTCTCCTCAATTGCCCCATCTTCAATCTGTCCTCCCACCGCCAACCCCCTTCTATCAGGTTACCGCGCTTCCTGTGGTGGCAGCACACGCGTCCGAGCCCAATTCAGGCTTCCACGCGTGCGGGGAGGTCCTTATCGATACTCTCTCCGCTTCTGATGTGCGCTACTTGTTCCCCGCTTCCCCTGTTTATCATCCCCTCTTACATTATAACAGGTGACGGCGCTGCCTGTGGTGGCTGCACATGCATCCGAGCCCCACTCAGGCTTCCATGCGTGCGGGGAGGATCTGATCGATACTCTGCCATTTATCCTCCTTACCCCACGCCCTACCCGCTTCTATCAGGTTACCGCACTGCCAGTGGTGGCTGCACACGCGTCAGAGCCCCACTCAGGCTTCCACGCGTGCGGGGAGGTTCTTATCGATACTCTCTCGGCCTCTGATGTGCGCTGCATTCACGTGTTGGAGGGGGGGGTGGAGGGGAAGAAGGGACACGAGGGGGTGAAGGAGGAGAAGAAAGAGGGGAAGAAGGAAGAGGGGAAGGGGAAGCACGGGAAGAAGGGGAAGGAGAGGAAGGGTCATGGGAAGAAGACAGCGGTGCGGGTGGGTGAGGAGGAATTCGAGGACCTTGGGGCGATCACAGTGGGGGAGTTTCTGAGCGCTGTCAGGACGACACAGCACCGCCACCTCATCACCTGCACCCGGTGAGCATGCCACGTGTCACCTGCACCAGGTAGCACCTGAGTCGCAGCAGGTGGTAAACATAGCGCAGAGCACGGGCTACTCCCTCCTCTCTCTTCAACCTCTCACTAGTTAGTTGGATCTTGCCACATCCTTGCTGCATCACTCTCGCATTCCTGTCGCACCTTTTCTCATTCTATCACAGCAACACGAGTCTATGGAGTGCGGTGCACCGCATGGTGAGGGGAAGAGTGCAGTGTGTGTGGACGGTACACCACCCACACACACATCCTTCGTTTTCCTTCCTTTTTTCATGAATTTGCAGAAACTCGAGTCTAAGGCGCGTGCTGAGGGTGCACCGCGTGTGGGTGGTTGGTGGACGAGCCATTCTCGTATCCCCCTTTCCTCTCCTCACATTTTGTGTCATTCCTCTCTTTTCCCCCCACAGCAACACGAGTCTAAGGCGGGTGCTGCACCGAATGGTGAGGGAGAGGGTGCACCGCGTGTGGGTGGTGGATCAGCAGGAGCAGCCCTCTCCCATGCCCTCCCCTCGCATCCCCTCTACAAGCATCTTCAAGGACAACCTAGAAGACCAGGGTCACGCTGGCAACGGCAAGCCGAAGGCGCACGCTGCTACAGTACTCCCGGCCATAGAAGAGGACAAACCGGCTGTAGCGGAGGAAGGTCCGGCTGTAGCAGCAGGGGAAGAGGGAGTGAGACTTGCTGCTGCTAGCCTTTTACAGGGTGTAGCTGGATCGTCGATGGGAGGGGTTGGAGGAGGAGTGGGTGGGGGAAATGTGGAGATGCATTTACAGGGAGTGGTGAGCCTTACGGACATTCTCCGTATTGTGCGTGTGCTGCCCATTGCCAGTCTCTCCTCCTCTCAGCTGGGCGAACTGGGGAAGGAGTTGGATGTGCAGGAGGGAGGGGAGGGGAAAGAGGAGGAGTTGGAGGGGTGGGAGATGGGTGGAGGAGAGTTCCTCACTCCTGATTGGAGCATAGCGCCCGGGTCGCTGCTGGATTGGTGGCCGAAAATGAGCAAGTCTTCCTCGGTTGGTGGTTGATGGAGATACTGTGAGGTTGCTTATGTTGGTGGTTGATGGAGATACATATTGTCATGTTCTCGTTAGAAGGCTGCTGGAATGGTCGAACGAGAGTTAAGACTCACGACAGGTGGAAGTATGACTACTCCTTTGGCTTGGCATAGGTCTTTATTTTGTTATTTCATGTCCCATTCTCCCTAGACCTCTTGTTTTCTGTGTTTTTTTTAGTTTGTTAGCTTGCTGTTTTTGTAGATCCTGGTAGTGATTGGCAATTCAACCTGCTTATGTTTGTATAACGTTGTTGGAAATATGAACTGTTCTGCTTCGTTAACTTGTCCTGGTGGAAACACCTACTGCCTTGTAGAGTGGCAATGACGCTGATAGGACCAGGACGAAGCGGATTCGTTGTGTGACTGACAAGATTCGTCCTTTCAATTGCCAGCACAAGTGCGCGTGTGAGGGCAAAATGTAAGAAGGTTCACCTTGGGATTACCGCGTTCCAATCTCCAATCAGCGGGCCTTGGGATTTCCACTGCATGCTGCTCACCATGCTAGTTAGAGATCATTTCCTCAAACACTAGAGGGAAAGTACTAGAATGCGAACATTCACACGACCTATTCGGCCGGATTTTCGTTATACGCTTCTTCGTTTGTAAATATCTGACATCTCCATCGCCACCGTCCATCTGCGGGTGCCTCAGGCGGCATCGTTTTTTTCGCTGTGTGCCCTTGGAGCTCTTGACACCCCCCTTTACGGTCGTAGCAGGGTACATCCCTTGATTCCATTCGGGCGACAACAGTTTATACATCTCCTGCTACAACCTCTCAGGCTAGAACCGTGTATTCCATTCGGGCTACAGCCGTTTGCACATCTCCGGCTACAACCGCTCAGGTCACAACCGTTTGCACGTCTCCGGCTACAACCGCTCAGGTCACAACCGTTTGTTCGCTCCGGCCGCGCTGCGCTGCGACTCCGCGCAAGCCCGTCTCCGCAATGGGTGGCCTACACTGGCGGAAGAAGGGCGGCGGAAAGGACGGAGGGGGGTCGAGCGCGCGCAAGCAGGTGGTGCTGACGGCGGCGCAACTGACGGAGCTGGAGAGTTACATTCAAGACATGGAGGCCAAGTGCGCGCAGTTTCAAGTGAGTATTCTCGCCTGAATCCCTCACTTGTACTGCGCATGGTTCCAAAAAACAACTGACGGAGCTGGAGAGTTACATTCAGGACATGGAGGCCAAGTGCGCGCAGTTCCAGGTGAGTATTCTCGCCCTGAATCGCTTACTTTTGTTGCGCATGAATTTAAAAAGCAACAGGAGGAGCTGGAAGGGAACATTTAAGACATGGAGGCGAAATGCGCGTAGTTCCAGGTGAGCTGCATTTTAGGCGAAATGCGAAACGGGAAATGCGAAATACGGATATGCGAATCTTCGAGAATGCGAGATGCGCACAGCTCTCAAGGTGAGCTTGAAGTGCGCGTACTTTTTCAGGCCAGTCTTTTGTCAAGCGTTCCGGCGTGCTCCTCTCCCGCTGCTTTCCTCCTTTTCCCCATCTGCATTCCACCTTCCCTGCCTTGAGCCAGTGCAGCCATCTCATCAGCAATCTCTCAATCTCTCTCCTCCCCGATCTCTCTCTCGTGTTCCTTCACTATTCTGCAGTTGAACCTCCCCTTTCTCCACTGCCTTGCCCTCCGCCCCCAGGTGGTGTTGGCGCACAAGACATTCGCTAAAGGGCAGCTTGAGAGGCGGGCGAGTTGTTTGTGAGACGTCTCAAACCCCCTTCGCTCCCTCCCACCACACCCGTTCCCCGTTCTCCCCCTCTCCCCCCCACGTGGTGGTGGCGCACAAGGCAATGGCGGAGGCGGCCGTGGGGGGCCAGCTTGAGGCGCAGCTGATTCTGAGATGGCCGTGAGGGGCGTCTCAACTCTCCTCCTTCCTTCCACCCCCACCCCATCCGCTAATCCTGCCGTCCCTCGTTCCCAGGTGTGGTGGCGCAGAAGGCAGCAGCGCAGGCGGCAATGAGGGGGCAGCTTGAGAGGCCGGCGAGTTGTGAGACGTCTCAAACCCCTTCCTTCCATTCCCCTCAACTACGCACCTCCCTCCCCCTCCCCCCCTTCCCCCCAGACGGTGGTGGCGCAGAAGGCAGCAGCAGAAGCAGCCATGAGAGGGGAGCTACAGGGGCTGGCAGCGGGGGTGGAGGGGGAGAGGGCCGCTCGGGAATCGGCTCTGGATGCTCTGATGACGGACTTTGAAAGAAGAGTGTGCGTGGGAGGGGGGAGGGGGGGTGTGTGTGTGTGAGTGAGTTCGCGAGTGGGCGAGGGACTGTGATGGGGTTTGTGGCGTCATAAGAGTGGAAGGGGGAGCGGGCCGCTAGGGTATCAGCTCTGGATGCTCTGATAACGGGCTTTGAGAGTCGAGTGTGCGTCGGGGGTGGGGAGAGAAGGGGGGAGCGGGGAGGGGTCGGGGGGGGGGGGGGGGGGGGGGGAGGGGGGGGGGTGGGTGTGGGGGTCATAATAGAGGACGAGTTTCTTGCGAAATGACTCCGGTTGCTCTGGTGGCGGACTTTTGAGGCGCCTCAAAAGTTTTATCGCGAAATAACTCCGGTTGCTCTGGTGGTGGACTTTGAGAGCAGAGTGTGCGTGGGAAGGGGAAGGGGAGAGGAGGGTGAGAGAGAGAGAGTATGAGTGTGATTGGGTGAGTGATTGTGATCATTGCACTCCCACTCACACCACTTATCACCGGTTCCAACCATGCCTACCGCCTTTTCATCCCTCTCCACCCCTTTCCGTCCCCCTCCACGGAACTGCAGGTCTTCCCGTGTCCCCTCACCCTCATCTCCCCCTCGCCCTTCCCCACAATCACCTCCTCAGCTACAGCTGGCCCCACCGAACCAGACTCCATCTCTCCCCCTTCCACACTCCCTGTTCATTCCCCTCACATTTGCCCCCTCTTCTTTTTCCCCCTCTACCTAACTGCAGGTCTGCCCGCCTCCCTCCACCCTCGTCTGCCCGCTCGCCCTTCCCCACAATCACCTCCTCAGCTACAGCTGGCCCCACCGAACCAGACTCCATCTCTCCCCCTTCCACACTCCCTGTTCATTCCCCTCACATTTGCCCCCTCTTCTTTTTCCCCCTCTACCTAACTGCAGGTCTGCCCGCCTCCCCCCACCCTCGTCTGCCCGCTCGCCCCTCGCCACCATCACCTCTTCTGCTACAGCTGCCTCCACCGAACCGGACTCCATCTCCCCGCCCTCCACCCTCGCTCCACCCTCTCTCCCCTCCTCTCTCACCTCCTCTCTCCGCTCCTCAGTCCGCCCCGCCCTCCCCTCCTCGCTCTCCTCCTCCCTGACCACCTTTGTCAGCAGCAGCAGTGAGATAGAGGCTTTGGCTCAACGAGCCAGAGCCGCGGCTCTGGCTGCTGCTTCAGCCGCTGCTGGCAGGGGTGCTGGTGCTGGTGTTGGTGCTGCTGGTGGGGCGAATTTCGCTGCTCTGCCTGGTGTCAGTGCTGGTGGTGGTGATTTTCCAGGAATGGCAGAGGCAGGGGGCATGATGACTTACCCTGGAGGGCCACACACTTCCCTGTACGTTTGCTGGTGGTTCTGCTGGCATGCCTTATGCCCTGTTCTCTTCTTGCAATTAAGGGTCAGTGGTCTTCTGACATGTTTCTCAGAGGATTACTTTTGACATTTCTCACAGCTCCCCCCTCTCAACGCCCCACTCCCCCCTCTTCCCTCCCCACTCCACACTCCCCCCTCCCCCCTCCTTCCTCCTACCTCTCCCCTCCCCCCTCCCTCCTCCACCCTCCCCGCCCCCAGCATCCCTACCAGCAGCACGGGGGCAGGCAGTGCCGTGACGGAGAGGAGTGACGGTGGGGGCGGTGGGGGGTGGAGCCTGGGGCTGGGACTGCGCTGGAGCGGGGGAAGGGTGCAGCGCAGACAGCGATTCGTGGTGGACACTGCATGGCTGGAGGGGATCAGGCGGGTGAGTGGAGGTGGAGGGGAGGAGGTGAAAGGAATGCATGCTGTGTGCGTGAAGGACCTTTGAGGCGCCTTAAAAGGTGGAGAGGAGGCAGGGTGCAGCGCAGATGGCGATTCATGGTGGATACTGCGTGGCTGAGGGAATTAGAAGGGTGAGTGAGAGGGGTTGATGGTTAATAGCTTAAGACAGACATAGCATCACAACAAGGTCGCAGGGAAGCAATAGGAGCAACGGAAGGACCTTTCCTTTTCCCTGCCTTTATCTGCCTCCATCCCTCTCTACCACTCTCAGTCGCTCTCCACCCGCCCAGTTCCACCCTCAATGGAGCTCCAGCGGCAGCTGGCAGAGGAGCAGCAGAAGAAGCGTCCTCTCCCCACCTTTATATGTCTTATCCCTCTCCACCGCTCTCCATCTCTCTCCACCTCCCTTCTCCCCCTTTCATCAGGACTACATGGAGCTCCAGCGCCAGCTGGCAGAGGAGCAGCAGAAGAACCTGGTGGTGCAGCAGGTGAGAGTGAGAGCGGGGTACAGCTTGGAAGGCTAGGAAGGTATTTCTGAGGTGTTACTTGTGAGAATTCTCGAAAGTATGACCAACATATCTGAGGTGGTCCTGCAGATGAGGGTATAAGGATTGATTCGTGTTGCCATTCTGTTGACCTTGCTGGCTTCCTGTGGTTATCCTTGCTGCCTTTTTGTTGGCCATGTTTAACTTCTGCTGACTCATGTTGACTTGTCTGACTTGCATTGACTTGTGTGACTCATGTTCTCTTATGCTGACTCACGTTGACTCCCTTCCAGCTGGCAGCGGAGAAGGCATGGATGGAAGCAGCGCTGATGAGGTTCCTACAGATGAAGAGGCAGCACGAGGAGGAGGTGGCTCAGCTCATGGCCAAGGTGAGCCTTGGAGCCATGTGGCATGTGGCATGTGGCATGTGGCATGTGCCTGTGTGACATGTGCCTGTGTGACATGTGCCTGTGTGACATGTGCCTGTGTGACATGTGCCTGTATAATATGTGCCTGTATGACATGTGCCTGTATAATATGTGCCTGTGTGACATGTGCCTGTATAATATGTGCATGTGTGACATGTGGCCCTGTGAAGTGCGCTCCGTTCATGCACGCACATCTGATCTGACATGCTAAACACCTCTCATTGCCTCACACCCCTCTCTCACGACCCAGCAGCATCGATCTTCAGGTCTTTCATTCCCTTTCTTCTTCGTTATTGCTTGTCTCGGCATGACTATGAACCATCATGCCTCACACCAACCACTTTACGGCCTCCCTTGCTTTGCCCCATCCAGGTGGCTCGGTTGGAGCAGGCAGTTGCCAGCTCAAGCCCCTCTGTGGCCGCTGCTGCTGCAGAGAGAACAAGCTGATTAGTCATTGCATGACTATGAACCATCATGCCTCACACCAACCACAATACGGCCTCCCTTGGCTTGTCCCATGCAGGTGGCTCGGTTGGAGCAGGCAGTTGCCAGCTCAAGCCCCTCTGTGGCCGCTTCTACTGCTGCTGCTGAGAGACCTAGCTGATTAGGGGTTAAGCAACAACTTTTGAGGCGCCTCAAACGTCAGTTGGAGCAGGCAGTTGCCAGCTCAAGCCCCTCTGTGGCCGCTTCTACTGCTGCTGCTGAGAGGCCAAGCTGGTCTCACCTACCCGAGGGACAGATGTTGGTTGTAAGGGTTCTAATTAATCGATAAAGTTTATAAAAGTATATCTTAGTCCAGGTTTAAGACTCAGTGGCCACTGCTGCAGAGTGGCCAAGCTGGCTGTCTCTACCTAGGGTACCGTTACCGTACCAGTGATCTCATACCAAAATGGTTTGCTACTTTGTGTACAATACTGTCTTCTCAACGTGATGTGATGTGATATTCCAAACATGTCTGTTACCGGTACGTTATTGGCTTGCAAAGGCAGAAACTAAAGTTCTTCTACGGTAGTGAAACTACCGGTATAGAGACAGGGAGATACCAAGAATGTATTACAGAAACTGTTGTGCAAGAAAGAGAGGATTTGAGAAATGGTATGTTCCCGCATGTACGGTAACAGTGCGACAAAGATATAGCAAATGCTGCCTCGAACGATTTTAAACGAATAGAGCGTCGTAGGCATTGCCTACGGTATTTGGCGGAAGCCACAAATGCAGGCATTTACAGAATGGCCTAGGCCTCCGTGATAGCAGATCTTGGGTTGGGGGACATTCTTCCAGCCATTTACAGAATGGCCTGGGCATGCTCTGTGATTACTCAAAGGACTTGTACCGGTAAGAATTTGTACAACTGTTGCTGGGGCACGAAAACATATGCAACCAACTTTTTGTTCAAGGTCTGTTCAATTTGGTCTGATCTGAGGGCATCAAGCAAGTCGTTAGGGCTGCTGTCCCCCCCCTCCCTCTCTCCCTCCCTCCCCTCTCCTCCTCTCCTCTACCCCATAGCCGCTTTCAGAGCATCCCCCGGGCCTTGGAAGAAGCACCAGGAGAGGGCAAAGTCGGCGATAAAGACGAGAACCAGCGAGATGACGACGGCAGCCGTGGTGGATTCGCCGACGCCCTTGGCGCCGCCCTGTGTGGTCATGCCCCACCCGCAGCTCACATCCGCTATGATCCCCCCAAACACCACCGCCTTCACCATCATGCTCAGCACGTCCCACGCCTGGGGAGTGGGGAGGGGTGGTTGGAAGAGAGATGGATAGGAGCGGGGTGAGCGAGCAGACGCCCTTGGCGCCGCCCTGCGTTGTCATGCCCCACCCGCAGCTCACATCCGCTATGATGCCCCCAAACACCACCGCCTTCACCATCATGCTCAGCACGTCCCACGCCTGCATGGGGGAGCACCAAGGGGAGAGGGGTGAGGGGTGGGTAAGAGGGATGAGAGGGTGGCTTATGAGGGGAGATGGTCCCGAACACCACCGCCTTCACCATCATGCTCAGCACGTCCCACGCCTGTGTGGTGAGCGGGAAGGCGGGGCAGGGTCATGAGGGTTTTTCAGAAGGCAAATAGAGGTTATGGTGGAAGTTGATGGCTCTAAACACCACCGCTTCACCGTTATGCTCACCATGTCCCACACCTCCATACCCCACACCACCGCTTTGCATACCTGCACTGCAGCGCCCTGGCAGCCGAGTCGAGGATGATGTTGGAGCTGACATTGTAGACGGCATCAGCGAGGAACACAGAGGAGGCCATGCCCACCGTGAAGCACAGCTCAGCAGCTTGAGCAGCAGAGAACAGCACAAGTACCTGCAGCGCACGAGCAGCATAGAACACACCTTGTACACCCAGAACACGCACCTGCAACGCCCTGGCAGCGGAGTCGAGGATGATGTTGGAGCTCACATTGTAGACGGCATCGGCCAGGAACACAGAGGACGCCATGCCCACCGTGAAGCACAGCAGGGTGAGCACTGGCAGGGCCACAGCGCATGCCACCACTCGCGGAGTCACAAGGTAGTCGACTGGGTCGGTCTTGAGAACTCGCAGGGTGTCCGTTTGCTCTGATACCTGTGTGGATTGCACGTGGGAAGGGGGAGGGGGAAGCAGAGGAGCACTGAGGAGGCCATGCCCACTGTGAAGCAAAGCAGGGTGAGCACCGGGAGGACCAGCGCACACGCCACCACGTGGGGAGTCACCAGATAGTCCACTGGGTCGGTCTTGAGCACTCGCAGGGTGTCCGTTTGCTCTGACACCTGTGTGGATTGGGGGCAGAGGAACACAGAGCACAGCAGCGTGAGCACGGGGAGGGCTAGCGAACACGACACCACGCGTGGTGTCACGGGGTAGTCCGCAGGACAGGATCCGTCTTGAGCATGTTATCAGACATTCCAGCGAGCTAAGCAGCTCTGTAAAGTCGAAGCTCTTCACTAAGCAGTGGCTACCCCGTGGTGTCACGGGGTAGTCCACAGGATCGGTCTTGAGCACTCTGAGGGTGTCTGTTTGCTCTGATACCTGCAGGGAGGGAAGGGAAGAAGCAGACAGGAGGAACTGGATGAAGCACAGCAGCGTGAGCACGGGGAGGGCGACGGCGGCACACGCCACCACGCGTGGCGTCACGAGGTAGTCTACTGGTGATAGGTCTTGGGCAATCTGAGGGTGTCTGCTTGCTCTGACACCTGTGTGGGTTGCATGACGATAGCGGCGACGACGGAGGAGAGCGCATGGTGGGCGAGGTTTCTTTGGCGTCACTGGTGTGTGCTGATTCCCACCTGCATGGTGCCAGCTCAGCAGCGAAAGAACTCCCAACGCGGCCAGCCACGATGATAGTGGTGGCGGCGGGGGAGAGCTTACGGTGACGTGCAAGTATGCTGCACCCAATCTCACCTGCATGGTGCCTAGTTCAGCAGCAAAGGAGCTGCCCACGCGCCCAGCCATGATGGTGGCGGTGGCGACGGGCGAGAGCTCTTGGTGAGGGTGTTGGTGATGATGATTGTACGTGGCCTAAAACCCACCTGCATGGTGCCTAGTTCAGCAGCAAAGGAGCTGCCCACGCGCCCAGCCATGATGATGGCAGTGACGACGGGCGAGAGCTCTTGGTGAGGGTGTTGGTGATGATGATTGTACGTGGCCTAAAACCCACCTGCATGGTGCCTAGTTCAGCAGCAAAGGAGCTGCCCACGCGCCCAGCCATGATGATAGCGGTGACGACGGGGGAGAGTTCTCGGCACAGCGCCAGCGCCAGCACCCCCCCCACAGAACGAGTCAAGCCCAGCCGGGCGAACTCCCGCACGAACTGGGGAGATGGCAAGGGGATGGGAGCGCATGGGAGGATCATGGGAGGGGATGGAAGGGGATGGGAGAAGGTAGGAGGGGCGTTTTTCTCAGCTGCCTACGCAATTGGGTCATGATGATAGCGGTGGTGACGACGGGGGAGAGCTCTCTGCACAGCGCCAGCGCCAGCACTCCCCCCACGGAGCGAGTCAGACCCAGCCGAGCAAACTCCCGCACGAACTGGTGGGAGTGGCGGGCGGGGAGGGAGGGGAGTGGTGGGGGAGAGGGAGGGATGGGAGGGGGTAAGAGGGCGATTATAAAATCAAACGGGCAAACTGGGTAACAGCGCCAGCACCCCCCCCACGGAGCGAGTTAGGCCCAGCCGAGCAAATCCTGCACGAAGTGGTGGGCGGGTGGGAGGGAAGGGAGTGGTGGGGGAGAGGGAGGGATGGGAGGGGGTAAGAGGGCGATTCAAGAATCAAACGGGAAAACCGGGTTACAGCGCCAGCACCCCCCCCACGGAGCGAGTTAGGCCCAGCCGAGCAAATCCTGCACGAAGTGGTGGGCGGGTGGGAGGGAAGAGAGTGGTGGGGGAGATGGAGGGAGGGGAGGGGGTAAGAGGCCGCTTCAACAATCAAACAGGCAAACCGGGTAACAGCGCCGGCACACCCCCCCATGGAGCGAGTCAGGCCCAGCCGGGCGAACGGAGATGGGAGGGGTTAGAGTGGGGCAGGAGGGGATATGAGGAGATCGAGATGGCGGTGACGACGGGGGAGAGCTCTCTGCACAGCGCCAGCGCCGGCACACCCCCCCATGGAGCGAGTCAGACCCAGCCGGGCGAACTCCCTCACGAACTGGGGAGATGGCAAGGGGATGGGAGCGCATGGGAGGATCATGGGAGGGGATGGAAGGGGATGGGAGAAGGTAGGATGAGCGATTTGCTCAGCTGCCTACGCAATTGGGTCGTGATGATAGCGGTGACGACGGGGGAGAGCTCTCTGCACAGTGCCAGCGCCAGCACTCCCCCCACAGAGTGAGTCAAGCCCAGCCTGGCGAACTCCCTCACGAACTGGTGGGAGTGGTGGGAGGGAAGGGAGTGGTGGGAGGGAAGGGAGTGGTGGGAGAGATGGAGGGATGGGAGTCGGTAAGAGGGCGATTCAAGAGTCAAACGGGCAAACCGGGTAACAGCGCCAGCACGCCCCCCACGGAGCAAGTCAGGCCCAGCTGTGCAAACTCTCGCACGAGCTGGTGGGTGGGGTGGGAGGGAGGGAAGGGAGTGGTGGGGGAGATGGGACGAGATAGGAGGGAATAGGAGGACTTCAACCGGGCGAACTCCCGCACAAACCGGAGGGAGGGATGGAAGGGTTGAAAGGGTTGGGAGGGGATAGAAGGAGGTGGGCAGGGGTGATTGAGATGGGCAGATGGGAAAAGAGAGCGGATGGTGTACACAGGGACATCAAACCGAACAAGTGGATGGTAAGCCTCCCACCTGGATGGTGAAAGCCATGCCAACGAAACATGCTGTCAGCAGGGAGACTCCGAGAGATCCTGGCCCCACGATCTGAAGCTGAGTCAGCAGATTGCGCCAGTGTACGCGCCCCGTCAGCACACGCATGGACACCTGGCAGCACACAATTGGATGCGAGAGAGGAGGCAGCAGAGACCTTTATAAGTGAACTTTGAAGCGTAGATACTTAAGTTTCATCTCGAGGGTATTGACCGATGGGAACTGGCGGATCCATAACGCATCAGTGGGCATATCTACATCAGTGCAAAGCTTAGTCAAATAGCCCAACTGCTCCCAGTCCCACCTGTCCCGCCATGATGAGGGTTGCAAACGCCCGCCACACAGTCTGGGGCGGCTTCCACTTGAGCTTTGCCTTCTGCCAACTGCCCTGCCCGTGCTTGCTGCCGTCGTCTGACCCGCTCTCGTCAGCTGGTGATGGGGGAGAGAGACGGATGAGGGAGAGGATGAAGGGAAGAGGGTTGCAAACGCCCGCCACACTGTCTGGGGCGGCTTCCACTTGAGCTTTGCCTTCTGCCAACTGCCCTGCCCGTGCTTGCTGCCGTCGTCTGACCCGCTCTCGTCAGCTGGTGATGGGGGAGAGAGACGGATGAGGGAGAGGATGAAGGGAAGAGGGTTGCAAACGCCCGCCACACTGTCTGGGGCGGCTTCCACTTGAGCTTTGCCTTCTGCCAACTGCCCTGCCCGTGCTTGCTGCCGTCGTCTGACCCGCTCTCGTCAGCTGGTGATGGGGGAGAGAGACGGATGAGGGAGAGGATGAAGGGAAGAGGGTTGCAAACGCCCGCCACACTGTCTGGGGCGGCTTCCACTTGAGCTTTGCCTTCTGCCAACTGCCCTGCCCGTGCTTGCTGCCGTCGTCTGACCCGCTCTCGTCAGCTGGTGATGGGGGAGAGAGACGGATGAGGGAGAGGATGAAGGGAAGAGGGTTGCAAACGCCCGCCACACTGTCTGGGGCGGCTTCCACTTGAGCTTTGCCTTCTGCCAACTGCCCTGCCCGTGCCTGCTGCCCTCGTCCGACCCGCTCTCGTCAGCTGCTTGGTGAAAGAAGGGAGGAGAGTGAGGAGGGGAGGGTGCGGGGGTGACTGGCTGTGCGTGCTGCCCTTGTCTGACCCGCTCTCATCAGCTGCTTGTTGAAAGAAGGGAGGAGAATGAGGAGGGGAGGGTGGGGGTTGACTGGCTGTGCGTGCTGCCCTTGTCCGACCCGCTCTCATCAGCTGCTTGTTGAAAGAAGGGAGGAGAATGAGGAGGGGAGGGTGGGGGGTGACTGGCTGTGCGTGCTGCCCTTGTCCGACCCGCTCTCATCAGCTGCTTGTTGAAAGAAGGGAGGAGAATGAGGAGGGGAGGGTGGGGGGTGACTGGCTGTGCGTGCTGCCCTTGTCCGACCCGCTCTCATCAGCTGCTTGTTGAAAGAAGGGAGGAGAATGAGGAGGGGAGGGTGGGGGGTGACTGGCTGTGCGTGCTGCCCTTGTCCGACCCGCTCTCATCAGCTGCTTGTTGAAAGAAGGGAGGAGAATGAGGAGGGGAGGGTGGGGGGTGACTGGCTGTGCGTGCTGCCCTTGTCCGACCCGCTCTCGTCAGCTTCTCGGTGAAAGAAGAGAGGGTGCGGGGTGTCTGGCTGCGGGGTGTCTGCCTGTGCCTGCTGCCCTTGTGCGACCCGCTCTCGTCAGCTGCATGATTGGGGAGAGAGAAGAGGATGAGGGAGAGACGAAAGGGAAGAGTGCAGGGAGAGGAGAGAGTGAGGAGAAGAGGGTGCGGGTGTCAGCCCGTGCCTGCTGTGGAGGGGAGAAAGAAGAGGCTGAGGACAAGAGGGTGAAGGGGAGAAGAGTGAGTAGAGGAGGGTGCGGGGTGGCTGGTCGTGCCTGCTGCCTCGTCTGATCCACTCTTGTAAATGATTGATTAAGGCAATCTGAGGCGTAGAAAAAGAAAAAGAAAAAGCAGAGGGGGGAGGGGAGGGGGGGGGAGGGAGTTGGTGCAGCGGGGGGATGAGGGAGGAAGCAGGAGAGCATATGAGAGGATACTGATTCGTGGAAAGGGGATCGGGGAGTGGGGGAGGATTTTTAAGACACCTCAAAATGGCCCATCTGTAGGAGATCATATGAGGGTATGAATTCGTGGACGGGGGGTGGGGGAGTGGGGGAGAGGATGCAAGCGAGCAGACGTGGAAGCAAGTGGAGGCTGACATGCAGTCAACTGGCAGTACCTGTTGCTCGGAATCCCAGGTGTGGCCTTTGCGTGTACTGAGAAGTTTGCAAATTCTCAAGAGTGACACGCCATCCATTGGTTGGCAGCAGCAGCACCTGTCGCTCGGACTTGTCAAGTGTGGCGTTTGAGTGTTACGGGACGTTTTTTCAATCCGCTTGATTGAGTAGCCACATAGCAGCACCTCTCGCTCTTAAGAAGTTCTCTGGCGTGGCGTCCGCGTAGTATGAGACAGATTTTGAGGCCTTTGAAATCACTCACATGGGAGCACCTGTCCATCTTGAGGAAATTTCCCAGGCGTAGCGTCTGCGTGTAGGCTCGCTCGGAGCTGCAATTTGTGCGTTGATCTTCCTCCTCGTGAATACCCTAGTTCCCGCGTCTCTCGACCCGGCGAGGAGCCGATTGGTTGGCTGAAGGACGTCTGGCGAAGCAATCTGGCTTTATCTCTTAGGGATTGTCGGCAGGAGCTGATAAGACTGCCTGTGATGCGTTGCTCTTGCTGGAACGCGGACGTCTGGTTCGCTTGCTCAGTTTCGCACGACCGCCGCGTCGCGAAGGTGTGCGTGGGATTAAGGCACACGCCATTGAGACTCGCTCGTAGAAGAACCATTTTTTGGACAGGCCGATAGCCGCTGACTAATGAAAACGATCAACTTGTTAAGAACCAACAGCCAATGGGAATGGCTTACTTCCAATAATAACGCGATAGCCTGGTGGAATAAGCAGACCAGACCTTTTCTGGATTTTTGTTTACTTCAAAAAATAATTCGTCAGTTAGTAAAATCTGTGAGATTGCTATGGATATTTTCTGAAGGTCACATGGAAAAGGTGGTCACTCATACAGTAGAACCGACACAGGGACATGAAATATCTCCAGAAATCTACTTAGATGCCGTTCCCACGGTTTGGACGACAAGTGAGTCTGCCCACACGGCTTGTGATTTGGCGGGATGGTGTCCATGGTGGGTACTGCCCCACTTTGGACACCGCAGTGCTTTTATGCCTGAAATGCGCAAATTCGGCTACAGTTTCGCCTCCAATCACAGAGCAAAACAAGGTTCGCCAACCGTAGCGAATTCCAGCATGAAATTTCAGGTGTATTTTTCCAAGTAGTTATAATATTTCAAGCGTAGAGTTGACTTTGGTTTCTGTACGGGGAGAGAGTTACTTCTCGTTTTCGAAACGCTTTCGCCCCAAAATAGATTCGTTACCCTGCCTATCGAGTGCACTTCACACCGTGGATTGCGGATGTTATCGTCAGACGCTCGATTGGGTAACCATGACGGATCTTACGACCCAGATTGTTTGCACAATGGTGTCCAGACCTGAAGCCGCAACCATTCAAAATTTATAACATTGGAAAATTGCGAGTCGCGTGGGCAGACTCACTTGTCGTCCAAACCGTGGGAACGTCTCCTCAGGTAGTCTCTAGGTTGAGAAATAAAGGGAGCAGTAGAAATTGATTGAGCAGATGCTCCAAGGGTATTTTTATCACCGCTAATGTATGTGTCAAACTGATCCGACTCTGGTTGAAATGGAGGTTCCATCCAACTTCCAAAAACATTTCAGTCAGATATATCCATGGATGAAACCTGAGACTCAAGTGGTGTACACCCGTGTGTGTTTTCAGCAGTACTCAAGAAATGGTGTGACAATTAGCTCATCCTGAGTTACATCCTGAGCGAGGAAATACAAAGTTAAAAGTTTAGCTCAACATCGAGAATTTAGCAGGGACTACAAATCTCAACGAATCTTTTCGAACTCAGTCCCACATGTAGGCTGTAGTCCCCTCTAAGTGGAACAGGCCCCAGTTACAAGGAGGACCAGGGCCTAGCCTCGGGAACCTCGAGTAGCATTCAGCGGAAGCAGCCATTTCTCCCAGCCTCAAATCCCAAGGCGGGGAGCCATTGCTGGAGGTTACCTCTAGGCACACTATTCATGGCCATCAAAGCCGCTGTTAGCAGCAAAGTCTTTCTAGTTTCCACTTTAAATATAATTTGGTTCGTTCGTGAAGCGTGAAGCGTTTGAATGGCTCTTCTCGTGTTTAGCTTGCACCACGAGCTACGTGCGTCGAATAGCTTTGGCGAATTCACCTTCTGCGACGCTCGGATTCGCAATAATGGTACCCCTCGTTTTAGTAACTCTGCTCGTCTTGTTCGCGGGCTCGGCTTCAGTTCCACAAGCAATCGCCGTGTCCAATCACGGCCTGCGATGTGGCGTGTCTGTGGTGAAAGGACGACGGCAATTCCAGGAAGATAGAGTTCTCTGCTCGACTCTTATCCCCGTTCCAGCTTTCGATATTGTCACTCAAGGTGCACATTCAGGTTCCTGTTCCAGCCCTCTATATTGTCGTCACTCAATCACACTTTCAGAATCCTGTTCCAGCCCTCTATATAATCGTCACTCAATCACACTTTCAGAATCCTGTTCCAAGCCCTCAATATTGTCACTCAAGGTACAATTTCACGGCGTGTACCTGTTTCTTGACCTTTCTGTGTTTGGGAACTTGACAGACCCATGCCGAAATAGCAGTGAGAGCCATTGGAATGCTTGGCTCCATCTTGCCAACATGCAGCATCCATCATGCCAACACGCAGCATCCATCATGCCAACATGCAGCATCCATCATGCCAACACGCAGCATCCATCATGCCAACATGCAGCATCCATCATGCCAACACGCAGCATCCATCATGCTACCATGCAGCATCCATCATGCTAACATGCAGCATTCACCATCCTAAGATGCAGCATCCATCATGCCTACATGCAGCATTCATCATGCTAACACGCAGCATCCATGATGCTAATATGCAGGATGCATCATGTTAACACACAGCATTCATCATGCTAACATGCAGCATCAATCATTCTAACATGCAGCATCCATCATGCTAACCTCTCATAAATGTTTGAAAATCCCCCCAGCAACCCTAACTCCAGGTGGCCACACCCGCCAGAGGGCGGTGCAGGCGGTGGGGGTGCTGGACGGGCATGGAGGAGGCGAGGCCAGCCACACCGCACCATAGACACCACACCATAGCACACCATTCATACATTGTTCACTATCTCTCAAACATTCCCCCGTTCAGGTGGTCAAGTCCGCCAGTGGGCGGTGCAGGCGGTGGGGGTGCTGGACGATCATGGAGGCGGGGAGGCCAGCCACAGCACACCACACCACACCGTCCATTAACTATCCACTATCCCTCAAACACCCTCTCATCCAGGTGGCCACACCCGCCAGTGGGCGGTGCAGGCGGTGGGGGTGCTGGACGGGCATGGAGGAGGCGAGGCCAGTCAGCTCGCAGCCTCGCGCCTCCTCCCTTCCTTGCGCGCCAGACTCGCCGCCCTGCCTGCTCTCAGTGGAAAACAGTCGCAGTGTGACCGCAGGGCCGTGCATGAGTCGCGGGCAGCAGCTGGACAATATTGTGGGAGGGATGGTGATGGGAGGGATAGGCGTGAGGATGGGAGGGATGGTTGTGAGGGCGTGGGAGGTGGCAAGAGGCGTGCGGGTTTTGCTGGCGAAGGGACAGCAGAGGAGAGAGGGAAAGGCAAGGAGGAGGGGGAGGAGGCTGGTGAGACCGAGAGGGAGTGGGAGGAGCAGGAGAGGGTGAGAAATCGGGTGCTTGAAGGAGTGTTAGCAGGCGCTCTAGAGGATGTGGATACGGAATTCGCACAGGTAAGGCAGTCACTGGTGCTGGGCTGGCGGTGCACGAAAGTTCTTTTTGTTCCAAACCGAGAGGTTCAGCATACGTACCCCTTGCCCTCTTTGTTGAAACATGCTCGTTCTCTCAATCTCAGCCCCTCCGCCTCCTCCTTCCCCTCCTCCTCCACCCCCTCCGCCGCCCCTCCTCCTCCTCACCCTTCACCCCTCACCGCCTGCTATGCGCTCCCCTAAACCCCCTGTGCACGCTACAGCGCTCCAGTGTTGAAAACACTTCTGAGAATTCTCAAAAGTGATTTCAATATAACCCCCTGTGCACGCTACAGCGCTCCAGTGTTGGCACTTTGGTCTGGCTCCACGGCTGCTGTGGCCCTCCTTGTCTTCCACTGCTTGCTGCGCACTTCCCCATCCTCATCAACCATCCCACCCATTTGCTCCCCACTTCCGTTTCCCTTGCTCACTATCATGCTTGCTCTCACAGGAGGCTCGCAAGCACCACTGGTGGTTTGGGTCCGCGGTTGCTGTGGCTCTCCTTGCCATTCAACCTCATCTGCCACCCTACTGTGTGCAATGCAATTCACTCCCCCTCACTATCATGCTCCCTCTCACAGGAGGCCCGCAAGCACCGCTGGTGGTCTGGGTCCACGGCTGCGGTCGCCCTCCTTCTCTTCCACCGCCTGTTGCCCTCGCCTCCTTGCTGCCACCCCCACCGCACACGCCCTACTCTCAACGACAACCCCACCTGCTACCAGCACTCATGCTCTCCTGATGCACGCACAGCTGTCCAAGAACATGAAATCGAGTGGGAGCTGCCGCATGTGGCTTCTGAGTCGACTCACAAGCCACCCAGCCACCACAAGCACTCGTGCTCTCCTGATGCATGCGCAGCTGTCCAAGAAGATGAAACCGAGTGGGAGCTGCTGCACGTGACAGTGGCCAACATAGGAGACTCCAAGGTTCTAGTCTGTGGCGGGGGCAAGAGGAGTGGAGGCCTGGCAGTAGGGGTCCGAGAGAGGCCGGGGAAGGAACAGCGAATTGGCCAGGAGCTAGGAGATGCGGAGCCGGGTTTGTTGGGGACTTCTCGGAAGCAGGGTGTGGGTGTAGCAGAGAAGGGTGTGGTGGAGGCTGTTGGAGGAAAGAAGGTTGTGTTGGTGACATCCAAAGATCAGCCTGTGCCGGTGACAGCTGAAAGTCAAACCTGTGCTGGGGATTGATGACAGGATGACGCGGGATGCCATGGGTTTAAACCCCAAGGCACATGCCATTGCTGCAGCAGCAGGGCTGCGTGAGCTGAGGTGGCCGATGGGAGGAGTCATGGACAGGGGCAGGGAACCTGTTTCGGTGTGCGGGTGCAGACAGGCAGCCAAACAGAGCATGGACCAGCAAGGTGAGTGCTTCTTCCAGTCGAGTAAGAAACTCTTTCTTCTTCTTCTTCTGCAGCGCAGAAATGGCTGGCAGCCTGTGACGGTGCGTGGGAGCAGGCAGGGCAGCCGAACAGACCATGAGGGAGCCAGATGAGGCCCTTCGTCTGGTTACCACGTCCTCTGGTTACCACGTCCTCTGGTTGCCACGTCCTCTGGTTACCACGTCCTCTGGTTGTCACGTCCTCTGGTTACCACGTCCTCTGGTTACCAACCTCCTACCTCGCTCGTATCAATCTCCCTGTCCGCCTCTTGCGATTTCGCCCTCCCTACCCCGCTCCCTCTGACATCAGAGCTTCGTCGCTTGGCGGTTCTGCAGAAACGGAAGCAGCGCCTTCGCGAGCAGCAGAGGCGACATGCGCTGGTGAAGTACAAGCCGCAGGAGGAGCAGACGCAGAGGCAGCAGCAGCAGCAGCAGCAGCAGCAGCAGCAGCAGCAGCAGCAGCAGCAGCAGCAGCAGCAGCAGCAGAAGCACGAGCAACAGAAGCAGCAAAGGCAGGCGTTACCCGTGCCCCACGAGCAGCAACAGAAGCAGCAGGAGAAGCAGCAGCAGGAGAAGCAGCAGCAGGAGAAGCAGCAGCAGGAAGGGGAGCGCTCTGCCTCATTGTGCACGACAGAGCTGACCGACGACCACAGAGCAGACAGAGAGGATGAGAGGAGGCGCGTGGAGGCGATGGGGGGGAGAGTGGAGGAGCGGGGTGGGGTGGCACGCGTGCAAGGCGAGCTGGCTGTGACTCGCGCCCTTGGGGACCTGCAGTACCGGCCGTGGGTGGTTGCCACGCCTGAGATCACTGAGTGGGTGGTGAGCCGTGGGGTGTCAGGTCGCGGGGCAAGGGGGCCATGTGTGGGAGGTAGTGGGGTGGATGGGAAGAGGATTGGGCGGGTGGTGAAGAAAAAGGATGCAGCAAGGGAGGAGTCGAGAGAGGAGGGTAAAGAGGAGGGGGGACGGGGTTTGGAAGAAGAGTGTGTCCAGGTTATGAATGGGAGTAGAGCAGTGGAAGGGCGAGAAGGTCAAGCTGGCCAAGAAACGCAAGCAGGACGAGCAGGTTTGGAGGGACGTAATGGAAAGGAGCATGTAGTGAGTGACAAGGACGGAGCAGAAAGGGAGGAGGTTGAGGAAGGCGAGGAGGAGGAGAAGGAAAAGGAGGAGGAGGAGTTCCTGGTCGTGGCAACAGATGGGGTTTTTGAGCGAATGAAACCGTGCCAAGTGTGCGGCATTGTGGCCAGGGCGAGACAAGCCCAGAGGGGGAAGGAGAGGCGGAGATTGGGGGAGCCGAGCAATGAAGGTCCTGGTAGAAGGAGGAGCGAGAGAAGCGCTCGTAGGGATAACAATGATGGTGGTGGTGGTGGTGATGGTGATGATGCTGGTGATTGCAATGGGGATGAGGAGGGGGAGGAAGAAGACGCAGAGGGGGAGGAGGATGAGGAGGATTGGGTGCTTGACAGTGCAGCTGCTGCGGCATCTGGCGGTGGGAGTGAGAGCACAGAGGGGTCACTGCTCCAGGCCATTCCCCTGCTGATAGGGCAGCAGGAAGGGGAAGAGACTGGAGCTCTTGCTGTGGTGAGTGGGAAAGGGCAGTCAGCACTGCCTGAGGGGGCACAGGAGAGTGCGCAGGGAGGAATGCAGCTGCCTGTGCAGCAGCATGGGCACTTGGAAGCGGCGAGGCAGCAGCAACAAGGGAGGGAGCAGCAGCAGCAGGGGAGGGAGCAGCAGGGGCGGCAGCAGAAGCAGTTGATGGTGCAGCGAGGGCAGCTGCCGTTCTACTGGATGCTGGAGGGTGTGGAGCAGGGTCCGCTCATGTGCATGCGCAGGGATGATGGTGAGGAAGAAACACGGCTGGCACTGGCTTGCTGGCCTGAGGGCCAGTGCAGTGGTGAAGGTGTGTGCACCGCTGAGAGTGGGTGCAAGGGTGGAAGCGGATGCAGGCGTGAAAGTTCTGTAGCTGCAATTGCTGACAAGGGGGCACGGCACGTAGAGGGAGGGCAGGTGGTTGCGGTGAGGGAGAAGCAGCCAGAGCAGAATCAGGAGCAGCAGGAGCAGCAGGAGAAAGGGCAGTCACTGGGGCAGGTGGCAGTGAGAGGCGAGAGTGGGTTGGTGGAGGCGAGGAGGTGGGAGGGGAGGGATCCCGCACAGGTTTGCTGGGAAGGGAGTGAGGAGAGGCGAGAGGTGGTTGAACTGGCAGAGCGGATTACTCGGGAGGCCATCCAGCGAGGCACTCTGGATAACGTGGCTGCTGTTGTGCTCAAGCTCTCTCACTCACACTCACACTCGTCCACACACTCACACTCGCGTGCACCCTCTCGTTCCTCCTGTCCCCGTTCCAATGTAAGGTCAACTGCCAGTGCCCAGCCCCGCAAACCCAGATGCTGGCGCCAGTAGCCGTCCTATCCACACCCATGCCTCCCCAACGGCTGTAGCACTCTCTGCCACCCATGCTACAGCTCATGCAGCAACTCCAGTTCCACCCAAGACCCCCGCCTCAGACACCCTGGCCTCAACCACCCTTGTATCACAGCCACACGCACTCTCTCAACAGCAAAGCAATCGACGATTGACACCGCCCGCCGATAGCTCTGCTCCCTTGCCTCCAACTCCCCTAGTGCCTCCCAGCCGCCTCGCAGTGGGGCCAGTGCAACAGCAAGAAGCCATTATGCCGTCGGAGGTGCCTTCACAGCACAGGAAACGCCCAGCAGCGCCATCCAGCCTCCCCTCCTCCTCAGCCCATTGCTACGAGCTGCTCAAACCCCTTCCTGTTGCTGCTGCTTCTGCGTCTCGCCCCTCCCTGGGGCCTCTTTGGCGTGACCGCGCCTGGCAGAAGCCTCCCCAATACCTCGATGCTGGTTCCAGAACAGGCCATGTTACAGTGGCTCAGCATGACCCAGCTCTTCCTGCTGACTCCTCCTCTTATCCCAATCCTGTAGCAGGCAGCAATGCAGCGGCTGTGTCTGCTGCTGTTGTTCAAACCCTGAATCGCCGTAAGAGCAGTAGCCGCAGCAGCAGCCGCAGCAGCAATGGTGATGGTAACAGGAATGCTGAAAGCAAGATTAAGGAGCAAGGGATGGTGCAAGGACTTGACCAGCAAGGTTCTGACCAATCAGCTGAGCCCAGTCCGCCAGGCAGCCAGCTGGCAGCTCTCGGTGAGTGCTCAACGGTCCTTTGCACGTTCGTACGCTTTGATTTCGTCTTCCCGCATTTTGCAATGAGGCCTGCCTGTGCCTAATTGGAGCTTGATTCTGCCATGATTTTCCTTCACTTATTTTCCACTCGTCCCTCTGTTTGCATCTCATCTGCCTCCTCTCTATCTTTGCCCCAGGTGCACGGGCTGTTATGGAAGCCTTCCAGTGCCTGCTCATCTGGCCCCCGTTACAGTCACACTCCTCCTCAACCCCTGCCACCTCTTCCAACGACCATCTCACCACTCTGCACTCCTCAAAATCGCTTCAACCGCTGGGACGTCCGCCGGCTTATTCACCGCATCAAATCCCAGCGCAGAACCAAATCCCACGGCAGAATCAAATCTCAGCTCGAGATCCTGTTCCACTGGAGAGTCAAATCATACCTCACACTCCCAAGATGGAAAAAACCCCATTCTCCTCTCAAGCTCTTCAGCCCCTCACTCACTCTCCCCCCTCACGTTTCTCCCACCCCCTCGCACTCTCTCCTCTCACACTCCCTTCTGAAGCTTCTCACTCCAAACCAACTCCCAAGCCACTTCTGTACCCAGCCACAAGCCTGGCAATCCCCGCACCTCTCGGCCTGGTTCGGTTTCTGAACCTGCTAGGCTCGGTGCCGCTGCTCCTACCAGGCCTCCCTGGAAAGAGCGGCATGGGAATGGAGAAGGAGGGAGGTGGGGGAGAGGGGTTGGTGATTAAGGGTAGGGTGGAGGTCAGGGGGGGTGAGGATGAAGGGAGTTTCAAGAATATGATAGAGGAAAAGGAGGAGATGGAGGAGGGGAGTTTGCAGGAAGAGAGAGGTGGGGAGGAAGAAGAATGGGGGGATGTTGATGTGACAGATGGCGATTGGCCGAAGCACCAGATGGGATTTGTGCAGCGCAGGTAAGTCAATGGCTGTTGCTGTCCTCGAAAATCCTTTCTTTCCTGCTCAAAGTTTTATGCACTCACATGACATAGGGTAATCAAATCACAAGGCTTAACAACTCACATGGTCCTATGACCTCTCATGGTTATATGAGAATTTAACAATCTCTCTCTTTCTCTTCCTCTGGCTACTCCCCGGGCTCTTCTCGACTTCTTTCTTTTTTTTCAAAATCCGTGGCTTGTTCCCCTACGCCAATTCACCCCCCTCTCAGGTACGTGCTGCAGAAGAACTTTGCACGGGGGGGATTCGGAGAGGTGTGGCTGGCTGTGAGGAGGGACCCCTGCCACCGGCCCTCCAGTGCCCGCCTGCCTGCACATCCCCCATCTCCTTCTGCGAAAGCAGCTGTCAGTTTAGATGCAGAAAGTACATATGGATCATTTGGTCGGGACAGTGTTGCACTTGAGAGGGCTGTGGGTGGGAGGGGAGAGGAGGAAAGAGAGCTTGTGATGGAACATGAGGGATTGCAGTATTCAGAGTGGCAAGAACAGGTGGAGGGCGAGAAGGAGGAGGAGAAGACGAGGGAAGTACTGGAGGTGAAAGTGGAAGGGGAGGAGGTGAAAGAGGGAGGGAAGGAGGAGAAAGAGGAAAGGGAGGAGGAGGAAGGGGAGGTGGGAGAGGAGGAAGAGGAGGAGGAGGAGGAAGAAGAGGAGGAGGAAGTGGAAGGGGAGGAGGGAGAGGAGGAAGAGGAGGAGGAGGAAGAAGAGGAGGAGGAAGTGGAAGGGGAGGAGGGAGAGGAGGAAGAGGGGGAGAAGGAGGAAGAAGAGGCGGATGCCCCGCCACTGTTCGTGCTCAAGCGGCTTCTGGTGAGTCGATTTTCCAGTCTGGTGGTTTTCAGTCGACTCAAGGACAGGCGACAGTGCAGTGCAGCGCAGTCTGCTGTTCTGGAGACTGTTGAGGCTCTGGTGCCTAGAGCAGGATTACTGCACTGCACACTAGTGCAGGCCACTGTTGTGCTGTTCTCAAGATTCAAGGGTCAGGGGTGAGGGAGGAGAGGAGTAGGGACATTTATTCTGGTCAGGTAAGGCACTGTTCCATCCTTATGTGGAGATTTTGCCTCGCCCACCACGTTCTCTTTCATCTTCCCCCATGCTCATCACCCCCACCCCCTCCCCGTCTTCCCTGCCTATTTTTGAGTCGACTCAAAAATAGCCTCGCCCACCACGTTCTCGTTCATCTTCCCCCATGCTCATCACCCCCACCCCTTCCCCATCTTCGCTGCCCCTGTCCACCGCACTGTTCCTCTTGGATGGCTTCAGACGGGGGAGGACAATCTGCAGTGCGGTATTCCCTCTCAACCCCCCCTTTCTCTCCCCATCCTGTTCTTCCTACTCGTCCTCCTCTCCCTGTCCACCACTGTGGGTGGGTTCAGGCGGGGGAGGGCGCTCGACTGAGTGGGCTGCGAGAGAAGTACTTTGGGGAAATGCTTCTCAACGCGACCAATCTGGTGCTGCCACGTGGCACCTGCCGTCATGGCAGAGGCAACAAGAGGGATGGTGCGATTCGTGGCCCTGAAGTCCTTACGGGCGACGACGCGGACGGTGACGTGGATGGTGACGTGGATGCTGACGTGGATGGCGATATGGATGCTGACGTGGATGATGAGCTGGTGGATGCGATGGGTCTGCATCACATTGCACGCTACATTGAGTCGTTCGAAACCACCGCCAGTGGTGGCGGCACAACCACCACTAGTGGTGCCAGCAGCAGTAGCGACGATACTCCCACCACCAGTGGTGATGCTGATGCTGACGCTGGTGCAGTTGGCAATGAAGGGCGGGGAGAGAAGCAGCGGGAGGAGGCGAGCAAGGAGGCGAGGAAGGATCTGTGGCTGGTGTTTGTGCACGAGGGGGTGTCACTCTCGTCCCTGCTGTACACGAGTGATGCTGATGGGGAGGGAGGCGAAGAGAAGGAGGAAAAATCTGAGGAAGGAGGGCAGGAATGGGAGGGAACGGAACAAGAGAATGGAGAGAGAGAAGTCAGGGGGAACGAGAAGAGCGGGCAGCCGCAGGCGAGTGCGGAGCATGTAAGTGGGCAGCAGCAGCAGGCAAAGAGCGGGCAGCACAGCATGATGAGGCCGTCAAGGTGGTGGCGATGGCTGTGCTCCACAGAGGAGGGCGAGGAGACAGTGAGGAGCATCCTGAGACAGACGGTGAGAGAGTGCAATAGCCCATGCCCGTCATCTCCTTCCTTCAAAAAAGGGATGTCTTTATAACAGGCTGCGCAGGGAGATGTAGTGAATGTTTACCCGTTTCCCTCTCCTTGTTCCCATCGTACCCCCTTCTCCTCTCCTCGTTCGCCTCTTCCTCTTTCCCTTCCTCCTCGCTACGCTCTCGCTTTCTGTCCCCTCTCCCTCTTACCCCTGTTGTCTGTGCTCCAGCTGCTGGGGCTTGCTGCATTGCAGTGGCTCACTATGTGAAGTTTGAGTCGATTCTAATCCAATCTCACCCCGTTCTCTCTCCACCTCGCCCTTCTTCTATGAGTTGTAGCTGCTGGGACTGGCTGCCTTGCAAGCGCGCAACATAACCCACCGGGATATCAAGCCAGGTACGCCACTGTTTCCCAGGAAGCTTCGCCATCTGACTGACCAAGCACCCGTCCAGTGAGTTTGTCGGTACCCCAATTTTTGGAACGAAAACTGGAGGCCAAGTCCAAGAAGATGCGTTTTTTTATGAATCAGCTCAGGGGCTGTTCACAATCAGCACACAACAGTTGTATCCCACCCATCACTTGTATTCACCAACAGAGAACATCATTCTGAAGCCTCAACCCAGGGGGACGAGCAGGGGGTCAGAGTCCGATCACTCCCCGGGAGCCAAGGGGAAGCATGCAGGGAGGCGGGCAGGGAGGCGGGCAGGGAGACGGGCAGGGAGACATGCACCATCTGCATCTGCCCGTGACTCCTCCTCCTCACCGTCAGTAGCAGTAGGAGAGGCGCCAGCAGCGGAAGCAGCAGCAACAGGAGCAACAGGATCCTCGTCGTCAGCCAATGACAGTGCAACACGTGGCAATGCTTCCGTGGAAAACCCGCTGCCGGATTTCAATGCTGACATGCACGTGTGAGTGGGGTGGGTATACAAGGATGCGATACAAGGATGAACTCTAGGAGCCGCAAACTCTGGATGAACTCTTGCACCACACCGCAGGAATCTGAAGGACTTTTCAGGCGCCTAGAAGGTATACTGCTAGCATGTAGCATGTTCTTCTCGGTGAACTCCTCCACCCAGACCCCTGAACCCCCACCCAGACCCCTGAACCCTCGCCACGAGATACTGCTAGCATGTAGACTAGAGCACCATATGATAACAAGCTTTTTTCTTTTATTTTCTTGAGACGTCACAAAACTAAATTATCATCTCATTAAACAACACGGTGAGCATTCAGACTAGACCACAGTCCAGTGACCCATCGGGTCACTCATTTCGAGCACCACCCGTCCCGTCCAGTCCTCGTCATTATCAATCTCTCCTTCATCTCACTCCTCTGCCCCCGTCTCATCTTTCCGCTTTCCCGCTCGTTCCTCGTTTCTCCTTCTCTGTCCTCTCCTCTCTTGAACGAAGCCTTAAGCAGCTGTCTCTTTGACCTGGGCTCAGTCATTGCCGTTGATGTTTCCAGGCGATGACCTGGGCTTAATTGGTAGCTCAATGAGGTCTATTTTGAGGCGCCTCAAAATACGTCTCAGGCATTGCCGATGATGTTTCTAGGCAATGACCTGGGCTCAATTGAAGCTTGTCTCCGCCCTCCTTCCCTCACACGCCCCAATTCCTTCCCGCCCATCCCATCAGGCGTGTGCTTGACCTGGGTTCAGCTGTTGACCCGCACTCTGTTCGCTTCCTCTACGGCCCAACAGGGCCCTCCAGGTAACACCTCCCGCTCCATCTAAGCCCTCCCTGTCCAGGTAACACCTCCCGCTCCATCTAAGACCTCCCTGTCCAGGTAACACCTCCCGCTCCATCTAAGACCTCCCTGTCCAGGTAACACCTCCCGCTCCATCTAAGACCTCCCTGTCCAGGTAACACCTCCCGCTCCATCTAAGACCTCCCTGTCCAGGTAACACCTCCCGCTCCATCTAAGACCTCCCTGTCCAGGTAACGCCTCTCAGTGCATGCAGAATGTTCCTGTCTGGATCAGCCTTCAGTGTGTTGGAGTGACTTTTGAGACAATTTTGAACTAATATCATATACAGCGCCCCAAGAGTTTCCCTGCAGTCAAAATGCATTTTTAGTGCGCCTACGTTCCGTAGCTCTACTCGCCCTCCGAGGTACTGTTGCTGGCACAGAGCGGAGTCTTCTTGAGACATTCTAACAACCCGCCTGCCTGCCCGTCCCTTTCCCCGAGGTGCAGCGCAGAGGAAACCGAGCTCTACTCGCCTCCCGAAGTGCTGTTGCTGCCGCAGAGTCTCCCAAGCACCGGAGGTGTGGGGGAAGGAGCGGGTGCATCTGGAGAAGCAGAAGCAGCAGCAGGGGGAGGAGCGACTGGGGGAGGTGTTGACTGCGCGCGGAACAGCTCCAGCAGCAGCTGCCTCCACATCAGCAGCCGCATGCACTACGGGTATGTGTGAAACAATTAGAGCGTATGAGTGAAAGGTGACTTACGAGTCAGCTCAAAAGCAGTTGCCTCCACATCAGCAGCCGCATGCACTACGGGTGTGTGTGAAACAATTAGAGCGTATGAGTGAAAGGTGACTTACGAGTCAGCTCAAAAGCAGTTGCCTCCACATCAGCAGCCGCATGCACTACGGGTGTGTGTGAAACAATTAGAGCGTATGAGTGAAAGGTGACTTACGAGTCAGCTCAAAAGCAGTTGCCTCCACATCAGCAGCCGCATGCACTACGGGTGTGTGTGAAACAATTAGAGCGTATGAGTGAAAGGTGACTTACGAGTCAGCTCAAAAGCAGTTGCCGCCACATCAGCAGCCGCATGCACTACGGGTATGTGTGAAACAATTAGAGCGTATGAGTGAAAGGTGACTTACGAGTCAGCTCAAAAGTAGTTGCTTCCACATCAGCAGCCGCATGCACTACGGGTGTGTGTGAAACAATTAGAGCGTATGAGTGAAAGGTGACTTACGAGTCAGCTCAAAAGCAGTTGCCTCCACATCAGCAGCCGCATGCACTACGGGTATCTGTGAAACGCTCAGAGTGTATGTGTTGAAGGTGCTTTTCCAAAGCACTCAGCTACCTCACCTCACCTATGCACCTGCACTCGTCCCTCCCCAACTTATGACACGCCATGTGGGGCGTGGGAGTGCTTATGCTGGAGCGTCGCTTCAAACTGTGTCGTGTGCCATGGTAACGAGGTGACTTTTGAGTCGACTCAAACGTCCCTCCCCAACTTATGACACGCCATGTGGAGTGTGGGAGTGTTCATGCTGGAGCGTCGCTTCAAAGAGTTGAATTTTGAGGTTTTGAGGCGCCTCAAAATTCAACTCATGTGGGGTGTGGGAGTGCTCATGCTGGAGCGTCGCTACAAAGAGTTGAATTTGAGGGTTTGAGGCGCCTCAAAATTCAACTCATGTGGGGTGTGGGAGTGCTCATGCTGGAGCGTCGCTTCAAAGAGTTGAATTTGAGGGTTTGAGGCGCCTCAAAATTCAACTCATGTAGGGGTGTGGGAGTGCTCATGCTGGAGCGTCGCTTCAAAGAGTTGAATTTGAGGTTTTGAGGCGCCTCAAAATTCAACTCATGTGGGGTGTGGGAGTGCTCATGCTGGAGCGTCGCTTCAAAGAGTTGAATTTGAGGGTTTGAGGCGCCTCAAAATTCAACTCATGTGGGGTGTGGGAGTGCTCATGCTGGAGCGTCGCTACAAAGAGTTGAATTTGAGGGTTTGAGGCGCCTCAAAATTCAACTCATGTGGGGTGTGGGAGTGCTCATGCTGGAGCGTCGCTTCAAAGAGTTGAATTTGAGGGTTTGAGGCGCCTCAAAATTCAACTCATGTGGGGTGTGGGAGTGCTCATGCTGGAGCGTCGCTTCAAAGAGTTGAATTTGAGGGTTTGAGGCGCCTCAAAATTCAACTCATGTGGGGTGTGGGAGTGCTCATGCTGGAGCGTCGCTTCAAAGAGTTGAATTTGAGGGTTTGAGGCGCCTCAAAATTCAACTCATGTGGGGTGTGGGAGTGCTCATGCTGGAGCGTCGCTTCAAAGAGTTGAATTTGAGGGTTTGAGGCGCCTCAAAATTCAACTCATGTGGGGTGTGGGAGTGCTCATGCTGGAGCGTCGCTTCAAAGAGTTGAATTTGAGGGTTTGAGGCGCCTCAAAATTCAACTCATGTGGGGTGTGGGAGTGCTCATGCTGGAGCGTCGCTTCAAAGAGTTGAATTTGAGGGTTTGAGGCGCCTCAAAATTCAACTCATGTGGGGTGTGGGAGTGCTCATGCTGGAGCGTCGCTTCAAAGAGTTGAATTTGAGGGTTTGAGGCGCCTCAAAATTCAACTCATGTGGGGTGTGGGAGTGCTCATGCTGGAGCGTCGCTTCAAAGAGTTGAATTTGAGGTTTTGATGCGCCTCAAAATTCAACTCATGTGGGGTGTGGGAGTGCTCATGCTGGAGCGTCGCTTCAAAGATTTGAATTTGAGGGTTTGAGGCGCCTCAAAATTCAACTCATGTGGGGTGTGGGAGTGCTCATGCTGGAGCGTCGCTTCAAAGAGTTGAATTTGAGGTTTTGAGGCGCCTCAAAATTCAACTCATGTGGGGTGTGGGAGTGCTCATGCTGGAGCGTCGCTTCAAAGAGTTGAATTTGAGGGTTTGAGGCGCCTCAAAATTCAACTCATGTGGGGTGTGGGAGTGCTCATGCTGGAGCGTCGCTTCAAAGAGTTGAATTTGAGGGTTTGAGGCGCCTCAAAATTCAACTCATGTGGGGTGTGGGAGTGCTCATGCTGGAGCGTCGCTTCAAAGAGTTGAATTTGAGGGTTTGAGGCGCCTCAAAATTCAACTCATGTGGGGTGTGGGAGTGCTCATGCTGGAGCGTCGCTTCAAAGAGTTGAATTTGAGGGTTTGAGGCGCCTCAAAATTCAACTCATGTGGGGTGTGGGAGTGCTCATGCTGGAGCGTCGCTTCAAAGAGTTGAATTTGAGGGTTTGAGGCGCCTCAAAATTCAACTCATGTGGGGTGTGGGAGTGCTCATGCTGGAGCGTCGCTTCAAAGAGTTGAATTTGAGGGTTTGAGGCGCCTCAAAATTCAACTCATGTGGGGTGTGGGAGTGCTCATGCTGGAGCGTCGCTACAAAGAGTTGAATTTGAGGGTTTGAGGCGCCTCAAAATTCAACTCATGTGGGGTGTGGGAGTGCTCATGCTGGAGCGTCGCTTCAAAGAGTTGAATTTGAGGGTTTGAGGCGCCTCAAAATTCAACTCATGTAGGGGTGTGGGAGTGCTCATGCTGGAGCGTCGCTTCAAAGAGTTGAATTTGAGGTTTTGAGGCGCCTCAAAATTCAACTCATGTGGGGTGTGGGAGTGCTCATGCTGGAGCGTCGCTTCAAAGAGTTGAATTTGAGGGTTTGAGGCGCCTCAAAATTCAACTCATGTGGGGTGTGGGAGTGCTCATGCTGGAGCGTCGCTACAAAGAGTTGAATTTGAGGGTTTGAGGCGCCTCAAAATTCAACTCATGTGGGGTGTGGGAGTGCTCATGCTGGAGCGTCGCTTCAAAGAGTTGAATTTGAGGGTTTGAGGCGCCTCAAAATTCAACTCATGTGGGGTGTGGGAGTGCTCATGCTGGAGCGTCGCTTCAAAGAGTTGAATTTGAGGGTTTGAGGCGCCTCAAAATTCAACTCATGTGGGGTGTGGGAGTGCTCATGCTGGAGCGTCGCTTCAAAGAGTTGAATTTGAGGGTTTGAGGCGCCTCAAAATTCAACTCATGTGGGGTGTGGGAGTGCTCATGCTGGAGCGTCGCTTCAAAGAGTTGAATTTGAGGGTTTGAGGCGCCTCAAAATTCAACTCATGTGGGGTGTGGGAGTGCTCATGCTGGAGCGTCGCTTCAAAGAGTTGAATTTGAGGGTTTGAGGCGCCTCAAAATTCAACTCATGTGGGGTGTGGGAGTGCTCATGCTGGAGCGTCGCTTCAAAGAGTTGAATTTGAGGGTTTGAGGCGCCTCAAAATTCAACTCATGTGGGGTGTGGGAGTGCTCATGCTGGAGCGTCGCTTCAAAGAGTTGAATTTGAGGGTTTGAGGCGCCTCAAAATTCAACTCATGTGGGGTGTGGGAGTGCTCATGCTGGAGCGTCGCTTCAAAGAGTTGAATTTGAGGGTTTGAGGCGCCTCAAAATTCAACTCATGTGGGGTGTGGGAGTGCTCATGCTGGAGCGTCGCTTCAAAGAGTTGAATTTGAGGGTTTGAGGCGCCTCAAAATTCAACTCATGTGGGGTGTGGGAGTGCTCATGCTGGAGCGTCGCTTCAAAGAGTTGAATTTGAGGGTTTGAGGCGCCTCAAAATTCAACTCATGTGGGGTGTGGGAGTGCTCATGCTGGAGCGTCGCTTCAAAGAGTTGAATTTGAGGGTTTGAGGCGCCTCAAAATTCAACTCATGTGGGGTGTGGGAGTGCTCATGCTGGAGCGTCGCTTCAAAGAGTTGAATTTGAGGGTTTGAGGCGCCTCAAAATTCAACTCATGTGGGGTGTGGGAGTGCTCATGCTGGAGCGTCGCTTCAAAGAGTTGAATTTGAGGGTTTGAGGCGCCTCAAAATTCAACTCATGTGGGGTGTGGGAGTGCTCATGCTGGAGCGTCGCTTCAAAGAGTTGAATTTGAGGGTTTGAGGCGCCTCAAAATTCAACTCATGTGGGGTGTGGGAGTGCTCATGCTGGAGCGTCGCTTCAAAGAGTTGAATTTGAGGGTTTGAGGCGCCTCAAAATTCAACTCATGTGGGGTGTGGGAGTGCTCATGCTGGAGCGTCGCTTCAAAGAGTTGAATTTGAGGGTTTGAGGCGCCTCAAAATTCAACTCATGTGGGGTGTGGGAGTGCTCATGCTGGAGCGTCGCTTCAAAGAGTTGAATTTGAGGGTTTGAGGCGCCTCAAAATTCAACTCATGTGGGGTGTGGGAGTGCTCATGCTGGAGCGTCGCTTCAAAGAGTTGAATTTGAGGGTTTGAGGCGCCTCAAAATTCAACTCATGTGGGGTGTGGGAGTGCTCATGCTGGAGCGTCGCTTCAAAGAGTTGAATTTGAGGGTTTGAGGCGCCTCAAAATTCAACTCATGTGGGGTGTGGGAGTGCTCATGCTGGAGCGTCGCTTCAAAGAGTTGAATTTGAGGGTTTGAGGCGCCTCAAAATTCAACTCATGTGGGGTGTGAAAGTGCTCATGCTGGAGCGTCGCTTCAAAGAGTTGAATTTGAGGGTTTGAGGCGCCTCAAAATTCAACTCATGTGGGGTGTGGGAGTGCTCATGCTGGAGCGTCGCTTCAAACTGTACGACCTGTTCCAACCCTCCGACTCTCCCATTCGTCCGCTAATCTACGCAGCTACGACATGTGGAGTGTGGGGGTGCTGGAGCTCCTCTTTAACATGTACGATGCAGCATATCCTCCCTTATTTCACTCCTCCTCCTTTCCCCTAACCTCGTCCTCCATTCCCCTTACCTCCTCCAGCTACGACATGTGGAGTGTGGGGGTGCTAATGCTGGAGCTTCTCTTTGGCTCACCACACGTCTGGTCTCTCCCCCCTCGCACCCAGGTATTTCCATATGCGCCTCAAAAGCCCTCGCCTCTCCCCCCTCACACTCAGGCATCGGTAAGTTCATAAGCGACTCGAAAGGCCCCTCCTCTCTCCTCTCTCCTCTCTCCTCTCTCCTCTCTCCTCTCTCCTCTCTCCTCTCTCCTCTCTCCTCTCTCCTCTCTTCTCTCTCCTCTCTCCTCTCTCCTCTCTCCTCTCTCCTCTCTCCTCTCTCCTCTCTCCTCTCTCCTCTCTCCTCTCTCCTCTCTCCTCTCTCCTCTCTCATCTCTCCTCTCTCCTCTCTCCTCTCTCCTCTCTCCTCTCTCGCACTAAGCTATGCCCTTTCCCCATCACACCCTTCCTTTCTGGCCCTCCTCTTGGAATGCCCTTGGCCTTGAAGTCTTCCCTTAAATGGTTTACCAACACACTTCAACACAGAGAACTTTTTGCCCAAAACGAGTACAATGCCTCATTATTTCCCTGTCCCTCTCCCCTTTTCCGCTCTCCCACTCTCCCCCTCTCCCCTCCACCCCGTATCCTCCCCCAGGCGCTGCTAGATCGCTCCCTGCAAGCAGCCCAGTGGCCCGAGTCCACCCGGCGAACAGCCTTCCTGTAAGAATCCGAATTCCATCCCTCCTTTATGGCTGTATATTCTTCCTGTGAGGTATCGCCCTTTCTTATTGTCCTGATCCTCTCACGGCCTCACACTCCTTCTCCAACCTCACTCCCCCCTTCCCCCCCTCTCACACCATTTTTCTGCGCCCACTCCGCTTCTCCTCCTTCACTCCGCTTCTCCTCCTTCACTCCGCTTCTCCTCCTTCACTCCGCTTCTCCTCCTTCACTCCGCTTGTCCGCCCTCACTCCCTTGGTCGTATCTATCATCCCAGCTTGCGAGCATGGATGGAGCTCTGCATCTTCACGACTGATTGCCCACTGCACTGCACTAGGCGTTGAATATGCCTCCTTCCTGCCCTCACTCCCGTACTTTCTGCCCTCATTCCTCTCACGCCCCCCTCACCAGATTGCGTGCGTGGATGGAGCTCTGCATCTTCACGCCTGCAGTCTTTGAAGCAGGGCCACATGAGGGGGCTTCTGCAGCAGGAGCGGAGGAGGAAGGGGCGTCCGTAGCAGGGCAAGAGGAGGAACAGCCGTTGGTAGCAGAGGAAAACGATGGGCCGTCTTTAGCACAAAAGAAGGAAGGAACGCCTGCAGCAGGAGAAGAGGAGGGGAAAGTGAGGAGGGAGGAGGGTGTGGAGGGTGGAGCAGGCGCGAAGACCAGAGGTGTGAGCGACTTGCTGAGGCTGCGCCAGCCGCATGTGGAGCATGCTCATCCACAGGGATCGGCTGTAGCAGGTGCTGATTCACAGGAGTCTGCTACAGCAGGTGCACTTCCGCAGGAAGGTGCAGTGGGGGTAGGGGGGGCGCCCATTGCAGCTGCCTCTGCAGCTTCCGCCCCCTTCCCTCGTTCTGCTAGATCTATCACTCCCTCCACCACAGCCAGCTTGAAGGGTCGCACTGCCCACAGCAGCAGGAATGAAGAGGGAGAAGCAGGAGAGGGCTACAACGGGGTTGGGGAGGCCGATGAGCATGGAGAGAACAATGTGGCTGGACAGGGCATTGGTAGAGAGGGCGATGACTCCGTGCATGGAAGTGGTGCTTCTAGTGGGCGGGCTGGTGGTAGCAGCAGTGGGAGTGGTGCAGAGGGGTGGAGTGTGGTGGCACCGTGGGAGTGCAGCGAGGCGAGCATTGCATCACAGCTGAAGCTGAGGGATCCGCTCAAGAAAGGGTGAGATTGTACGAGATCCCTTGCTGATCACTTTTGAGAATTCTCGTTAGACCACGCGAGGTCTCTCGCTGTATCTGATCAGTGTTTTTTGTTACCAGCGAGGTGACTTTTGATTCGAATACGAAGTTACTGTTGTACAGATGAAGCTGAGAAACCCGGTCAAGAAAGGGGAAGACTGTACGAGACCGTTCAATTGATCTCACAAGCTAATCCAGCTACTAACACGCGGATAGTAGAGTCAGTTTTTGACTCACTTCCCTGTTAACTGCATGGATTCCGCATGTCCCTTCATTGTTACTCCTCCTTGTCCTTCCACCGTTCACTTGTTCCCTCCAATCCATGGCCTTACCCATGTCATGTGCCATCTTTTGAGTCGACTCAAAAGTCAACTTACCCATGTCATGTGCCATCTTTTGAGTCGACTCAAAAGTCAACTTACCCATGTCATGTGCCATCTTTTGAGTCGACTCAAAAGTCAACTTACCCATGTCATGTGCCATCTTTTGAGTCGACTCAAAAGTCAACTTACCCATGTCATGTGCCATCTTTTGAGTCGACTCAAAAGTCAACTTACCCATGTCATGTGCCATCTTTTGAGTCGACTCAAAAGTCAACTTACCCATGTCATGTGCCATCTTTTGAGTCGACTCAAAAGTCAACTTACCCATGTCATGTGCCATCTTTTGAGTCGACTCAAAAGTCAACTTACCCATGTCATGTGCCATCTTTTGAGTCGACTCAAAAGTCAACTTACCCATGTCATGTGCCATCTTTTGAGTCGACTCAAAAGTCAACTTACCCATGTCATGTGCCATCTTTTGAGTCGACTCAAAAGTCAACTTACCCATGTCATGTGCCATCTTTTGAGTCGACTCAAAAGTCAACTTACCCATGTCATGTGCCATCTTTTGAGTCGACTCAAAAGTCAACTTACCCATGTCATGTGCCATCTTTTGAGTCGACTCAAAAGTCAACTTACCCATGTCATGTGCCATCTTTTGAGTCGACTCAAAAGTCAACTTACCCATGTCATGTGCCATCTTTTGAGTCGACTCAAAAGTCAACTTACCCATGTCATGTGCCATCTTTTGAGTCGACTCAAAAGTCAACTTACCCATGTCATGTGCCATCTTTTGAGTCGACTCAAAAGTCAACTTACCCATGTCATGTGCCATCTTTTGAGTCGACTCAAAAGTCAACTTACCCATGTCATGTGCCATCTTTTGAGTCGACTCAAAAGTCAACTTACCCATGTCATGTGCCATCTTTTGAGTCGACTCAAAAGTCAACTTACCCATGTCATGTGCCATCTTTTGAGTCGACTCAAAAGTCAACTTACCCATGTCATGTGCCATCTTTTGAGTCGACTCAAAAGTCAACTTACCCATGTCATGTGCCATCTTTTGAGTCGACTCAAAAGTCAACTTACCCATGTCATGTGCCATCTTTTGAGTCGACTCAAAAGTCAACTTACCCATGTCATGTGCCATCTTTTGAGTCGACTCAAAAGTCAACTTACCCATGTCATGTGCCATCTTTTGAGTCGACTCAAAAGTCAACTTACCCATGTCATGTGCCATCTTTTGAGTCGACTCAAAAGTCAACTTACCCATGTCATGTGCCATCTTTTGAGTCGACTCAAAAGTCAACTTACCCATGTCATGTGCCATCTTTTGAGTCGACTCAAAAGTCAACTTACCCATGTCATGTGCCATCTTTTGAGTCGACTCAAAAGTCAACTTACCCATGTCATGTGCCATCTTTTGAGTCGACTCAAAAGTCAACTTACCCATGTCATGTGCCATCTTTTGAGTCGACTCAAAAGTCAACTTACCCATGTCATGTGCCATCTTTTGAGTCGACTCAAAAGTCAACTTACCCATGTCATGTGCCATCTTTTGAGTCGACTCAAAAGTCAACTTACCCATGTCATGTGCCATCTTTTGAGTCGACTCAAAAGTCAACTTACCCATGTCATGTGCCATCTTTTGAGTCGACTCAAAAGTCAACTTACCCATGTCATGTGCCATCTTTTGAGTCGACTCAAAAGTCAACTTACCCATGTCATGTGCCATCTTTTGAGTCGACTCAAAAGTCAACTTACCCATGTCATGTGCCATCTTTTGAGTCGACTCAAAAGTCAACTTACCCATGTCATGTGCCATCTTTTGAGTCGACTCAAAAGTCAACTTACCCATGTCATGTGCCATCTTTTGAGTCGACTCAAAAGTCAACTTACCCATGTCATGTGCCATCTTTTGAGTCGACTCAAAAGTCAACTTACCCATGTCATGTGCCATCTTTTGAGTCGACTCAAAAGTCAACTTACCCATGTCATGTGCCATCTTTTGAGTCGACTCAAAAGTCAACTTACCCATGTCATGTGCCATCTTTTGAGTCGACTCAAAAGTCAACTTACCCATGTCATGTGCCATCTTTTGAGTCGACTCAAAAGTCAACTTACCCATGTCATGTGCCATCTTTTGAGTCGACTCAAAAGTCAACTTACCCATGTCATGTGCCATCTTTTGAGTCGACTCAAAAGTCAACTTACCCATGTCATGTGCCATCTTTTGAGTCGACTCAAAAGTCAACTTACCCATGTCATGTGCCATCTTTTGAGTCGACTCAAAAGTCAACTTACCCATGTCATGTGCCATCTTTTGAGTCGACTCAAAAGTCAACTTACCCATGTCATGTGCCATCTTTTGAGTCGACTCAAAAGTCAACTTACCCATGTCATGTGCCATCTTTTGAGTCGACTCAAAAGTCAACTTACCCATGTCATGTGCCATCTTTTGAGTCGACTCAAAAGTCAACTTACCCATGTCATGTGCCATCTTTTGAGTCGACTCAAAAGTCAACTTACCCATGTCATGTGCCATCTTTTGAGTCGACTCAAAAGTCAACTTACCCATGTCATGTGCCATCTTTTGAGTCGACTCAAAAGTCAACTTACCCATGTCATGTGCCATCTTTTGAGTCGACTCAAAAGTCAACTTACCCATGTCATGTGCCATCTTTTGAGTCGACTCAAAAGTCAACTTACCCATGTCATGTGCCATCTTTTGAGTCGACTCAAAAGTCAACTTACCCATGTCATGTGCCATCATGTGCCATCTCCTGAACCACTTTCCTGTGCCACTCCACTCCATCCCACCACACGGTTTCTTCCCTCCTCAGTCTTCCCAGCATTTGGGCCCTTCGACTGCTGCGGCGATTGCTGCAATGGTACCCCGTAAGTGTAGCTGTTTTCTACCCTTTTGACTTCAGTTTTTTTGCGGAATGTTGTCGCATATTTTCTCTCGCTCTTGCATGGTTGTCATCGTGATCGTTGTTTGTTATCTGTGTGCATTATGGTTACATATGCTCCTTTGCATGATAACTTCTGATCAGGGGGACCGAATCACCGCGCGAGAGGCTCTGCAGCATGCCTACTTTCGACCAGAAGCACCTCGTACGTAACATTAGCACCAGGTTGATGTTGACATCAACTTCACAATCTAACGTGTTTATACAACTTTATTTGTTACTTTCTGTTTCCTTACTTCTCATCATTTTTTGGCAGGAGGATTCAAGTGTCCAACATGTGGGCAAGAGTTTGAGTTTCGCTCAGATTGTGTACAGCATCATCTTTTGCACCGTTCACAAACAAAACCTGATGATGTGTGCGTGTAATTCTTATTTAGCTCATGCGTAAGCATGCTTTATTATCCTTTCAGAACCGCATCGAACCACTCACACAAATGGTTTGACGAGCTGCTGCCGAAAATTGTTTCCGAGGATTTCGAGGCACGATCGTACAAGTCTTCGTTGATTTCGCAATGCTGAACCGCGGTTTGGGGTAGCGAATAGCGAGAATTGACAGAATTGTTCTCCAGCTGCCCCGTCCCGTCCATTTCGCCCCCGATGAATTTCCGCCAGCCAGGGCGCACTTGCCGCGCCCAGCTCGGACCAAACGTTGGAACCCTGCGCGCGCGCCCCCGCTTTTGCTGGTTCTTTCTTCCCCGTCCGAGACTGGTCTGCTGGTTCGAGGTGGGGAACTCGAGCGGCGGAGCGGAGGTACGGCAAACTGACACGGGCGAATTTCCTTGCCCAAACCTCTCCCGAATTTCCAGAACTCCTGGTTTTTGTTTCCCCAAACCGACCCGACGCGACCCGAACCGTTCAACTCTCCACGAGCAATCTTCGTCCCCACGATAGACTCTAGAGACCTATTTTAGGCCGACGACTGGACTTCATTCAACACACTCGGTTCTCTTGCTCTGCCTCATTCAGTGGCCCTCTCAGCCTGCTAGTTTCAGCCCTCGCTGCTTCAAAGCTTTTGGTCATTCCAGTTTGCTCTTTGGTTCCGCGATTCAGCCTTTCAGCTCAACGTGACCGGTCAGCCTTCATTACTTGTTAATTACTAACGCCGACGTGTGTCGGTCAGTTTTTTGCTAGTTTCCTCCGACGCTGAAAATAGGTGTCTCGCAGTCTTCCCTCGACAGTGTGTGCGCCGCGTCTCTGAGCGGCACGACGAGCGTCGTCGTCGATTCGCAATTTGCTGAGGCGTTCGCCGCGTTCGCCGCTTCGGAGTCGCACTTCTACCGCGACTCCTGCGGCTCCTCGAGGCAAATTGACGGCCGATCTCTCTTGGTACGTTAATCGCTAATCCCCCGCGCACCACTCTATTTCCGCTTGTCCGCGCAAGCGTCTTCACCCCCACGTCACATATCCCACGCATTCACTCGCTGATTGTTTCCTTTCCACGCGCTTATCGTTTCCTCTCCGCTCGCGTATCGCCCCCCTTCTCGTGTTGCGCCAACAGTGCGAGCAGTTGGACGCGACCGACCACGTGCGTCGTTCCTCCGCCGCAGCCGCTTCCGGCGCTAGCGCGACAGCGAGCGAGCGTAGGGGCAGCGCGATCCGCGTGCTAGCGGAGTCCATTCTCGTCGGGTGCCCCGCGCGCCACTCCTTCGCCTTCTCCACCTCGGGAGCGGACGCCGCCACCGGTGCCGGCGGTGCTGATGGCGCGTATGGGAACAACCATGGCGGCGCGCGTCGCTCGTCCATGTCGTCGTTCTCCTTCCGCCCGCGCGGGTCTTCTTCCTCCTCCTCCGCGTCAGGAGGGCGCGGCGGCTCCGCCTCCTCCGCCTCAGGGGGGCGAAGCTCCGCGTCTTCCGCGCGTTCCCGCAGCTCCTCTGCGTCGTCGTTCGCGTTCCCCGCGCTCGCCTCTCTCCCCGCGTCCCCGCGACCCTCGGACAGCTCGCTGTTCACTATCGCGGAAGCCCTTACCGAGTCACAGCCGACCGTCCATGACCCGGTCGCCGGCAGTCTGGGAGAAACGGATGGGTGCGACGAGGCATCGACGGCGAAATCGGCGGCGGACGGCAGTTTGCCGCCCGATCTGAGCGGGCTGAGCAACGGGGAGCTGTTATTGGTGGCCGCGAGCCGCATCGCATTGCTCACCGAGTCGCTGAGCGAGTCGCGCACGATCAACGAGGAGCTGATGAAGGAGAAGGACGCAGCGCTGTCGCTCCTAATGGACACGCAGCGCAAGCTGACGGAGGCGACGACACGCGCCGTGCTGTCGATGCCACGTGTCAACAGCTCGTGCGATCTCGCCGGGCTCGCCGTTGGCGGAGCTAGTGGTGGGCGCGTCAGTTCGCCGCCGTCGTCGCCTGCTGCCACGTCGGCGGTTGCCACGTCAACGAGAGCAGGGTCGACGGGGTCACCGCTGACGGGGCAGAAGGGGAAGGTCTACCTGGACGATGACGACGACATGGACTACGACGAATCGGACGACGAATGCGACGTCGCTCGCAGGCCCGTCGCACGAGTCGCACCTGTCGCACCAGTCGTGCCAGTCGTAGCAGTAGCTCGGTCGGCGGAGAGCGAGGAGGCGGAGTATGCGCGGTTTCTTGAGCGGAAGGTCGCGGAGCTGCAGGCGGCGCTGTCGCAGGCGGAAGGCGCGCTGGAGTCCGCGCGCGTGGAACGCGAAGCCTTGGCGGAAGGCCAGGAGCGCGCGGTTTCCGCCGCACTCGCGGATGTCGCGGCTTCTGTGGAGCGCGCGCGGGCGCGGGAGGTCGAGCTGATGGTGGCGCTGCGGGCGGCGGAGGGGGAACTCGCGGCCGAGGGCAGGCGCCACGTGGCGGAGGTTGATTCGCTGAAGGAAGAACTAGCCGCGGCGCGTCGGGAGAAGGAGGGGTATTCATCAAGCTTAGAAGCAATGGCGCTGGTGCTGGATGCGCAACGGGAGGAGCGGGATGTGATAATAACGAGGTTAGAAGCGGAGAAGGCGGAAATGGTGGGTGAGCTGATGGATGTGATTGTAGAGGCCGTGGCTGCAGCGGGCGCTGCGAGTGTAGCTGGTAACCCGGTTACTGCAGCTGCGACAGATGGCTGGAAGGGTAGTGCTCCTTTGATGGCGGTCCGTCACGCTGAGCTGTTACCAGCAGCTGCTGCGCAGGAACCAGTTCTGGCTGACGTGGCAACTGTGAACGAGGCGTCTGCTGACATGGCAGCCATTGCTGGCGTGTTGGCGGTTGGTGACATGGCGGATAGGGAAATCGACACAGCTGAGGTGGCGCTGGGGGGAAAAGATGCTGAGAGGGCTGGTGGGGTGGTCTGTGGTGACAGTAACGGGGGTTGGGAGGAATCCAGGCCGGAGGCTGCTGCTGGAGCAGGTGAAACCCTAGTTCCAGCCTCTGCTGCTGCTGATGCTGCTGTTCCCGCTGTTGTTACCACTGTGGTTACCACTGCTGTTACCACTGTTCCGGCTGGAGCTAGGTTTAGCAGCAGCAGGCGCTACAGCACAGCTGCTGCAACCGGCAGGGGCAGGAGCAGGGAGGGGGACAGCGGTGGCAGGGGGAGTAGCAGTGGTAGGGGAAGCAGCAGTGGGAGTGACTGTATCGCTGGCAGCAGGGGCGGGCGTGCGAGCGAGGGAGGATGGGGGAAAGCAAGCAACTTAAAAGTGGGGGACAGCATTTCGAAGGGAAAGGTGCGGGTTGTGAGGGACAGGGACCTGCCTACTCGCAGACACACTGTCCTCTCGTGCACTCTCCCCTTCTCTCCCCTGCCCTGCTCTTTCCCTCCCTTGCGCCCTCACCCATCCCACTGCTGCGCCTCCCTGCCGTCCCTGCTGCCTGTTGGTCACGAGCTGGTGGAAGGGCGAGGAAGGGCGGAGAGGGGAGGGCGAGGGAGTGAGGAGAGGGGAGGGCGAGGGGTTGAGGGACATGGGATATGGAGGGAGGGGATGAGAATGGGGCAGGGTGGGGAGGAGGGAGAGGGGGAGCAGGAGGGGTATGCATGGCAAGCGTTTCGGGCTCTTATTGATGGTGGTGCTATGCCTGGTGACTATAACGAGGCTGCTGGGGTGGAGACGAGCAGTGACAATACAGGCACTGCAGGGGACTTGATCAGAGGTGATATTATCAGAAGTGATTCTATCGAGGGGGATACCAGTGAGGTGGACGTGATGCAGAGAAGACGAAGGATGTCGGCCGGAAGGAGGCGGTGGTGGGACCGGGGGGTGATGGAGCGAGTGAGAGCGTGGGAGTGGCGTGGGGGGAGGCAGAGAGGAGCTGCGACGGAGGGTGGGAGAGCAGAGGAGGAGAGGCAGGTGGAGCAGGAGGAGGAGGAGCAGAGGCAAATGCAGGAGAGGAGGGAGTGGGATACGGCGGTGGAAGGGCGTGGAGAGAGGGAGCAGGGAAGGTGGGAGGTGGGTGAGCCTGCTGCAAGGGGGAACTACAGAAGGGGTGCAGATGTGCGAGGAGCAAATGGTTTTCTGGGGGATGAGGCATGGAGTGAGCATGCGATTGGGGGGGGAGTGGTGGAGGGGGAGGAAGTGAGTGAGAGGGGGAGAGTGATGAGGATGCTTGGTGATGATAAGGAGAATGTGGAGCCTGCTATAGGATTGGAAATCTAGTGTAGTGTAAGGTATAGTAGGCTAGATACTTGTCATGTGCATCATCAGATATTTCATATTTATTTGTTAAACGGCTGGTTGTAAATAGATTAGTTTGCAGTTTGTTGAAAGACAAAGCAGTCGTGGAAGTGTGAATTGAAGGTAATAAGAATGTCTGCGTGTAAGATCATAATAGCAGCAACGTCAACTAGGACTAGTGGTGTGAACGTTATAAGAACATGTGTCTGATCATACAGGTACTAACTGCAACACCAACTAGGAAGGGCTAATGACCTATTTGTAACTAGAGCAAAATTCCAATAAAGGCCTGCTTTGTGATAATAACAGCGGAGCCTGTAGCCGAGTATATGTGTCAGCCCATACGGCATACTGGCTATGATGTGGCTACACCCGAGTTTGACGCTTGGTTGCCTTGACTGGTGGAAGGAGCTGCGTTGCTTCCTTGTCTCTTGTCAATCACCGAGGGAATGACAAACACTGCGAGCAGGGCTGATGTGGGGGAAGGGGGCATGACGAGGACATGGGCACGGGGGAAGGACGAAGCTTTGACTGGTGGAAGGGGGTGCATTGCGTCCTCGTCTCGTGTCAAGCACTTAGGGAATGACAAACACTGCGAGCAGGGCTGATGTGGGGAGCATATAGGGATGGGGGAGGTTGGCACACGAGGAATGAGGAGCGAATGGGTGAAAGATGAAGGAAGAGGAGCGAAAAGGGAGGATAGGGGGGAGGGCAGGCGAGAGTGAGGGGAGTGTGGGCAAGGGGTGGCGGCTTGGCGTACAGATGGGGAAGAGAAACACATTACAGGATGTAAAAGTGCACGTCTGTGAGTGTGTGAGTGTGAGTGTGTGTGTGTGTGTGTGTGTCTGTGAGTGTTTGTGTGTGTGTGTGTGTGTGTGTGTGTGTGTGTGTATGTGTGTGGTGCACGCAAGTGCATTCGTTTTCGTGTGTGCACACACGCGCAAGTATCCATGTAAGTGCGAGAGTGGGTGAGTGCAAAGGCATACCCAGGAAGGAAAGCGTGTGAACGGTGATGAAAGAGGCGAGGAGTTGAAGCGCAGTCAGTGCGGCCAACACCTGCAATCACGGCAAGATACCACAGCACATGAACAAGAGAAAGTCATGAGCGAATGTACCATGGAAAAGGCGAAGACACATAAGACAACTCTCCTCCTGAACCCCATTCCTCAAGCCTGGGAATGTTAGCCACAACAGTCTTTTCTGAGGCGCCTCATTGGCAGACCCCTCAACCCCCCCATTGGTACTCACACCAGTTTTTCCTCTCCTTTCCTCGCCTCAACGACCTCCCCACCTCCACTCCCCCCCAATAGTCCTTCCCCCTCCCCTTGCCTCAACAGCCCCGCATTCCTTTCCCCTCACCTCTTAATTCCCAACTTCCTTTCCACTCCAACCCCCCCGCACCACCCACAGCAGAAATCCAACTCTTATTTCCTAAAAGCACCTCTCCAGCCCCCTCCCCCCTTCCCCACCCTCAGCAGCGCCACCCACCTTGCCAGCAGCAGCCCAGTCCCTCTCCACTAGCAGCTTCTCCTGCAGAGAAGGCACGGAGACACACACAAGCCACCTCCGTCCGACCCCTGTGCTTCACCCTCTTCTCCCACCAACCAACCAGCCCCCCAGCCCCACCCACCTTGCCAGCAGCGGCCCAGTCCCTCTCAACTAGCAGCTTCTCCTGCAGAGCGGCCACAGAGCCGCACCACAGCCTTCCCCCATTGGCCCCTACCAGCTCTGCACCTCCCTCCCTTCGACAACCCCGAACCAACCCTCAAACCATTGGTACTCACAACCCTAAACCCTCAACCAGCTCCGCAACAACTCCCAACCAACCCCGAATCAACTCCCGACCGACCTCCTCCCCAACCCACCTTGCCAGCAGCGGACCAGTCCCTCTCGACTAGCAGCTTTTCCTGCAGAGAAGCTACAGAGCTACACCACGGCCCTTACCCATCGGCCCCTATCAGCTCTACGCCACTCTTCCCTGCACCACAGCCCACAATCAACCCTCAAACCACCCCCCCAACGAACTTCCCACCGCCACTCACCTTGCCAGCAGCGGACCAGTCCCTCTCGACTAGCAGCTTCTCCTGCAGGGCGGCCACAGAGCCGTTCCACGTGGCAGCCACCCATTGGCTGGCCTCCACCACTGGCTTCTCGGGAATGCGCCACTCAACAGCCGCCATGTCAGGCAGGGGCAGGCGAAACCTGTGGTCGAAACGAGGAGAACGGGCCCATAGGAAAGCGGGGGAGGAGATGGGAATTGCTTTTAAGTCGACTCAGAATGTGAGCCACGTGAGATAGGGGCAGGCGGAACCTGTGGTCGAAACAGAGGAGAGCCAGACCCATGGGGAAGCAGGGGGGGAGATGGAGACTGCTCTTTGAGTCGACTCAAAAAGCAAACCATGTCAGGTAGGGGCAGGGGGGACCTGTGCTTGGAAAGAGGAGAGCGGGTCCATTGGAAAGCAGGGGGTGGGATGAAGAAACGAGGAGGGAAGGTGGGAGGAGGGGAGGGGGAAAGGGGGGTAGGAGGGAAGAAGATTCGGGTTCAGGGTGGCAGTAAGCATAGGGTGCTGGTGGAGTAACTTGGAATCAAGGCCTGTTAAGCAACGCAGCAGCCAGGTGACTTTTGAGTCGACTCAAAAGAGGTGACTTTTGTGTCGACTCAAAAGAGGTGACTTTTGTGTCGACTCAAAAGAGGTGACTTTTGTGTCGACTCAAAAGAGGTGACTTTTGCGTCGACTCAAAAGAGGTGACTTTTGAGTCGACTCAAAAGTCACCTTGGTTGGGAGGGTGGCAGTAAGCATAGGGTGCTGGTGGAGTAACTTGGAATCAAGGCCTGTTAAGCAATGCAGCAGCCCTCGCAGCGGCACTGGCAGCAGCACTCTCCTATCCCACTGTCTCACCTCTTGGCGATGGGAGCAACGCGGTGCAGCACGGCAGCATGCAGGAGGAGCCCCATGGCAGCAGTGGCGGCAAGGGAAACAATGGGAGTTCCCCCCACGCGCCCAAGAGCCCAGCGCAGCACCATCCACGCGAGCAGCATGGCAAGAAGTGACATTTTCGGTTCCTGCCACAGCAGCAGGTCCGCCACCATCCCTCCCTTCTCTCTCACTACTTTTGAGTCGACTCAAAAGTCAACTCCCTTTTCACAAGGTTTTTTTACAAACAGTCCTGCCACAGCAGCAGGTCCGCCACCATCCCTCCCTTCTCTCTCACTACCCATCCCAAAACTCTCTCACCTCTTTGCAATGGGGGCCACGCGGTGCAGCACGGCAGCATGCAGGAGGAAACCCATGGCAGCAGTCGCAGCAAGGGAGAGGACAGGAGTGCCTCCCACCCGCCCAATCGCCCAGCGCAGCACCATCCACGCGAGCAGCATCGCAAGAAGAGACAACTTCACGTCCTGCCACATCAGAATGTCAGCCACCACCCCCCATTCTCCCTCAATACCCATCCGAGACCCTCTCTCACCTCTTTGCAATGGGTGCAATGCGGTGCAGCACGGCAGCATGCAGAAGGAAACCCATGGCAGCAGTCGCGGCAAGGGAGAGGACAGGAGTCCCTCCCACCCGCCCAATCGCCCAGCGCAGCACCATCCACGCGAGCAGCATCGCAAGAAGAGACAACTTCACGTCCTGCCACATCAGAATGTCCGCTATCATCCCTCCTCCCAGCGCCCTGTGCACGGACGAGCGCTCTCGGAAGGCTGCCCGCGCTGCCGCTGCCTCTGCTGCTTTCTCCTTCTCGTAGGTGGTGCGCTGCAGGTGCGGGTACGATGCTATAGTGCGTTGGAGCCCTTCCTGCATCCGGAAATGGGGATGGGGAAAGAGCATGTGGGGTTTGAAATGGGTCACACACATCAAGCACTCCAGCAATCCTGCCACATCAGAATGTCCGCCACCATCCCTCCTCCCAGCGCCCTGTGCACGGAGGAGCGCTCTCGGAAGGCTGCCCGCGCTGCCGCTGCTTCTGCTGCCTTTTCCTTTTCATATGTGCTGCGCTGCAGGTGCGGGTACGACGCTATCGTGCGCTGCAGGCCTTCCTGCACGGGGGAAGGGAGGAAATGCACATACGAGCACATGAGAACATATGTGGTGCTGCTTCTGCTGCCTTCTCCTTCTCATACGCGCTGCGCTGCGCTGCAGGTGCGGGTATGACGCTATCGTGCACTGCAGCCCTTCCTGCATGGGCAGAAAGGGGGAACATCATATGGGGGCATGTGAGAGGATACGTGCTGCCTCTGCTGCCTTTTCCTTCTGATACGTTCTGCGCTACAGGTGCAAGGTGCGGGTACGACGCTATCGTGCGCTGCAAGCCTTCCTGTTTGGGGTAAGGGGAAGCAGTAGGAACACGTGGGGTTTGAAACGTCTCAAATGTTGTGCACAGCAGGCCTTTACGGCACAGATGGGGGCAAGGGTGTATTCTGAGGCGCCTCAAAATACACCTCAATGCGGTAGGAACACGTGGGAATCGAAACGTCTCAGATGTCGTCCACTACTGCCATACCCTAAACCCCTAAATTCCAAACCCCTGAACCCCACCAATGACTCACATCAACGGACACGATCGGCTTGTAGCCCAGCAGTCTGCCTGCCCGGGCAGGCGAAAACGTTCTCCAGCGGGTGGCAAGGAGCAGGCGAGCAGGAGTGAAATCAGAAGGGGGCACGCCGAGGGGTGCCAGGGCCTTTGTAATGGCCTCTACTCCCCCCGCCACTGGAATTAGGATGTCTGCTGGGAGCTTGGCGATGGGCCTGGGAGGGGGTGAGGAGGGAAGGTTGAAGGGAGGGGGGGGGGGGGGGGCAAGGAGCAGGCGGGCCGGAGTGAAATCAGAGGGCGGCACACCCAGAGGGGCCAGAGCCTTTGTAACGGCCTCTACTCCCCCCGCCACTGGAATTAGGATGTCCGCTGGGAGCTTGGCGATGGGCCTGGGAGGGGGTGAGGAGGGAAGGTTGAAGGGAGGGGGGAGAGGGGGGGGGGCAAGGAGCAGGCGGGCCGGAGTGAAATCGGAGGGCGGCACACCCAGAGGGGCCAGCGCCTTTGTAATGGCCTCTACACCCCCTGCCACTGGAATTAAGATGACCGCTGGGAGCTTGGCGATGGGCCTGCAGAAGGATTGGGAGCGAAGGGCAACAGGAGGGAGAGGTTGGGAGCAGGCGGGCAGGGGTGAAGTCGGAGGAGGGCACGCCTAGAGAGGCCAGAGCCTTTGTAACGGCCTCCACTCCTGCTGCCATGGGGATTAGGATGACCGCTGGGAGCTTGGCCATGGGCCGAGGTGACTTTTGAGTCGACTCAAAAGTCACCGCTGGGAGCTTGGCCATGGGCCTGGGAGGAGGATGAGGAGGGAGGCGATAGGAGAGCTTTGAGCTTGGCCATGGGCCTGGGAGGAGGATGAGGAGGGAGCGCGGAAGGGGAGCTTTGAGCTTGAGGTGGGTCATTGAAACGACCTCTAGGTCCCCAGCCAGTTGAATGAGGATGTCTGCTGGGAGCTTGGCATTGGGCCTGGGAGGACCTCGAAGAAATGGAGGGGAGAGTGCAGTAGGCGCGTACTAGTTTGGCATATTGGGACATGGCAAAGGTCATTGATGGAGAAAGGTCATTGACAAAACGAAGGAGTAATTATTCGGAGTAAACAACTGGAGTACAAAAAAAAAATAGACAGAAGAAACATTTGACATGTTACGACCAGCCTGCTTACTTGCTGCTGTAGCCAAAGCTTCCAACAACGGCAAAGATAAAATCCTCAAACCAATATTGTGTCACCTCTACAATCAACCCACTAAAATCGCTCCACTTACTTGCTGCTGTAGCCAAAGCCTAGAAATGGCAAAGATGAGATTTGAGGCACACTTACCACCCTTCTGATACATCTTACCCACTTACTTGCTGCTGTAGCCAAAGCCTCCGGCAATTGCGAAGATGAAGTCCCAGAATCGCCTTGGATCGGCATTAGTGATGAAATATGCCTGCAAGAAGGTTCCGATGGGTTCAAAGCAGTGAAAAGCGAGAGTGAGGTGTGGGTTTAGGGTGAGAAACCAGCGGGTGAAAGAGCGAGAGAGAAAGAAGGGGCTTTAGTCTTCCTTCCCAGGCCTTTTAATCAGCCCTGTCCCATGCCTATACAAGGTCTTTTTTTGTTGCTTCATCTCCTCGTTATTTCGTTTTAGTGTGAAGGAGGCTGCTAAGATCTATAAAGGTGAGATTCTTTTTCTCCCCTCACAAAAGTATTTGACAGCATAAGTCGCTTGCGTCATTACTGCTTTCGGCAACTCTCCATTGTACCAGCATCAACCAAACCGCCATAAGGACACACAAAGCAACCGGCTTGGTTGGTGCTGGCACAACAAAGAGCTGCCGAAAGCAGTAATGTCTCTCAACAGGCTTATGCTGTCAAAAAACTTTGAAAGAGAAGAAGAAGAGGAGTTTCACCTGTCATAGAGCCTAGCAGCCTCTTCTACAGTGCTCCTAGTGAGGCGAGAAGCTAAAGTAAAAGGGCAGGCAAGGCAAGGATGGACAGTGTTGAAGCCTAGGACAGGCGACAGGGAGTGGGACGGAGAGGGAGACGGAGACGAGCAGTGGGATGGGGAGTGGGATGGGGAGTGGGATGGGGAGTGGGATGGGGAGTGGGATGGGGAGTGGGATGGGGAGTGGGATGGGGAGTGGGATGGGGAGTGGGTTGGGGAGTGGGTTGGGGAGTGGGTTGGGGAGTGGGTTGGGGAGTGGGTTGGGGAGTGGGTTGGGGAGTGAGTTGGGGAGTGGGTTGGGGAGTGGGTTGGGGAGTGGGTTGGGGAGTGGGACAATGAGTGGCACGGGGAATGGCACAGGGCGTAAGACCATACCTTGCCAGCTGGCGAGTCGTCACTGGTGGGGTCGCCCTTGTACTCGCTAAGAGCCTTCTCCGCACAGATATGAGCATGCACCACGTTCTCAACGTATGTCAAATCAGACATGTTCTCCCCATCGCCCACTATAAACTGGAGGGCAGGGAGGGAGGGAGCAGGTGGGGGGCGGGGGGAGGGGGTGGGATGCGAGGGTGGAGGAAGGGGTATGGGAGGTAAGAGGATGCACCACGTTCTCCACATACGTCCAATCCGACATGTTCTCCCCATCGCCCACTTTGAACTGGAAGGGAGGGGGAACGCTTTTGAGGCGCCTCAAAAGTAGCATCGCCCACTTTGAACTGGAAGGGAGGGGGAACGCTTTTGAGGCGCCTCAAAAGTAGCATCGCCCACTTTGAACTGGAAGGGAGGGGGAACGCTTTTGAGGCGCCTCAAAAGTAGCATCGCCCACTTTGAACTGGAAGGGAGGGGGAACGCTTTTGAGGCGCCTCAAAAGTAGCATCGCCCACTTTGAACTGGAAGGGAGGGGGAACGCTTTTGAGGCGCCTCAAAAGTAGCATCGCCCACTTTGAACTGGAAGGGAGGGGGAACGCTTTTGAGGCGCCTCAAAAGTAGCATCGCCCACTTTGAACTGGAAGGGAGGGGGAACGCTTTTGAGGCGCCTCAAAAGTAGCATCGCCCACTTTGAACTGGAAGGGAGGGGGAACGCTTTTGAGGCGCCTCAAAAGTAGCATCGCCCACTTTGAACTGGAAGGGAGGGGGAACGCTTTTGAGGCGCCTCAAAAGTAGCATCGCCCACTTTGAACTGGAAGGGAGGGGGAACGCTTTTGAGGCGCCTCAAAAGTAGCATCGCCCACTTTGAACTGGAAGGGAGGGGGAACGCTTTTGAGGCGCCTCAAAAGTAGCATCGCCCACTTTGAACTGGAAGGGAGGGGGAACGCTTTTGAGGCGCCTCAAAAGTAGCATCGCCCACTTTGAACTGGAAGGGAGGGGGAACGCTTCTGAGGCGCCTCAAAAGTAGGATCGCCCACTTTGAACTGGAAGGGAGGGGGAACGCTTTTGAGGCGCCTCAAAAGTAGCATCGCCCACTTTGAACTGGAAGGGAGGGGGAACGCTTTTGAGGCGCCTCAAAAGTAGCATCGCCCACTTTGAACTGGAAGGGAGGGGGAACGCTTTTGAGGCGCCTCAAAAGTAGCATCGCCCACTTTGAACTGGAAGGGAGGGGGAACACTTTTGAGGCGCCTCAAAAGTAGCATCGCCCACTTTGAACTGGAAGGGAGGGGGAACGCTTTTGAGGCGCCTCAAAAGTAGCATCGCCCACTTTGCACTGGAAGGGAGGGGGAACGCTTTTGAGGCGCCTCAAAAGTAGCATCGCCCACTTTGAACTGGAAGGGAGGGGGAACGCTTTTGAGGCGCCTCAAAAGTAGCATCGCCCACTTTGAACTGGAAGGGAGGGGGAACGCTTTTGAGGCGCCTCAAAAGTAGCATCGCCCACTTTGAACTGGAAGGGAGGGGGGACGCTTTTGAGGCGCCTCAAAAGTAGCATCGCCCACTTTGAACTGGAAGGGAGGGGGAACGCTTTTGAGGCGCCTCAAAAGTAGCATCGCCCACTTTGAACTGGAAGGGAGGGGGAACGCTTTTGAGGCGCCTCAAAAGTAGCATCGCCCACTTTGAACTGGAAGGGAGGGGGAACGCTTTTGAGGCGCCTCAAAAGTAGCATCGCCCACTTTGAACTGGAAGGGAGGGGGAACACTTTTGAGGCGCCTCAAAAGTAGCATCGCCCACTTTGAACTGGAAGGGAGGGGGAACGCTTTTGAGGCGCCTCAAAAGTAGCATCGCCCACTTTGCACTGGAAGGGAGGGGGAACGCTTTTGAGGCGCCTCAAAAGTAGCATCGCCCACTTTGAACTGGAAGGGAGGGGGAACGCTTTTGAGGCGCCTCAAAAGTAGCATCGCCCACTTTGAACTGGAAGGGAGGGGGAACGCTTTTGAGGCGCCTCAAAAGTAGCATCGCCCACTTTGAACTGGAAGGGAGGGGGGACGCTTTTGAGGCGCCTCAAAAGTAGCATCGCCCACTTTGAACTGGAAGGGAGGGGGAACGCTTTTGAGGCGCCTCAAAAGTAGCATCGCCCACTTTGAACTGGAAGGGAGGGGGAACGCTTTTGAGGCGCCTCAAAAGTAGCATCGCCCACTTTGAACTGGAAGGGAGGGGGAACGCTTTTGAGGCGCCTCAAAAGTAGCATCGCCCACTTTGAACTGGAAGGGAGGGGGAACGCTTTTGAGGCGCCTCAAAAGTAGCATCGCCCACTTTGAACTGAAAGGGAGGGGGGACGCTTTTGAGGCGCCTCAAAAGTAGCATCGCCCACTTTGAACTGGAAGGGAGGGGGAACGCTTTTGAGGCGCCTCAAAAGTAGCATCGCCCACTTTGAACTGGAAGGGAGGGGGAACACTTTTGAGGCGCCTCAAAAGTAGCATCGCCCACTTTGAACTGGAAGGGAGGGGGAACGCTTTTGAGGCGCCTCAAAAGTAGCATCGCCCACTTTGCACTGGAAGGGAGGGGGAACGCTTTTGAGGCGCCTCAAAAGTAGCATCGCCCACTTTGAACTGGAAGGGAGGGGGAACGCTTTTGAGGCGCCTCAAAAGTAGCATCGCCCACTTTGAACTGGAAGGGAGGGGGAACGCTTTTGAGGCGCCTCAAAAGTAGCATCGCCCACTTTGAACTGAAAGGGAGGGGGGACGCTTTTGAGGCGCCTCAAAAGTAGCATCGCCCACTTTGAACTGGAAGGGAGGGGGAACGCTTTTGAGGCGCCTCAAAAGTAGCATCGCCCACTTTGAACTGGAAGGGAGGGGGAACGCTTTTGAGGCGCCTCAAAAGTAGCATCGCCCACTTTGAACTGGAAGGGAGGGGGAACGCTTTTGAGGCGCCTCAAAAGTAGCATCGCCCACTTTGAACTGGAAGGGAAGGAGAACGGGTGCGGGTGGATGTAAGGGGGATATGCAGACCAATGCAAAGTTCCCTCTTCCCTCCTCTCCTCCGCCCCTCCTTCTCTCCAACCCTCCCCGCCCCCCCACACACACATACACACCCCCCACTGACGTACACACCCACCCACATACCTTGAGTTTGCCCCTCTGCGCATTCTTAATGGTGATGGGCACGAGATCAGGGTCCCCCGGGCCAAAGATGTTGCTGGGGCGCAGGGCGCACGTCACCAGCCCTGCTTACCCTCTCCAACAAACCCACATCTCCCCTTCCACAGACGCACACTCCAATTCCCCCCCACCCACACTCGCACCTTGAGTTTGCCCCTCTGCGCATTCTTAATGGTGATGGGCACGAGATCAGGGTCCCCCGGGCCAAAGATGTTGCTGGGGCGCAGGGCGCACGTCACCAGCCCTGCTTACCCTCTCCAACAAAGCCACATCTCCCCTTCCCCAGACGCACACTCCCCTCTTCCCACCCATCCACACTCGCACCTTGAGTTTGCCCCTCTGAGCATTCTTAATGGTGATGGGCACGAGGTCAGGGTCCCCCGGGCCAAAGATGTTGCTGGGGCGCATCCCCCTCTTCCCTCCCCTCTCCTCCCTCCCGCCCCCCAACCCCGCACACACACAATCCCACCCACACTCGCACCTTGAGTTTGCCCCTCTGAGAGTTCTTAATGGTGATGGGCACGAGATCAGGGTCCCCCGGTCCAAAGACGTTGCTGGGGCGCAGGGCGCACGTCACCAGCCCTGCTTACCCTCTCCCACAAACCCACATCTCCCCTTCCACAGACGCACACTCCAATTCCCCCCCACCCACACACGCACCTTGAGCTTGCCCTTTTGAGCGTTCTTGATGGTGATGGGCACGAGGTCAGGGTCCCCTGGTCCAAAGATGTTGCTGGGGCGCAGGGCGCATGTCAGCAGCCCTCCTTGTCCGTTTGCCGCTAGGGCTATAGCCTCTGCCTGCGCCTTGGTCTCTCCATACGCGTTAGTAGCCTGGAGGTTGATGAGAAACGAGGACGAGTGAGGCACAGTAGGGTGCGTGCGACGAGCACAAAGAGCAGAAAAGTTCATTCTTGTACTACGAGCTTGAAAGGCAAAGCGTGCGTTTTGAGACGTCTCAAAACTTGTACTACGATACGAGCTTGAAAGGCAAAGCGTGCGACGTCACACCAATGGTGATTCATGAAGCCCAAGAGGGTGGCGAGGGGGAGGGAGGGGAGGGAAGGAGGGGAGGGAGGGGAGGGAGGGGAGCGATGGGAGGGATGGGAGGGATGGGAGGGAGGGAAAGGAGGGGAGGGATGGGAGAGATGGGAGAGAGAAGTGAGGGGAACGGTGCTACCATATACAGAACTGATTCAACGCACACCTTGCCAGCATACGGCAGAGACTCATCCCCGTTCTTGATGTCATGCCGCCCGTCGAACACCACGCTAGCGGAGCTGGTGAAGATGAGACGACGCACGCCGGCCTCCTGGCACGCCGCAATCACGTTCTTCGTGCCTGACAGGTAGAGAGGAGGATAAGACGAAGCCGGGGGGGAGGGGGGGGGGAAGGGAGAGAGGGGGGGGGTGATTCCGCATACCGCATGTAAGAAACTGCATGAGTGAATCTTTTTTTTAACGACTTCTCAGGTGGTGCATGGTCGCTTCATGATAGAAAACCACGCAGTGAACAAGACTACGTACCGAGCAACATGACGTACCGAGAACGAGCTATGTACCGAGCACGATTTACGTACCGAGCAGGATGACGTACCGAGCACGTTGACAGTGTAGTGCGGAGCGAGGTCCGTGAGGGCGTGGTTGGGCGACGCCATGTGAAACACCGCCGACGCGCCCTGGAAAGCTGCTCGCCCATCCATTCATTCATCCATCCATCCATCCATCCATTCATTCATTCATTCATTCATTCAGTCAGACAGTCGTTCATTCCAGGACAGGCAACACAGGAGAAACTTTTGAATCAAGAAGCAGTACTCGACAGGGATGCGATTGTACTGCCACTGGCGAGAGGAAAAACGAACTGCACCGGCTGGCGAGTCTCGCGCGCGGGGAACTATCCAAGACAAGGGCCCTTGTTGTTACCCTTGCACCGCTGTTCATCCTCATCATCACATATTTGCGTTTCCCTCGGCACATATTCAGTTGATCAGTTTACGCTTCTCTCATCACAAATTCAGCTACGGAAACGAGAAATCACTCAAGATCCACATGTAACTGATCTCCTCGCTTCCCCCCCCTCCCCCCCCCCCCTCCTCCCCTTTCCGCCCTCCCCTCCCCCCTTTCCCCCTGTAATAACCACCCGATCGGACGCATTTGCGAAACTGACCGTCCGATCGCGCACATCTGTCACACTGACCGTCCGATCGCACCCACCTGTAACCATCAGTCCGATCTCACTCACCGTTAACCATGGCCGTCCGATCGCAGACATTCCCGGAGATGTACTCGAGCTGTCCGCTGCGCGCCGAGTCCCGCACGAGCCCCGCCTCGCCCTCGCCGTTGGCCTCGTCGTCCGTAAGCCTGAGCTCGGGCGCCATGTCGACCACTCGCACCGTGCTCCATTCGCCCGTCGCTAACAGCTTGCGAACCAGCCAGCGACCCACGAAACCGCGACCCCCGGTTACCACACATACCTGGCGACGGGGATACGAGGGAGACAGTGGTTGCGAGTGACGATCCGAGTAAGGAGTGGGAAAGGACGTCGCACGGCTGTAATAGGGCTGGAGCGAGAAACGTGCGATATTAGCTAGACGGGCGTGAAGATGCGAATTCATCGAGCAGTTTACCGTGACGACGATTAACAGGCTTTCGTGCGTCAGTAAGAAAGAGGAAGAGAAAAGAGCAAATCTAAGCGTACATATACCGCATGGCGAGTCACGAGTGCTGACACGGATTCCGGATTTGGATCTCAATACGCACCTGGCCAGCCATCGCTGAATACTAATGTCCTGAATACAAACAGAGCGTGACCGATGAAGGCGTCGGTACGCTCAATGGAGGAAAACGCTCTACGCTGTTGGGTAGTAGAAATTTCAGACGTACAAAACAGCAGAAGTGAACGGAATGGAATCGTGGCAACTAGATCGCGTTACTTCCTGATGTTCTCTGGGAGTGCGTGAGAGTTCACCTCCAGAAATTTGAGCATGGACGGAATTCCGAGATTCAGGAGACTCCTCCAAGGCAGTGGCCCAAGTCTTCGGAATTTTCAAGGTGACAAATGCCTCACAGGGAAGACATCGCTGATTGGTCAGCGTCCAGGAGTATACTCGCTACATCGCCACCGATATCAGCTTTGTAACAGATATGATGTGGAGCAAAACGATATTCGAGTATCGACATTTTGGTGTTTATAAAAGGATCAACATACAAGATTTCTCGATAGTGTGCTTATTTTGTATTGGTGGAATGTGTTTCTTCCGCGTGGCGATCATTGAGTGGTCTTTCATGGCTCACGTGCAATTTACTCGAATCGAGATTCGTCTATGCTTGTGCCAGCCAACACAATTCTCGAAACAGCTGGCGTGGCACTCCCACATTCGCTCGAAATCCTTCTGCCCTCTCATGGACCCTCAAGAACATTCTTCGCGCCTGGCTTCCTCATTGCCCAATAAAGGCAAGGCAATATTTTAGCGAGGCGCATCAAGAAGCTCCACATGTTTGACCTGCAACCGGGTTACGAACGACCTACAGCCGGGGATTACACCTTGGGTGCTCTCCCTCTTCCCTCACCTACCCGGAACTCTTGTTCATTCCACATTTTCCAGGCCGTCAAGCACTTAAATAAGTAAAGTTCCACATCTTCGAGAATACACAGCATACTTTCTTCACAATTGCACACAGCAAGAGAGCTAGAAGGATATGGGGACTTGCCACGTTTAAACCTTTCGCAAACTTCAACGCACCTTGCCGACAGGGAAGGCAACCACTTTATCCATCCAACCTTGAAACTCGAAGTGGAACAAAGAGTGTCGAGTCGCACAATGGCTGCCCTTCAGGTGGCGGTTGTGGAACTCGAGCACCAGAGGAAACCAGACCAGCGAACAACAACATAAATTGGCGGCTTACCTTTCCAGAAGGCCATCAGGCAGCGTGCTTTACACAGTTTTACACCTCCCTTCTCCTCACAGCCTCCCTTCTTGTGCATACACCGCAAAACACGTTGCCTGGTCTTACACCCCTGACTGCTCCCAGTCTTCACTGCTGCTCTCAATCGAGTCAGCGAAGCACAGCTCTCCTTCTCTTGTATATACCACGACGCTCCGTGGTTGTAAATATTGCCATCGCACGTACATTCGCACTCAAATCTCGTCTCGTCTCTCTCAATCCGTTCCTGTATAAATGGCTCCTCCCATGGGAGATGCGTCCGGCCCTACGGCCATGCTGATGCCTGACGTCAGCAGCGGGAACCTCTTCATCCACCCGTCGGATTTCCATCACGGGAGCATCGATGGCCACGCAGCCGTCGATTCCTTCCGCCAGGCTTTTTTCACCGCTCAGCTCGACCGCACCATCCTTGATAAGACATTCTCCGACAAGGTCACTGTCGACGTTGTCTCCGAGCCGGCGAGTTACGAGGAAGGCTACGTGTACGACCCCACGGCGCCGATTCCGGCAGACGCGACGGACGTGGTGTTAGTACGTCACGGCGAGACGTTTTGGAACCACGACCACCGCCTGCAGGGCCAGCTGGACACCGAGCTCAACGCCGCGGGCCTCGCGCAAGCTCAAGCTGTACGTTTCGTCGCAGCAGCTGATGCTTCCCGTTCTTTTCAAACATTTTACGTATAGCAATGTATGATTTTTTTTTTACGTACATCTCCCGAACATGGAAAATGTTGGGTTTCAGTCGTGTGGCGCACTTACATTCTTCTAACGCGCGTGTGCAGGTCGCGGCGCGCTTCGCCACGTGGGAATTTCCCTTTTGCGCCATCTACGCGTCGGACCTTCGCCGCGCCGCGGACACCGCGCAGGCCATTGCGGACCGCGCGGGATTCCCGGGGATTGTGAAGGACGTGGGGCTGCGCGAGCGCCACATCGGACACCTTCAGGGCTGCCTGGCCCACGAGGCGCCTTTCAAACAGCCCGAGGCGTTAAAGGCGTTTCAGTCGTCTGATCCCACTGTCACCATTCCTGTAAGCGCGCCGCCGAACTTTACCGCCTGCCGGCTCTTAGTACATGCTAGAACAAACGACATGGTAGGGGGGGGCGCGTTTGTCCTCGTCTCGATAACTGAGGAACGCAATCCTGCGGCGACTAATTGCTCATTTCGTTCCAACGCTGCCTCTATCTCTTCGTTTCGTCGGTTTCAGGGCGGCGGGGAGAGCATGGCTCAACTGGTCGAGCGGACGAGCAAGACCGTGGAGAAGATCGCTCGCCGTCACCGCGGTAAGCTAAGCTACACATCATAGTTGAAGCAAATCTTTCCCTTCCCCTGCTTTCGACATAATTTTGAAACTCGACGGGAATGATAGTGAATGACCAAGCCTAGCCTACCCCACTTAGGTGTCCCTGTTCCTCTCGTTCCATCCCCCTTCATTCACTCACTGCCTCCCTCCCTCTCTCCCGCTTCTCATTCTGTGTGTGACAACCTACGACGACCTCGGTCCCATGTTATCTTCCATGATTTCAGGCAAGCGCGTGGTTGTTGTTTGCCATGGCGCCGTGATGATGGCGCTGCATCGCCACGCGTTGAGGCATGACTCGTCCATGGGGGTCATCAACGCGTCGATCAATGTCGTCCGCCTGTCTGATGATCACACGTGGCGTGTCCTCCACTGGGGCGATGTGAAGCATCTGGATGGGGTGGAATTCGACCATGACGGCTTTGGTGGTGGCAAGGACTCCGCTCGAGACTTGTAACGAAGATACTCTGTACAGTGGGGAGGTATTCTCTAGCAGATCATGGAGAGGAGATAATGTGGATATTGTAGATAATGTGATGTTTCCAGTATCAGTCTACCAAGAGAAACAGGTACTACCAATGGAATGTAAACAGGTATGACCAATGGAATGTCAGATTATACAATATATTGATGTGACATACTCGGAATTACCTATATCAGAACATTCTGTTACGAATAGTGACTGTTGAAACACTATTGTACACTCCTCACCGCAGCAATCGAAGCAAGCACTACCGAGAATGAAGACGAACAGGCGGAAGTGACAGGAAGAGTCACACGGTTACGAAAGGATCTGGACCGTCGGGCAGACAGCATCAGGCAGCAGCAGTGGCGAGGATTCTGCCCGAACAGTTTCGTAACTGTCTGGAGTCGCACGGTTGGATTTCGCTGCAATAAGGGGATGTACCCCTTAGAGTACATGGCTAGCTAGATCGATTGGTATCCCCTTGTAATCTTATTTATATTCCTTGTACTGCATGTTTTTATTATCTAAAGCATTTACATCCACTCTGCTATTGAGGTCAAGGGCCCACCACCACTAGATTAGGACTGTGCGAACCTTCCTGAGGTGATCCTGAGGGTGATCAACTTCTGATCGCAACATGGTATGAGAGCGACTCAGGAATCCTTCGCACCGCCACCACCGAAATCTTCGGCGAACAGAAAGTGGCGTCCGGCACACGCTCACGTGTGAGAATGGCCAGAGGATCTGGAGGTCAGACAAATCTGACGGCTGAAGCGCAGCCCAACCCAGCTGCGACAAATGAGGAAACGACGACAATCCCTTCCGTCGTCCTCGCACAACTGCTTCAGCGACTCACGAGCCTGGAGCAAGGGCTCCAAACATTGCGGAATGGCGATGCGGGAACATCTTCCCAACCCACTCAACCGGCCTCGAACGTCCAGAACTCCGCCCCGCAAGGCTTCTCTCTTGACACAAACGGCTCAACACCCAAGACTCCCTGTCCCAGCGATGAAGCAATTCTCTCTGCGCAATCAAGGTTTTTGAGCATATAAAAAATAAAGACAAGTGTGTGCTTTGACGGCAGAGACTTCTATACCTGGAGCTTCGAGCTGGAGCTGCTGCGGCAAAACGCGCAGATTTTCCACTACTTTGACGGGAGCTACTCGGGACCCACGGAGGAAACTGACGATGCAAAAATCAAGTACTACAACGAGTCTCTGATGGCGTACGGGGTTCTTCTTCGAAACATGTCGCCGACGGAGCAATTGAGCATTCGCTCATACAAAACCTCACCTGCTCCAGCCCTCAACGCCTGGCGCCACCTGAATGGAGTGTATCAACCGAAGGACTCGGTGTCGTCGAGCCGTCTACTCCAGCAGCTACTGGAGACCAAAATGGCACCAGGAGAGAAGGCCAACAGTTACCTGAATCGCTGTCGGAGCCTACGCGATCAAATCGCGAAACTGGGGAGCACGATTTCTGAGGAAATCTTCGTAAATATCGTGCTCCAAGGGCTCGGCCCCGAGTGGCGGCCCTGCAAGGCGCTTCTCCGACAGCAGGGGGTCATCTCGGAGGCCGCCCTTTGCGCTGCCCTCCTTGTCGAACAACGGGATATGGATTAGCAGCGACCAGCGCCGCGACGAGACAGGGAACGCCTCGCCTTCTACGCCGACAACACGGAAGAGCGACGGCCGCGGCGCCTCTACTGCAAAATTTGCAGAAACTTCGGGCACCTGGCAGATCGATGCAAGCATCGATCTCGCCCTCGTCAGACCACTCCGAGCAACTGGTCCGGCCGACAAGACGCGAGGAACGACACGCGTCCCGCCCAGGGGTATCAACCCCCATCGCGCAACCTGAACCAGGCAGTTCAGCAGCAGCAGCAGCCATCACAGGCTGCCCCCGTCCGCAATGTCATGGGAAACATGACCATGACGAGCGGATCTCGTCGCCCGCGCGCACGCTCACCATCACCCGAGCCAGCGCCTGACCCAATCGGAGCGTTCTCGAACAACAATCCGTTCAGCACGCGTCACGACTTCAGCGACGATGACAAACAGGACTGGAATCTCCCCGTCCCGCTGCTTGAGAGCCCCCCGCACGTACCAGACACGCGGCCGGCACCGATCGATTGGATCGCGCGCGAACAATTTCTCAAGGTCGACACACCGCATATCGTTACTCCGCGACTGGCGCTGCTCGCGCGTAACGACAACAGGCGCTACAACACGTGGTACCTGGATAGCTGCTGTGGGCAGCACATGGTGGGCTCCGAGCGTTACATATCCAACGCCGTCGCCACCCCCGCCGTCACCTACGTCACCGTGGCGAACAACACGCGGCTGCGCGCAAACGCGCAAGGCATCGTCGTGCTCAAGGCACATGGAAGCAGGACGCACATCACCCTGAATGACGTGCTGATTGTGCAGAACCTGCGCTTCAACCTGCTCTCGGCGGCACAACTCCTGGATTGCGGAGTCGTTCTCAGCACCGACCCCGAGACGCGCGACATCCTGCTCCACTTCACGATGCCGAACAAAACGCGCAAGCAGATCGGACGAGCACACGCCGAGAACGGAGTGTACGTTCTCGACTTCCACATTCCCGACTGCAGCGGTGACTCGCAGGAACTCATCGACCTTGTTCCCCTGCGCTTCGAACATATCCATCGCCGCGACTGGAAGCACCCTGATGGGCGCCCCTGGGTGCCTCATCACCCACATCCGCGCGAGCTGGCGCTACACGACCCTGATCCTGATGGCATCTGCAGGGACTGCCACACACCCACATCCTCGACAAGCGCGATCGCCGGCCGCGGCCTTGCCGCCATTATCGAAGCAGAACGCGACGCACCGCCTGAGGAGGGCCTATCGCAACTGGAGCTGGAAACAGCCACACAGGTTGTCTTCGGCACACCAGAAAATCCTCTCCCCGGGCCCGCATCCCAGCACCTCCAAGGGATGCTTCGCGGCGTCGGTGTCGGCACCTTCGACGCACATGGCAACCCACGGCCTTACACCGAAGATAAGGCGGCAGAGATCTACGCTCATCGGCGCGATTCGAAGCAGCAACTCTCGCCGGCGGAAGAAGAGGCACTGGCGCAACGCGAAGCCGAAGAGCTTCGACAGAAGAGCCTCACTGAGGCGCGCGGAACGCTCGATTGGGAAGATGACAAGGAAAGCGCCTCCAATGAAGGGGGGTGGGGGAGCGCTGGCGGGTGGGGAACAAGTGACACAGGCGGATGGGGCGCAGCATCTGGCGGAGAAACGAGCGGCTGGGGAGCTTTCCGCGAGGATCAAAGGGGGGAAGAGGAAGAAGAAACAGCGCAAGTTGAGGCCGAACCTCCTGTTGTTCCTCTTGGACGCCCTCCGCGCCGCCCTGCATTAGCACCACCGCCACCTGACATCCCTTCAGGGAGTGACCCCTGGGACACCATTGACTGGGGTAACGAGCCATCCACCCCGCGACGCACTGTCTACGGACCTGCCCCTGAACCGCGCGAACCGACATTTGTCCCTGGCATGATCCCCGGAACCAACATCCCCTACTCCATCATTCGCGACAGGGAATTTCTCGCCCTAATGTTAACAACGGCGAACGAAGAAGAAGAAGAGAACGAGGAAGCAGCGGCGACACCTGCTCAAGCACCTGATGAGGACCCCGCAGAAGCACTCACGCGCTACATGCGCACCTCCGGTTTTCGCGCCGACGATGCCATCTGGCACCAACGCCTAGGACACCCTTCGCGCGTGACTCTAAAGAACTGTATCGAGGCTGGCGTCTTCGCACCTGGCGCATTGCTGCGCCCTGACGGCTCCGAAGTAAGAGGCGGAACTCACCCGCGCACCTCCACCATCTGCCCCGAGGCCGCGCTGAGTCACCAGCCCTTCCCCTTGCTCGAGCCAGGAACCAATCGCTACGCCAAGCTGGAGAAAGTTTACAGTGACTTTCTCAACGTAGGACATTGCGGCATCAACGACGAGCTCTACACGCTCACCTTCGTCGATGCTGGAACACGCCACGTGTGGGTCGTAAACGTGGAAGCACGCAGCAGGGCATACGAGGCATTCCGCTTGTGGCTGGCGCACGCGCAGCGGCAATCTGGGGAGAAATTGAAGATCTGGCAGTCCGACGGCGCGGCGGAGTTCAGGACCAAGGAGCTGCAGGATTACCTTGCGCAAAAGGGGATTGAGCATCACATCTCCCTCCCCTATGCACACCAGCATCAGGGCGTAGCAGAGCGCACGAATCGCACTCTCATGACAAAGGTGCGGGCGCTAATGAAGCAGTCGAAGCTTCCGCCGATCTACTGGACCCACGCAATGCACCACGCCGTACGGGTGCACAACCTGCTATCAACCACCGCGATCACCGGCAACTCCTCACCGCACGTGAAGTGGACGGGGAGGAAGGGCGACACATCCATGCTCCGCGTGTGGGGATGCATGGTCCAGTACCGCCCGCCAACATCAACCATCGGCAAGTTCAAAAGCCGCGCGCGCTGGGGGATCCATCTCGGGATCAGCCACGAGTACAAGGCGTGGATCATTCTGGATCTCCTGAGCCAGAAAATCAAGAACGCGCGCGACGTCATCTTCTACGAGCGCCTCTTCCTCCAGCAGTTCCGCGAAGACGAGCAGACGAACGCGAACCGCATCTACGCCAACGACGGCCACAGCTACGCCTCACCTGAGGACGAAGTCGCAGCAGCAATTCTGGAGCAGGACCCAAGAGGCGAGTTCACGAGAGGCGATCGACACGACGACGACGACGATGATTCAAGAGAAGGAGGAGCGGGCGCAGCAGGAGGCGCAACAGGAGGAAGCGGAAGCGGAAACGGCGCAGGAGCAGCACCACCAGCCCCACCAGAACCAGAAAGCGACGACGACGATGTGCAGGAGGTCATCCCGCAGCATCGCCACGACAGCACCGTCACCGGAATGCAACTCCTCGGGCTCCATGCTGCCATCTCAACGGCGCCATGTGTCATCGAGCCTTAGAATCCACGGCAAGCACTCACGGGACCTCACAGCAAGGAATGGCGCGAGGCAATGGATGCGGAGATCAGGGCACTCGAGTCACGCGACACCTGGGTACTCGTCGATCGTGCAGCAGTGAAGGGGAGAAGGATCCTTTCCGGCAAGTGGGTCTTCCGCGTGAAGACCGGAGCTGACGGGACGATCGAGCGCTTCAAGGCGCGCTGGGTGGTACGCGGCTACGACCAGAGGCACGGGATCGACTTCGATCAAACGTTTGCACCGGTGAGCCGTCACACCTCCGTCAGGATACTCCTCGCCATCGCAGCCGCACGACATCTGCCGCTCCGACAGATCGATGTTAAGAACGCATTCCTGTACGCGCTCGTAGATGCAGTGATCTACGTGGAGCAGCCGCACACATACGGCGAAGGAGACTCGCGGGTCTGCCAGCTGCGGAAGTCCCTTTACGGGATCAAACAGGCGCCGAGACTCTGGCAGCAGTACCTGCACAACATACTGCTTGAAATCGGGTTCAAGCAACTGCCTCACGATCCTGGGATGTATCGCCGCGATTTCCGCGGTGAATACATCCTACTCACGGTCTACGTCGACGACCTCCTCTACACAGGGTCAAGCAACGAGCTGCTTGAGCAATTCGAGAAAAACCTCGCATGGCGCGTCGACATCACCTGCAACCATGACGTGAAGCAGTTTCTCGGGCTTAACATCACCTACTCACCGGAAGCCATTCATCTCTCAGCAGCGAAGTATGCAGAGGAGCTTAGCAAGCGCTTCAACATTGCGCCTGCACCACTCTCCACCCCTTACCGCACTCCAGGACCCAACCACAAGCCTGACAACAAAGCCCTGTCCCCTGCTGGGCTTCACAACTACCAGCAGCAGTTGGGATGCCTGCTCTTTGCATCTGTTACCTGCCGGCCCGACCTTTCCTACATCGCGAGCCAGTTGGCTCAGTACTCTCGCGAACCAACGGCTGAGAATCTACTAGATCTCCAGCGGGCGCTCCAGTTCTTCATCTCCACGCCCAGCATCGGGCTCTGCTACTCCACCATCCCAACTTCATCCTTCAACCTCATCGGCTACGTGGACACCGATCACGCCGCTGACCCTGACAATCGACGGTCCAGGACAGGCTTCCTTTTCCGTCTCGAGCCCAGCGGCCCCATCTCCTGGAATTCACAGAAACAGGAGCTGTTTGCCCTGTCATCAGCGGAGGCTGAATTCATCGCAGCGACAGCAGCCGTTCGCGAAGGCCTCTACCTTCAGGAGCTGCTGCAGGAGGCGAAAATTCCAGCCGCGACGAACTTTCGCCTGCACTGCGACAATCAGAGCGCGATCAGGATCGCGAACAAGCCGGGATTCGTCAATCGGACCAAACACATCGCGCTGCGGTACTTCTTCGTCAAGGACGAAGTTGACAAAGGCAAGGTTGACCTAACCTATTGCCCGACGGGTGACATGGCAGCTGACTTCCTCACGAAGAAGCTACCACGTCAGCAGTACCAGCACTGCTCCGAACTCAGCGGGGTAGTCAAGCGGGTCAAGACTCGCTACGGCCAGGAGTGAAGGGGGGTGATACGAATAGTGACTGTTGAAACACTATTGTACACTCCTCACTGCAGCAATCGAAGCACGCACTACCGAGAATGAAGACGAACAGGCGGAAGTGACAGGAAGAGTCACACGGTTACGAAAGGATCTGGACCGTCGGCAGACAGCATCAGGCAGCAGCAGTGGCGAGGATTCTGCCCGAACAGTTTCGTAACTGTCTGGAGTCGCACGGTTGGATTTCGCTGCAATAAGGGAATGTACACCTTAGAGTACATGGCTAGCTAGGTCGATTGGTATCCCCTTGTAATCTTATTTATATTCCTTGTACTGCATGTTTTTATTATCTCAAGCATTTACATCCACTCTGCTATTGAGGTCAAGGGCCCACCACCACTAGATTAGGACTGTGCGAACCTTCCTGAGGTGATCCTGAGGGTGATCAACTTCTGATCGCAACACATTCTGCCATTAATCAATAGCACTAAGAATTTAAAACAGGACTAACTACCTGCCAAATTCTTCTCCAGCCCTACTACTAGCCTGCCTCAAGCGCTTGGAATGACAACCATATTTCTGTGACGACACCATATTTCTATATGGCATGGGCCTATATCAGATCATTCTACCATTAGTGATTAGCAATATGATCTTAGAGCAAACACCTGCCAAACTAGCTCCAGCCCTCAAGGAGATTGAGCGGGATCCTGTCTCCAGCTATATCATACCGCACCCTTTTCTACATGCCTTTTCTACTGGAAATAATACTATGCTGATGCAAAGTGTACTACGCCGACGCAAAGTGGAGGTCAGGGGGCAGCTCCACACCCAAATCCAGATCGTCTAGAAACATGCTGAAATCCTCCAGCCCGTGCTGCTGCTGGCCCAGCTGCTGCACCTCCTCCTGCTGCGCCTGCCACGGGGGCAGCTCCCCTTCTGGCAGCAAAAGAGCGCCATGAGTGTGAGTGTCAGCAGCAGCGTGACCAGCAGTTGCACGAGGCGTTGGGAGCGCAGAGTCCCCCCCAGGGCCCCACATGTCAACGTCCCCCACCTCCATCATCAACAGATCCTCCCCTCCCACCTGCACCTTTTCCCCTCCCCCTCCCCCTCCCCCTCCTAACACTTCTCTTCCCCCCCCTGCTCCTCCTCCCCCTCCACCTGCCCCTCCTCCTGCCCCTCCCCCTACCCCTCCCGCTCCCCCTCCCGACCCTCCTAGACCTATTAGACTGGTCAATCCAAGGCCGCTGTCCCATGCGCCACCAGGTGTCGACCCATGATTGGCCAGTAAAGCCGCTGTAGGATGGCCTGTGCCTTGACTGTGAGAGAGCAGACCCGGTTTTACGTCAACTGTGGATGACAACATGTTGCCCAAGTGATTGCCGCCCAAGATGTGACTGCCGCCCAAGTGACTGCCGCCCAGGTGGCTGTTTATTTGAGCTCCATTTTGTCTTGTATCGAGCCCTGTGCTCCACCCTCCCATATCTTCCACCTTCCAGACCCCTCCTCTCCCTCCACCACTACCTACTTGCGCTCCCACTGCCCCCGCTACCCCTCCCATCCTCACCTCCTTCCCAACCCCTCCTGCCAAATTCCCTCCCCTTCCTCTCCCCACACCTCTCCCCCCTCCTCCCTCTACACCTGCTGCCGTGCCTGCACCACCAATCATTCGGTCTATCCCGTCAGACCCACCACTATCACTACCATCACTACCATCCTCCTCCTCTTCCTCCTCATCCTCCCCGTCCTCTTCCTCGTCCTCCTCCTCTTCACCCCCCTCTCTCTTCGAACTCAGCGCCTTCCTCCGTTCGGCAAACTCAACCTTCAACCGATCCAGCAGGGCTTTCCGAGCCTGCGCCGAGCCTGCCGCCATCTCATTCAGCTTCCGCTGCAGCAGTGCCTGAACCTGCTTCTCAGCTTCAGAAGGATCGCTCACCTTCAAAGGCCGCTTTACCCCTCCTCCTCCTGCTGCTGCTGCTGCTCCTCCTGCTCCTGTTGCTGCTCGTGCTGCTGCCGCTGCCACACCAGCAACAACACCAGCAGCAGCAGCCCTACCAGAAACATCAGCAGCAGCGGCAGTACTACCACCCACGCCCCCACCTCTTTCATCAGCAGAGCCTTCCCCGGCACAACCTTCCCCAGCTGAACCGTCCCCAGCAGAGCCTGCCTCAGCTGCATCCAACTCCATTCTAAGCCGTGCAGCTAGAGCTGCTGCCCCCGCCTGCTTCCCCAACATCTTAAGTATCCCGTCCAGACCACCCCCTGCTGCCCCTCCTCCTGCCCTTCCCCCACTTGCTCCTCCTCCCCTTCCGCCGCCTCCTCCACCTCCTCCCCCTCTACCTCCTCCTCCTCTCCCGCCACCACCGTTACTGTTTCCCACTCCCCCTGCTCCTCCTCCCCTTCCTGTCCCGTCTGTAGCTCCAGACCCACCCACAACAGTTCTACCTACCCCAGAAGAACCCGCCTGGGATTCTTTCTGAGCCCTCTTGGTGATCTGAGTGGCCAGCACATGCACCTCAGGAGCCGTTAGATCGCCACCGGCCATCATCTGCCCTAGGATCGCCAGCGCCATAGCCTCTTTCGAAGGTGCGGGAATAGGCTCGGAAGCACCTTCCGAACCTCCCGCTGCAGACGAGCTAGCTGCCTTGCCGAAGCTAGCTGACTTGTCGAGGCTAGCTGTCTTGCCGAGGCTGGTTGAAGCTCCTACCGTGCCTGAACTCGCTGCCGGACCTCCAGACATGGTAACAGCAGCGGATGAAGGGTCCAGCCGCCGCGTCGTCACTCCCGGTCCCGGACCTAAGGACGAGCTTCGGTTGAGCGTGGTGCCGAGCCTGCTTCCAGGCCCGCGAACGAGGCTCGGAGATGGATCCGCCAAGCCAGCCGGTGCAAATGCAAACGGGGACGCAGATGCAGTACTGGCAGCACCACCAGCAGCACCAGCACCAGCAGTAGCACCACCAATACTAGCAGCGGCTGCACCAGCAGCAGCAGCAGTGGCAGCAGGGGCAGCACCAGGTGATCTAGCATCAAGGTCAAAGTCGGGAAACGACTCTCGGCTGAGCCTCCTATGCAACTCCGGTGTTGCACGCCGCTTCCTCAGAGGGCCCTGCTGTGCCAACGACCCCCCACTCCCACCCCCTCCCCCCAATCCACCCAGTGTAGGTGACTGTATCGAAGGTGATAGAAACGCAGGGGACAGGATCGCGTCCAACCTATCCCCGGCACTCGTGACCTCCATAGGAGCACGTGGGGAGGAATCAACCGCTTTGGACCCACTCCCACCTGGCGAAACCAGCCCACCGGCAGACGCACCAGCAGACGCACCAGCAGAGCCACCAGCCGCACCAGCAGGAGCACCTGAGAATTCACCTGAGGAGCCTCGGCTCATGGCAGCGCGGGAGAGCTTGACAGCAGCGGCCAGAGAGGGATCGTTGAACTCGGCTTGCCTCGCCAGCTTCCGAAACTGCTCCTCTGCTCGCCGCCTCTCCTCATCAGACGTCGAAAACGTTGCAAATGCCGCTCCGAGACTCTGCTGGGCCACCCGAGGAGAGCCAAATGGAGTGAAGGCCGCCCCGAGGCTCTGTCTTTGCGTCGAATCAAATGGTGAAAAGGCGGCTTCTAGACTCTGAAGTCCACCTGACCCGAAGCTGCCTTGCCTTCTGGTTAATGCTGTTTGCGCTGACCCTGTTGCTCCTGCCGCTCCTCCTGCCGCTCCTCCTGCTGCTGCTCCTCCTGCCGCTCCTCCTGCTGCTCCTGCTGTTGCTCCTGCTGGTGCTCGTTCCTCCCCACTTGCAGCACCAGTGCGGGTCTCCCCTCCTGCTGTACCCAGTCCCTGCCCTTCCGCCCCTCCTGACCCCTGCCGTGAAACCCCCCCACCACCACCACCAGCAGCAGCAGCACCACCATCACCACCGGCGGACGCATCAGCCCCAACCATCCCCTCTGCTAAACTTCCGTCTCTCGCACTCCCCCCTCGCCGCCCTCCCGACTCTGCCGCACCGCCACTCAGCCCAGCACACTCCATCTCCTCTGCCCCACCACCACTGTCCTCCTCCAGAGGCCGTTTCAAGCTGCCACTGCCACCACCCCCACACAACCTCTCCCTCGCACCACCCCCACCACCACCCCCACCAGCACCAGCCCCCCCCGCCCCCCCCCCACTCTCTCCCCCGCTTCCCCAGCTCATGCGGGAGCGGGGTGAGGAGGCCGCACTAGTGGTGGTGTTGGTGTTGGTGTTTGTGTTTGTGTTTGTGTTAGTGGTGGTATTGATGTTGGTGGTGGTGGTGGTGTGTGTGGGGCTGCTGGTATGGTGGCGGCGGGGGGAACCGTAGGGGGACTGGGCGAAGGGGGAGGGGGAAGAACCGCGAGATGCTTGAATTCGGAGACTCTGCTGCTCTGACCGCTGCTGCTCCAGCTGCTGCTGCTGCTGCTGCTGCTGCTGCTGCTGCTGCTGCTGCTGCTGCTGCTGCTGCTGCTGCTGCTGCTGCTGCTGCTGCTGCTGCTGCTGCTGCTGCTGCTGCTGCTGCTGCTGCTGCTGCTGCTGCTGCTGCTGCTGCTGCTGCTGCTGCTGCTGCTGTTGCTGCTGCTGCTGCTGCTGTTGCTGCATCCGCACGGGTCCTCCTGCCGATGAGGCACGGACCAAATCCGCTGCAGATTGCATCAACTCACTCTGCTTCCCCTCTCCCCCTCCTCCCCACCCGCCTGCTCCTCCCCCTGCCCCTCCTCCTTGCGTCAAGACTGCTAGAACATCGGCTGCTGAGAGGGAATGCGAGCGCACGCCAGGTGTCAGCCTGCGATTGGCCGGCGACTGAGAGCTTGCCATAGGTGCGGCGGAAGCGGCAGCTCCGGTAGCAGCAGGCGGAATAGCAGGTACGGTTGCCGAACCTGACGGCGAGCCCAGGATGGACAACTGCGCCAAGGCTCGCTGCGTGGTCCGGTTGGGAGAATCAGATCTCGGCGGATCAAATCTAAGAGGTCCCGGTCTAGATTTCCGGCTCAATCTAGACGAAGGTGGGTGGGCGATGGAGGGGGGATGGCGCGTGGAAGGATGGGGGGAGGAGGCGATAGAATGAGAAGGAGAGGCGGAGGGAGCATGGGAGGATGGCGATGAGGGATGGGGGGGGAGGTGGGAGGGTGGCATGGGGAGCGGTTTGGCGATGCTTGCAGGTGTGGTGGAAGTTTCTGGGATGAAATCCGGGAGGAAGACTCCTGGAATCTTCTGCAGCTGCTCGAACTTCTCTTTTAGGCCCTGTGAAATGCTCGGGTCCTCCTTAATCTGTTGTGGGGAGGGAAAGGGGGATAGGGAGGGGAGGGACGGGAGGGAAGAAGTGGGAAGAGTTTACTTTCTGAGTTGAGTGAATATCATGTTGCGATGTGAGAGCTCCGAGGGGATTTGCGGGGATGGGAGGGGATGGGGAAGGTTGGGAGGTATGAAAAAGGGATGGGAAGGTATGGGAAGGGACGGGAAGGGAAGGGATGGGAAGGGATCGGATGGGATAGGCTACAGAAGCGTAAGAGTGACTGTGATTGGCTGTACACAACAAACCACACCATGGGACGCACCAGGAATCGACTTGGTCCTGAGTCGACTCCTGGAAGTGGTGTGATTGACCTTATGCAACACAACAAACCACACCACACCACAACAAACCACACCACACCACAACATACCACACCACACCACACCACACCACACCACACCACACCACACCACACCACACCACACCACACCACACCACACCACACCACACCACACCACACCACAACAGGACGTACCAGGAGCACAGAGCCGAGCTGAACAGCCCCGCCAGGGACTGGGATTATGGCGATGGTCTGCAGGTGGGGTGCACAGCACAAGTGGAGGAGGAGGAGAAGCGAGAGAGAAAGATAGAGCGAGGGAGTGAGTGATACGAGGGTATGAGGCATGAGAGAGAGCAAGGAAAGGAATACAGGCGATGTGAAAGGGATCAGCACAAGAGGGAACCGCCAGCACTGAAAGCTGGCAGCGATATCAGCGGACTGACCTTGATGCCAGACGCGAAGTGCTCCGCCCAACCAGGTGGATGCTGCATGGGGGAGAAACACGGGGATAAAGGGAGAGTGGGGGGGCAGAGGTGAGTGCCTCTGTGTGTGTGGTGCTTGGCTTGTGAGGCACCTCAAAAAAATGCATGGAGGTGAGGTGAGTGTGTCTGCTTCTCAATCCCTCACGCTCTCACACACTCCACACTCAATCACTCGCTTACTCACACACACTCACACACACTGACACACACCTGGCTCTGCACGGAGTTTAGTGTATCCGCATGGTATCTGGCATGGCTATACACCCATTCTGCTGCCTCCGATGCCACACTCACGCCCACCAGCCTGGGGGGGAGAGGAGGAACGCGTGAGAGAATGAGGGGAGAAGAGAGTGAGGGAGCGACGGGCGATGAGAGCGAGGGGATGTGGGAAGAGGGAGATAGAGGAACGAAAGCCACCCGTGGTTGATTAGGAAGCGCGAAGCCTGGGAAGCGCGAAGCCTGGGTCTCTTCCACGCTAGCTCGGCTTCAACACAGCGTCAGAAACCCTAACTCGCTGCAAGCTTGGGATGACTTTTGAGTCGACCTAGAAGAATCGTGAAGCTCATTCAAGCCACTGAGTCTCTTCCTCGCTAGCTCAGCTTCAACACAGCGTCAGAAACCCTAACTCGCTGCAAGCTCGGCCAATGACTGACCTTCCAAGCGTGACCGGATCCTACCCTTTGCCTAACACCACTCTAATACGAGAGCCATCTTCTTGAGGTGCGCAGCGGGTGGCTACTTCCAGTCGTACCAGAGCGGAGGTTGATTCTGAGAGTTCTCAGAATCAACCTCTAAAAAAAACGGTGCGCAGCCTGTAGCTACCTCCAGTCATACCAGAGCGCCTCTGAACAAACGCCAGCATCCCATATCCCCCACAACCAAAGTCCAGCCCCAACCATCCAATCGCCGCAGCCCTACCCTTCATTGACGTGGTAATACATCTGACAGAAGAGCTTCAACTACGTGGCGTGAAGTGCAGCTGCTTCCACTCTCAACACACTTCCTCCGAACGAACAAACATTATAACCCTTGTCTCCCTGCAACCCAAGCCCCCAACCCATAACCCCCTTCCAAGCTAGCATATACCCTTCGCCGTAGTTATAGATGTGGTACGCAAAAACTTCAGATACGCAAAAACTCCAGTCCAGTCGTAACAGAGCTTCTCGAACGAACGTCAAAACCCCTTACAGCCCCTCCCTCTCTACATCAACACAAGCCCCCAACCCAACCCATAACCCTTCCAAGCAAGCGTACCCTTCGCCGTAGTTGTAGATCTGGTACGAGAACTTCAGATACGTCGCGTGCAGCTGCTTCCAGTCGTAACAGAGCTCGTCTAAAGCGGGTACAGCGTCTGCCTGGCGGCTGCTGCTGCCGCCCCCGCCCCCACTAGAAGCCGAATTGCGCAACCGTGCCATTTGATCTTCCAGCTTCTTGAGCACGGCATGAGGGACCAAATACCCGTCCTCCCACATGAGCACCCTGCGAGGGGTGAGGAGGGTGGGAGGGGGGGACATAGGGGGGAGTAGAGGGGAGGAAAACCACGGTCTAGCTTCTGAAGGACCCGGATAAGGGACTAGATACTCGTCCTCTCACATGAGCACCCTGTGGGTTGGTGGCGGGCGATGGGGATGGGAGGGTGAGACATGGGACAGGGAGACATGGGAGGGGGCACAAAGAAGGGGGAGACACGGATGGGAGTCACGGGTGGGAAACACGGGTGGGAGGGAGGGGAGGTAAGCCAACGTGCCATCTGGTTTCCAGCTTTTGTAACACAGCATGAGGGACCAGATATCGAGATGTACTGGGATGTGTGCGATGCGGGGAGGTATGAAAGGCAGGGCTTCGGCCTTTCAGGAGCCTCATAGGAGATGCGACACAATCAGTCCGGTTTCCAGTGATTTGCGGCTTAAAGGCAGCTCAATGGTCGTAGTTACTAGTTAGAGGAGGACGAGGGGGAAGAGGAGGACGAGGGGAAGAGGAGGACGAGGGGGAAGAGGAGGACGAGGGGGAAGAGGAGGATGAGGGAGGAGAGGAGGAAGAGGAGGAGAGGAGGGCGTACCAGTTATCGTCGTCCTCTCGTTTCATCATTCGGTTTCCCCTTATCGGTACATTTCTGCGAGAAAGAGTGAAACGCAGAACAGAAGACAGCGAAACGACGAACTGAGCAAGTTTCCAGGCATCGCGGCGAACGACGCGCGGCGAGTAAGGAAACGGCAAGCTAAGCTTCGAGTAAGGAAACGCACACTAATCTCCAAGGAACGGCACAGTATGCGTCGAGTTTCCACACGGAACAGGCACGCACGTGCTCGACTCGTCACAATTTGACAAACACAACTTAAAACAACATAGAGATATACTGGAATCTTCCGCGAGAGTTACGTTTGCGACGTTCGCGGAACCGCGCGACGCTTCAGTCTCCAGAAGACGGAATACGTCCATCCGTTCTGCAGGCACAGGTCCTTGAGCACCTGTCGCAGCAGGTACATTGGCCTCTGCGCTAGCACGGCGCTCGGAACCTGCCTAGGGTTTGTCGCCATTGCTGCGTTGTCGTCAAAACCTAGGCTTTATAAATTAATTAAATAACAATGAGAGATACAACCAGCTCAAATTGCTCGCCTACAGCAGAACAACCCTAATTTTACAGCTGTTGCGTGGCAGCGCCATCGTAAAAAAACGCTTCTAGGGAAAAGCTGCCGAAAAGTTTTAAACTTCTGACATACAGCTAACCGAGAAGCCCTAGAATCGAGGAACCCAGGAACTGAGGAGGAACCTAGTAAGGACGTGTCAGATCAACTCCTGAAGCTTTCGAGGTATGGCGTATGGCATGTACAACTGTTACAGCAAGGTAGAAAGGGTCGTCGCCGCTGAAAGCTGAAATGGGTTTCCTTGGGAATGCCGGGAGGAGCCTACAGGAAGGGAATGGACAGACGAAATCGAAAGTTTCCGTTCTGTTGCGAAGACCTGTTGCCCCTTTGATGCGCCAAGTTCCACCGATCTTGCGCATTTCCTTTCCCCTCGGTCCTTTGGTTTTTGCACGACAGTGGACGTCTCTGTCTGGCTGGGCCAGGAAGCCTCGGCGACCAATTACGTTCCGTAGTGGTAACAAATCGGCAGGGCAAGCACGCCTCGGGTATCCTCGTGATTGACCTGCCTCGACTTTGGTCGATCCAACTGTGGTCAACTGGCGATTTTGATGGCAGCAGCGACTTGTGGTGGCTCCAGGGCGATGTGCAGCCCAGCTCAATCTATTATGGGCTGGCAAACTGTTGCTATTCGACAGGGACAATTGGCGTTTAGGTAAGATGGTACACCGTGCGATTGTTTTAGATCTTCTTCGGCCTGAGGAGGCGACCAATGATGTGGAGCGAAGTTAGCGGAGAAAATGAAACGCACTGGTTAGCACGTGGGTGTGGTGTGGGCCACGACGAGCGAAGTGTGAAAGTACGCGCCCTTATTGAGTGAAATCTACACCTTCCCAGGCTTTTTGCATTACATTCACTTCATTTCACTAATTCTATTGGTGCCACTACTACAATGATTGATTTGCGTCTGCCAGCAACCTACCAGTTAACTAGCACCTGAAATTAAATCCTGAAAACCATAAGTCAGTATAATATTTAATTCCTTCAATCATGAGAAAACCATCCATCATCGGTCTACACTACAACTACCTAGTGATGACAATATCGTCGATTTTGAGAATCATCCGGACGCATTCCGCAGCGAGAGAAATGGCGCTTGTGCTCACGAGCAGCGGCTGCACCACATTCTCCTCAAACATGTTGCTGATCGCACCCTTTCGCACGTTGATGCCCGCACTAACCTGTAACAGGGTTACAGAATTAGAGGGAACGGCGAACAGACACAGAGTTTAGAACAGCAGGGTATTTCCCCATGGGGTGTTTGTCATCAACCCATGGGGTGTTATTTTCAGCAGGGTGTTTTCCCACGGAGGGAGGGAAACACCTGTGGATACAAGAGTGGCCTTTTCTGCAATAACACTGCTAAGGGAACAGTCCTGCACAGATCACTTCCTCACCCTCTCTCCTTATCTCTTCGCTCCCTCCCCTGAAGCTCACCTCTTTCTCACCATGCTCTGCTGCACGTTTTCATGTTACCTCGCCCTCGGCATGTTTGTTGCGCAACTCAGTGACGACGGAGATGGGTTCAGTTTTTTTTTTTTTTTTTTTTTTTTTTTTTTTTTTTTTTTTTACCGACATTAATTCCCTTTCCTGCTCCCCCCCCTCCACCCACACCTTGTGCTGGTTACTGAAAGCTCACCTCCCCCTCGGCGTGCTTGTTGCGCAGCTCAGTGACAATGGAGATGGGGTTCAGATTCTTTAGTCTGACTATACGTCAACTCAAACCCTTCCCCACACCTTGTGCCGGTTACTGAGAGCTCACCTCCCCCTCGGCGTGCTTGTTGCGCAGCTCAGTGACAATGGAGATGGGGTTCAGATTCTTTAGTCTGACTATACGTCAACTCAAACCCTTTTCCACACCTTGTGCCGGTTACTGAGAGCTCACCTCCCCCTCGGCATGCTTGTTGCGCAGCTCAGTGACAATGGAGATGGGGTTCAGATTCTTTAGTCTGACTATACATCAACTCAAACCCTTCCCCACACCTTGTGCCGGTTACTGAGAGCTCACCTCCCCCTCGGCGTGCTTGTTGCGCAGCTCTGTGACAATGGAGATGGGGTTCAGATTCTTTAGTCTGACTATACGTCAACTCAAACCCTTCCCCACACCTTGTGCCGGTTACTGAGAGCTCACCTCCCCCTCGGCATGCTTGTTGCGCAGCTCAGTGACAATGGAGATGGGGTTCAGATTCTTTAGTCTGACTATACGTCAACTCAAACCCTTCCCCACACCTTGTGCCGGTTACTGAGAGCTCACCTCCCCCTCGGCATGCTTGTTGCGCAGCTCTGTGACAATGGAGATGGGGTTCAGATTCTTTAGTCTGACTATACGTCAACTCAAACCCTTCCCCACACCTTGTGCCGGTTACTGAGAGCTCACCTCCCCCTCGGCATGCTTGTTGCGCAGCTCAGCGACAATGGAGATGGGGTTCAGATTCTTTAGTCTGACTATACGTCAACTCAAACCCTTCCCCACACCTTGTGCCGGTTACTGAGAGCTCACCTCCCCCTCGGCATGCTTGTTGCGCAGCTCAGTGACAATGGAGATGGGGTTCAGCCCGGCATTCTCCGCTAGCGTGTACGGCACCACCTGCCGAAAAAATGGCAGAGAATACGGGTAGCAGGAGGGAAGGGGAGGAAAAGGGGGAGAGAGCAGTGGGGTGAAATTTATATGGGACACTTTGCCTATCCATTTCCAACCATTCCCCTCTCCCATTCTCCTCCCCCTTGCCTTCCAGCGTGCGTATTCTTCCACTACCTTACGCACAGCAGTCAACGGTCAGCAGTAACGCACAGCAGTCAACGGTCAGCAGTAACGCACAGCAGTCAACGGTCAGCAGTCAACGGTCAGCAGTCAACGGTCAGCAGTAACGGTGAGCAGTAATGGTCAGCAGTAACGGTCAGCAGTAACGGTCAGCAGTAACGCACAGCAGTCAACGTTCAGCAGTAACGGTGAGCAGTAACGGTGAGCAGTAATGGTCAGCAGTAACGGTCAGCAGTAACGGTCAGCAGTAACGCACAGCAGTCAACGGTCAGCAGTCAACGGTCAGCAGTCAACGGTCAGCAGTAACGGTCAGCAGTAATGGTCAGCAGTAACGGTCAGCAGTCAACGGCCAGCAGTGCAACAGTTTGCAGCCAGAAAATCCGCAGCCAACGCACCTCCAGCGCCTGGGCGAACGCCCGGGCGCAGTAGCTCTCCTTGCCCTCCAGCTGCTTGCTCCACGCCGCCAGCTGCCTGCTCTAGTGCACGTGGAGTAGCATGCAACAACAGCACAGGCTACCCATGCACATACCTCCAGCGCCTGTGCAAATGCCCGGGCGCAGTAGCTCTCCTTGCCCTCCAGCTGCTTGCTCCACGCCGCCAGCTGCCTGCTCTAGTGCACGTGGAGTAGCATGCAACAACAGCACAGGCTACCCATGCACATACCTCCAGCGCCTGTGCAAATGCCCGGGCGCAGTAGCTCTCCTTGCCCTCCAGCTGCTTGCTCCACGCCGCCAGCTGCCGGCTGACCTCTATCTCCGGCGCCCCTCCTCCCGCAATGAGGAACCGCTTGTTGACGAGGCAGCGCACGACACAGAGCGCGTCATGCAGGCTGCGCTCCGCCTCCTCCAACACCAGGCTGTTGGACCCGCGTACGACCACACTCATGGTCCGCCCCATGTTCTGAATACCTGTTATCTTCACCACCTGGTGATGGAATAGAGGGGGGGATGGCGGAAAGGAAAGGGAGAGGGAGAGTGGAAGGGGAGGGGAAGAGGGAGGGGTAGAAGGAGGGGAGGGGCAAGGGCATGGGAAAGGGGAGGGCGATGAGGAGTTGGTTGTTGACGAGGCAGCGCACCACACAGAGGGCGTCATGCAGGCTGCGCTCCGCCTCCTCCAACACCAGGCTGTTGGACCCGCGCACCACACCACACTCATCGTTCGCCCCATGTGCTTGATACCTGTGATTTTCACCACCTGGTGATGGCAATGTGAAGTAGCCAATAAACCTTAACAGCTCAAGCACAAATCACCCCAAAAAACAAATGTACCCTAAACAAGCACTCACCCGGGCGGGCCTTCCCCACAGCCACTCACCCAGCCCTCCCCATAAACACACACACCCCTCTGTCACTCCCCACCCAAAGAAGAACAGTGCCAGAAAAAACAGCCACTCACCCGGCCCTCCCCCACAGGCACCTCCTCCACCAGATCCGCCTGCCCGAGCTTCTCCACACGGAAGTGCTCGGGGTTAGCGATGGGGAGGCAGTTGAGCGTGCGGCTGATGAACTCAATGTCGTCCCGCTCCACGTCCTTGACGACCAGGATCTTGGCCTTGGCCAGGTAGTGCAGCGAGAGGTCGGTGACGGCGTCGCGCAGAATGGACTTCTGGATGAGCAGCACGTTGCAGCCCGTGGCGCGGATCTTCTTGATTATGTTGAGAATGTAGTTGCGCTCCTCTTTGAGGATGCGGTCCATCTGGCTTAAGAGAGAAGGGAGAACAGGAAGCAAAGGGAGCAGAGGGAGAAGAGGGAGGCATGACACAGGAGAAACGCAAGAAGAAGCACATTGCAGCTGATGGCACTCTTGAGATGGAGATTGCAGCTCAAACGGATCTTTTTAAAAATGTTTAGGGTGTCGTTGCACTCCTCTTGAGGATAATGTCCATCTGGTGCTGGAGCGGGGGCAACAGGGAAAGAAGGCGAGCACAGGCACAACAGGGAAAACAGAGAGCACGCGCAGCACAGGGAACAATCGAATCCTGGATGAGCAGTACGTGGAGTAGAATCTCACCTGGGCGGCAGCTCACCTGGGCGGCAGCTCACCTGGGTATAATCGGAGACGACCACAGATTGCTCCATGTCGGTTTTGGGCGGCGAGATCTGGAACTGGATGAGTCCAATCTTCGCCTTCTCCACCCTCGACGGCCCGCCCGCGGCGTGACTTGCCTTGCGATCAAATACCAGCCCGCGCACCATCTCTGTGTCGTCCACCTGTGGGTGGGGGTGGGGAAGGGGAGAAAGGGGGTGCGGAAGGGGTGAAATGGGGAAAACAGGTGGTGTGTGTGGCCTAGCCTTGCGGTCAAATACTAGCCCGCGCACCATCTCTGTGTCGCCCACCTGTGGGTGGGGGTGGGGAAGGGGAGAAAGGGGGTGCGGAAGGGGTGAAATGGGGAAAACAGGTGGTGTGTGTGACCTAGCCTTGCGGTCAAATACTAGCCCGCGCACCATCTCTGTGTCGCCCACCTGTGGGTGGGGGGGGGAGGGAGCAGGTTGGGGGGGGTTTGAAGAGGATAAAACTGTGCCGTGAAGCTGAGGGAAGCACGACGATGAATACGGGGTATAGTTACTCGTGATGTGGTGTCACTGTGCCGCTCAACACTCACTGTGCCGCCCAGCACGCACTCACCGTGCCGCCCAGCACGCACTCACCGTGCCGCCCAGCACGCACTCACCGTGCCGCCCAGCACGCACTCACCGTGCCGCCCAGCTTCTTGAGCACTTTGATGTCCCGAAGATCAACCACATCCGGGTGGCTGGGGTCCATCACCTGCCACGTCAGCACGGGATGGGTTGCACGTGGGGTGGGTCAGGGGGTGGGTCAGGTGGGTCAATGTGGTTTGAATGGTATGGCTTTGAGCGGAAGAGGTAAATGCAGAGCACACTTGAGGAGTGGCTAGTGGAAAACAAAGTGTGCTCCTCAAGTGGTAAAAGGATATTCTTCTGAAAACAAAGGTGTAGTTACCTTACCTAGCCACGCTAAATAAGGGCATGCGAGGTGATTGGTGATGGCATGTGTGTTGCTGAATGCGCCAGAATGATATAGCATGGCAAAACGGAACCCTTTATTCAGATACCCCTCCCCTCTCACCTGCAGAACACAGTCGACTGCTAGCGGGGCAAGCAGAGACGAGTACTGGCTCACCACCTGCGCACAGGAAGGGCAGGGCAGACGGGCATGCGCAAGGTGGATGAAACGGGAAAACGAGGGGAGGTGAGAGAGCGTTTCCATCTTCTCCACACAAAGAGTGGATTTTGAGGCGCCTCAAAATACACCTCACTGCACGAGGGGAGGTGAGAGAGCGTTTCCATCTTCTCCACACAAAGAGTGGAGCAGGAAGCGTTTTCTTGAGGGACACGAGAGAATGGTGCGAGGATGAAGTCCGAAAGTGATGCTTCTGCCAAGGAAGAAACGCCTGAACCTTTTGAGAGTTCTCATATCTGACACAAGGACAGCCGATACTCTCCTTGGTGAGACATAAAACCGCTGGAAACAGGAGGCGAATTGGTGAGGCGGGAACTCTCCTGGCTGAAACGTGAGGCCAGCCGAGCCATCTGCACTGCATAATTGCACCACACTGCACAGCACTGCACCGCATTGCACCACACTGTACCTTGCTGTTGAGCGACGTGCTGGCGCTCTTGACGAGCGACTCGCGGTCTGACAGCTCCACTGGCACCGCCATGGTGGTGAGAATCTGCGGGAAAAGAAGAGGGGGGGGAGAAGAAGGGGGGGCTGGGAATTACGCGTGGGCACAGATAAGGAGGGGATTTGCCGTCTGACAGCTCCACTTGCACTGCCATGGTGGTGCGGATCTGTGCCCGGGGGGGAGTTGGGGGGGTTGGTGAAGGGCAGAGGAAGGGGAAGAACGAGGGGCCAAGCGAGGGTGGGGTGGAGGGGAGGGGAGGGGAGCGGGGGGTTGTTGCATGTGGGACGGAGGGGACTAGGAAGACGAAGCAAAGTGAATTATTAGTTTAAGGAGAGCGGCGTTCAGTGTAAGGAGAAGAAAGCACAGCACCACACGCAATCATTGCCGAGCCAGAAGCTTCCCACCCATGACATCTTTCAAGTCCCTTTCCATGCTTAACCCTCATTCATAGTACCTCGGCGGCCTTGTTAGCAGCCTTGTGCAGAGCCTCGGAGATAATTGCCGGGTGGATACTAATTCCCAGCATAAATCCCCTTGCCCAGCATTCAAACCAGCTCAGGATACACCTCGTTCGTACCTCAGCGGCCTTGTTAGCGGCCTTGTGCAGAGCCTCGGAGATGATTGTAGGGTGGATGCCCTTTCCCAGCAGCGACAGGCACTCCTTCAGCAGCGCGCCCGCCACCACCACCACTGCACCACGGGGAGGGGGGAAAGAGGGGAGAGGGGAGTGGGAGAAGGACAATTGAGACAAATCAAAAGTCACCCCTAGCCCATCAGGGACAGGCAAACCTTGAGATGCGCACCCTCCACCACCACCACTGCACCGCGGAAAAGATGGGGAGGGGGAAAAGGGGAAGGCGGAAGGGGGAGGGGGAACGGGGGGGAGGGGAAAACGGGAGAAAGGAGACAGATAACGAACAGAGTGTTGCTTGCTGGACCGCGATATGGTGAGGAAAAGGAATCACGCAAACAAAGAAGTACATGACAACAAAATGGTCGGAGATGTTGGGAATATGCTTTAAAGAAAAAACTTAAACGTGAGCAATGCTCCAGTACTTCAACTCCCCGACACCCTTAACCCTGAACCCTGACACAGTAACCACTGCCTGCCAAATCTACTCGCAATTTCCAAATCCCGAACCCCAAATTCCAGATCCTAACTTCCAAACCCAGATCCCGAGTCTTGAATTCCAATTCCCTAAGCGGAATCCCGAATTCTGCGACGGACCTGTGGTGGTGCCGTCGCCGGCGACAATGTCCTGCGACTTGGACAGCTCCACCAGCATCTTCGCCGCTGGCTGTGTCACCTCCATCTGAACCGGGATACGCGAATCGATAACAAGGTGTCGTTGTTAAATGGACTTGAATAGCTCCACACGGGGAATTGTGACACAAGTACACAAATTTCGCTTCGCTAGTGAAAAGGAAGGGAGAAAAGGCCTGATGTGGAGAACCGAGGAATTGACAAATTGACGAAATGTCAAGACAAACGGCTCTGGCCTACTCTGGTCCGAATGGCAGGGAAGAAGGAAAACCGCAAGCAGAATTGAAACATCGACGTCTGGAAAAGATCTGAATGCTGGGGGAAAAAACATAAAACGCGAACCAGAAGCGCATCTGAAACCGCAGACGGCGACTAACGCTTTGCGCATATAAAGTAGATCTGTGAGTCTTGGGTTTCATTTAGCCTTCCGCCTTGAAATGCACACGGCGCAGCAGCAGCAGGCCGAGTTCACTGAGATTTGTACCAAACCTTCCGCTTTCACTAAGCCTATTGTGTCAGGACTGGATCTCCAACGGCCGACCAATCCATTTGAGGTTGCATCAATTTCCGCTGGATGGGGTGACTCATTTTCGCCGAAACCCCACACATCCGCAGTCGCACCTTGTTGAGAATGGTCGCGCCGTCGTTGGTGATAATGACCTCGCCGGTGGCCGTCGTGAGCATCTTATCCATCCCCCGGGGCCCCAGGCTCGTTCGCACGGCATCCGCCACGGCCTTTGCCGCCATGATGTTAGCCTGACGGATATCGTCCTTCCTGCTCGTATCTGAAAACGTCTCGCCTTTGCCTCCTCCTCCACCTCCCACCCGCGCGGGGACGGGAACCACCTGAGCGGCCGCCATGATTAGCCGGTCGGATCGAGGGTTCTCGAGCTGCGATCTGCGGAACGTCGATCGGATCGACCGTTTCTGGAACGCGGATTCTAATGAAACAGGTCAAGGGCTGGTGAAAACGGATGGCCGATTGCAGCAGTCGAGCGGACTTGCGGTGAGGTGTGCTGTTCGACAGAGATCAGCACAACGTGAGGCAGATCGAAAGTCTGACGAGACGGAGTTCTCTCAAGAGCTTTTGGTGCGATCTGGTTTGTTCGACCAATGTCAAGACAAGCTAGTTTGCTTCACATTCTCTTTTCGGTGTTCAGAAAGGTGTGTAGCGTTTCAAAGCGGTAAGATAAACATTCACTTCAGAAGTTCATAACATCGTTCTCTACCGATTTTCACCGGACGAAAAATGACGCCCTGCCAGGACTGGACCTCTCTCAAAACTTTGACCGCATTTCCAGTATTGAAGCACCAATTTCGCCATGACCAAGGTGCAATAGCAGCTTATTCAGTATGTCCAGTTAATAATAGAGTATTACAACATGGGATACTGTTTCTTATTGGAGTCCAATTGTGGACAACATAATGGAAACAAATAATGAGCTAACAGTATGGGGGAGCAATTGCATCATCCGTTGCAGATTGCTTGAGCACACCCTGCAAGTATGCGGGAGCAGTCAGACGAATCCATTCCAGTTCAATATCCATGGAAGCAGAGCGGATTTATCTGTCCCTTGAGGTTGCACAGGGGTGGGGACAGTATAGTTGGCCATGGGTTGTGATGTGCTGAGGGGAGCAAGGGCGGTGGATTGCATGGCATTGAAGGACATGGAGGCTGGCATGGAGTCAGAGATGGTTGCAGGCGACGACGATGTTTCTGGGATGAAATCCGGAAGAAAAACCCCTGGAATCTTTTGCAATTGCTCAAACTTCTCTTGAAGAAGCTTGGCCACCGAAGGATCCTCTTTAACCTGATAAATGAAAACAAGACGGGTGTCAAACAGGGATCTAAAGCACAACAAATGGCGAATGGACACAGAAACCAAACTGTGCATATTGGAGATTTCAGGCTTGAAATGGCGTCAGTGCGTACCGGGAGGACAGAACCAATTTGTACGGCTCCACCAGGAACTGGGATCACAGCAATGGTCTGCACACGAAATGGAAGATAACAATGAGAAACGCTTAGGTGATCGTGACCAGAAAACAAAGCCAAAAGCGTGGGAACATGGGCTGTTGAACTTGATACGGCAGGAGGACAGCATGGAGGGTGGGCGAGAGCAAGGAATAGGCACCTTGATACCAGACGCGAAATGTTCATCCCATCCTGGCGGGTGTTGGTTCTGCACAGAGTCTAGGGCATCTGCCCTGTAGTACTTGGAATCGTTGTAGACCCACTCGGCTGCCTCCGCTGACACTGCTTGCCCCATCAAGCTGCAGGGAACGAATATGGTGCATCAGTAATATGATGGAAAAGGCTGAAAACAACAGAAAAGGAAGCAGAAGTCACAAAAAATGCAGGCGAAAGCAACAGAAGCAACAGAAGCCCAAGTCACAAAAAAAATGGAAAAAGGCTACTCGTCAGAAGAAACTCACCCTTCGCCATAGTTGTAGATCTGGTACGAAAACCTAAGGAAGCTGGCGTGCAGAAGCTTCCAGTCGTATGAGAGCTGCTCCAGCGCGGGATTCTGAGCGCTACAGCCAGCAGCGCCGCCTACAGCTGCGTCCCTTAACCGCTCCATCTGAGCGTCCAGCTTCTTGAGAACAGCTTGTGGAACGAGATAACCGTCCTCCCACATCAGAACCCTGCTCAACGCGGAGAAAGACATTGTGCAGAACGGAAAGGGATCGAGATTAGGAAGATAAGAACGGAGTCGTTGATAGAGGTGATATCACGAGTCGACGGAAGGAAGAAAAAAGGCGGTTATAGAAAGTGAGTAAACGTGACTCACCATTCGTCGTCTTCTTGTCGTTTCATGATGCGATTTCCTCTAGAAGGCACGCTGTAAACGGGAAAAGAATAACGGGGGAAAGACGCACATATCGCCCACACACGTCTTGAGAATTTTAGATTTACACAACCAATGACACTAAATGCCGTGAATATACTTCATGTCGCTAATGGCAACCTGCTATGGTTCCGGACGAAATCACAGTGTGGTCAAGAAACCCTAAAACGTTTTACGACCGCCGTATATCCTTACCTCTGCTGAGTCCGGGGTACTGCGCGGCGTTTCAACCTCCAGAATACTGAGTACGTCCAACCGTTTTGTAAGCAAATGTCTTTAAGAACCTGTCTTAATAGATACATCGGCTTCTGAGCTAAGACCATTCTCGAACCCTTGGCCGTCGTAGCCATTAATTGAAAATAATAATAATCTTAGTTACTGGAAACCCTAGCTTGGAGACGGAAATGGATATTCGCTGCACGTTAGGTAGGAATTAGGAAGCTGTAGAAACAAACCGCGGGGGTGTCAGGACTCAGGAGTTGCTTGGAGGAGCCAATGCCCACAAAAGTTATAAGCGCTCTCAACTGAACTTCCTCCTGAACATTGAGCTGCTCTATCATCCGTCCTCATTGAGAGGAAACGCATTCGACTGGGTGTACGGCACGGTGGCCGAACTTCTTCCTCAGGAACAACAACGCAATGGCGGAAAGTGGAAACCACGGCATTTGTCATCAACAGAATCTCAGAATCTTCGAAGCATGAGGTAACGATGGCTGTTTGAGGAACAGTCAATTGGCGTCAGGTTTTGGTTGCCTGCCAACCATCCTGTCTCGTGCCATGCCATCTCATCAGGCCGTTCAGAGAGACCTCAAGCACAGCCGAGGCAGCTGCGGACTTGAGGCATCACACTGTTTCGGTTGGCTGGGAACAATTGATGAGTGGGGTGACGAGCTGGATGGAGGTTTGACCTGGCTTCGCAGGGAAGCTGGAGGTTTGGCACTTCGGTTTTCGACAATCCCACCCCAACTCGATGTTGTTCTGCAACCCGTCCGGCTTGTCGCAACCCGGGCGCACCCAAAGCTGTCTTTGAACAAAGCAGTGGGCCCAATTCGCGGTTCTGGTTTTTTCACCACCGAGTGGAGGCTGACAAGCACGGATGAACTTCCTGGGGAAGCACGAATACATTTGAGCGTTGCAATCATTGCAGCACCATGTGAAAGCAGGCTTTCCGTCGTGGCCTCAGTGCTGAAAAATGAACACTAAACATCCCCACAAAAGATATAGACAACAAAGGAACACGAAAACCAAATGTTCCAGGTCCCAGAGAACACGACGGAGGGACAAGAGGAGGCTGGGTTTCAAGTGTGAAATCTGTTGTGGGAATGCTTTTGCCGGTATTCCAACATAACCCTGCCATCCGAGAACTAAAACCGTTCACACAAACTGTTGGAGTGTGAAGGGAGTTATACTTAGCATTCCCGTAGGTGCAGCAGTATCGCACCTGACTCTGTCGAAGCAGCAACTACCGCAATATCGGATCAGCCCGTAACAAGGGCAGGAAGGTCAACAGTCGCAAGAGTCAACTGTCGCGACTGTTGACCATCTGGACCGACGCTTGACTTACCATCGAGGAATGGCAACAGGCGTAACCGTACAGGTTACATGCAGCGACTCGGTAACAAGAAAGGCAGTGCAACAGTCAGAGTCACTGTAGAAATGCCTGTAAAACAGTTATAATAAGGGAATGTACCCCTTAGAGTACATGGCTAGACTAGGACTATTTATATTCCTTGTATTCTATCTTTTAATCAACTTGGTCATTTACATTCACTATGATCTGAGTTCTTACAAGACTTCCGCTACCAACTCTACCAAAGCACTTCCTATCCTATCCAAGATCCTTCCTCTAACATGGTATGAGAGCTAGTTTGGATTATAGGATCTGCTAAAGGGGCTTCCAACAAAGCTTCTTTATAAATTAATCTCAACATCAACAACATCAAGGGCATCAACATGCCAGGCGCAGACTGCGGAGAGACTGGAGAAAATCCAGTGCAACCCTCCACCAATGTCGCCTCTACTACGACGACTGTGGACACAGCGCTCCTCGAGCAGCTAATCTCCCGCATCAGCGCACTGGAGAGCCACCAGCCAATGAGCATTGACGGCTCAAGTTACGCCCGCAGACCTCCCGATCCTCAAGGAGCTGGATCTGAGCGATCCTTCACCTTCGACAACCGCGGAGTTCAAGGATCTGCTCAAGCACAACAAACACATTACGAGGCAATGGCTTCAATGCAGAGCAAGTTCCTCTCCACGTCGAAGCTCAGAACTACCAAGCCCTTCGACGGACAAGATTTCTACACGTGGAGCTTCGAATTCGAGCTACTAGCTCAGGGCGCTCAGATCTGGATGTACTACGACGGATCATATATTTTTCCAACAAACGGCTCACCTCAGGAGAAGACGCAATACTACAACGAATCACTCCTGGCCTTCACCGTCCTGATCCGGAACCTGTCGCCCGAAGAACAGCTGAGCATTCGCCCCTTCAAAAACGAGTGGGCGCCCGCGCAACAGTCCTGGGAACACCTGCGCACCTGCCACATGGCAACAGATTCGGTGACACTCAGTCGCCTACTCAACCAGCTGAACAACGTCAAGATGTTTCCCGGCGAAAAGGCCGGACCATACATCAACCGCTGCAGGAACCTGAGAGATCAATTCAGGAAAAGCGGCGGCAACTTCCCTGACGACATGTTCGTCACCATCATCCTTGCTGGATTGAGCCCGGAATGGCGCCAATGTAAGTCCCTCCTTCGCACACAAGACACTCTCAGCGAAACTGCCCTCTGCTCCACGCTTCTCTCCGAGCAGAAGGAAATCGACCTGTACAACGAACGAGGCAACAAGAAGGAGAAGATTGCCTTTTACGCTCAAGCGCCACCGGACAAGAAAAGACTCTTCTGAAAGTACTGCAAGAAGACTGGGCACATGATTCAAGACTGCTAGAAGCTGAACGGCAACAACAACAACCAGAAGGGTGCCGCTGCTTACCAGCAAGGAGGAGCCGCAGCGCGCAACCCAACTGTGTCGCCGCAAACCGTCGCCAGCACGTCCCAAGCCCCGGCGCGTCTCTCTGCGAACACAAGCGACAAGGGCAAAAGCAAGGTCTTGACTTGCATGGTGCGTCGTGGACCGCCTCGCCCCAACCGTCACTACCGCTTCTTCTGCAGCTGGGAAGACATGTTCGCAGAACCGCCTCAGGAGCGGCCCGAAGGATCAGTCGAAGAAGAAGAGGAGAATGATCCAACCTACGACGAGTTGACGGTTGGACGGATGCAGTTTGACTGGGAAGGGCCAGAGTGGATTCAGGAGTCACCACCTGCACGCATCGTAGACGACGACGAAGAATGTTACTACGACTACGACAATAATCACGACATGGAACATCACATCACTCCGAAGCTTGCCAATCTGGCCAAGGCAAGAAAGGAAGTCAACACGTGGTACCTGGACAGCTGCTGTGGTCACCACATGGTGTCTTCAGATGTCTTCATCCTCAACAGAGAGCGACTCTTCAACGAAGTGGAGATCACCGTCGCCAACAGCCAAACCATCTACGCCAGAAGCCGCGGACAGGTGCAACTGGAGTCACACGACACCGGCTACTGCATCCACATCAGCGATGTTCTCATCGTGCCGGAGCTTCGGTACAATCTTCTATCGCTCCACCAGCTGATGAAGTGCGGGGTTGGCCTGCAAACGACAGAAGACGAAATGCACTTAATATACAACGGCATCTTCATCGCAAAGGCAACAAGTGTGGAAGGCGTTTTCGTGCTCGACTTCGAGTCGCCCAGAACCACCGGCGACAACGAACACATCCTCGTTCTTGACCCTCCGGGTCACCCGTCGCCACCAAGATGGAGCCACCCAGAAGAAACCGACTATCAGCAACCCGACCTCGACGGCACCTTCCACGCCCTTGCCGTACCCGTCGCCTCAACAACAAACCCTGCCGAAACCGGACCGCAAGCAGTGGAAGAAGGAGAAGAAATCACATCAGAAACAGCAGCTACAACAACGGAAACGACCAACACTGAAGCCGGAGGATGGGCACGAGCAATCTGGCCTCGCGTCGAGCAACCTACCGGTTGGAACACCACCGAAGGCTGGGACGCCGTGGACACACGCTGGATCATGGAAAACACTGCGTTCGGAGAAGCTGTTGCAGCTGAAACTGGATGGGGCAACATCGCCGACGCACCTGCAGAAGAAGAAGCAGCAGAGGAACCGGAAATTGCTGAAGAGGCACCAGAAGCCGAGGAGGAGGAGTCACTGACAGTTTACGGACCTCACCTGCTACCCATCACAACGGACGGCAGAGACTATCTTCGCCTCGAGACAAGGGGAGTAGCGATCGGCGATACCCTATTCGAGGAGGATGAAGTTGCGCAACCCGAAGATCGCCACGCACGAACCTCGCGTCCAGAAAGGCCACTGGAGCTACCGGTGACGATCGACACTAGCACCATCGGCGACACCAGCGGAACGTATCATGGGGTGACAATTCAAGCAGCGGCAGTTCAAGTCACCGTGCCCGATGAACCTGCGGACGCAACAAGGCAAGAAACAGCGGAGGAGATATTAGCACGAGAGAAGGAGCTGTACACACGCACTAAGGGATATCGGGCTGACGGAGACATCTGGCATCAACGCATGGGACACCCATCAATCGAAGTGCTCAACAACTGCATCAACGCAAATGTCTTTGCGGCAGACGCACTGTTGCTGCCCGATGGCAAACTGCTGAAACCACGAACCGACCTACCTACCTGCACCGTCTG